TTTTTAAACAAGAAGGTATTTGTAAATCCACCGTCTACAAATACATAAAAAAGTGCAAGTAATCCAATGACGTCAAATCCAAGGTCCCTACTGGTCGACCTGCAAAGCTAGCGACGATACGAGTCAAAAATCGGACAAAAAAATCTTCCAAAATCATCCATCCTCGACAACGGCTGCAGCGGCAAGTAAGGTCAAGATTTCTAAAAGCTATCTGAGCAAAATCAAAGTCCATAAACTAGGGACTACAGCAAGGACAAAAAAACCAGCACCAAATTACAAATCAACCCAAAAGGAAAGGATTCAAGAATGCTGCAAGAAATTGTTGAAGAAGATTCGGGGAAAAGTGGTCATCATGGACGATGAGACCTACGTCACCGTGGACCCTCCAAATCTTCCGGGAACACACTTTTACCATTCCTCGGACCCCTCCGAAGTAAAATACGAAGACAAAATCCGGAAGAAGGACAAATTCCCCAAAAATATCTAATTTTGCAATGCATCTCCAGCGCCGGCCATGTTGCCGATGTCATTTTGGAGGGCACTGTAAACCAGGAGGTTTATCTTAAACCATGCATTCAAGGGGGCTTGGAATCGTTTGTTAACAAATATCAAAAAAATACAAAGTTTTGTTTTCGCCTGACCTCGCAACGTCCCATTACGCTAAAAAGGTCACGGAGTACCTACATATGAAAAATTGAATTTGTGCCAAAAAATGAAATGTTCACCAAATGTTCCTCAACTGCGACCAATTGAGAAATTCTGGGCGCTGACTATATCCAAATATTCTAAGCTTTCGGAAACGCTAGACACCTTTAGAAAATTTAAAAACAGACGGACGAAAATGAGCTTAGAAGTAGGTGCAGTCTCTGAGGGGAATTTAATGTGAAATCTGAAGAAGAAAATACAGTCTGTAGCAGATAGCGGAATTGAATCATTAAAATTTTAACTGTATGGCAATCCAACCCCTTTGGTTAATGCAATTTCAAAAAAATTGCATTAACCATGCTGTGTATAAAGTTCTGAGCATTTTATTGCGTCAGTCCGAGACGTTAGAGGACGTTCTTTAACATAAATATTTAAGGTCACTGAACCCTTAGATTTTGAATTTAAAGTCGATCGCCTAATTTTAACAAGTCAGGTCAAATCATGGCGGTGAAATAATAGGAACCAATTTTTGAAGTCATTAGACCCTAAACTTCTGAATTTCGAGTCGATGGCATAATTTTACTTTGATCCCATTCGGGATAGGCTTCTTGAGAGGCCCTATTGAGATAATTGGTTGAGGGAAGGGAAGGACTATCGTGCTAGTAATTCTATTGCCTGGTCTCACTTCACCACCGCTACGCCTACGATAGCGCGGGAACACTTCATTTCATCTATAGATTCAATATCAATAAAAATATCATTTTCCTCCGACGACACCGCCCATGGGGGTGTGGTTTTCGAACTCACCTTGGGATATACGCACCCCGGCACAACTGGCAGGTTGATCAGAGACTTCTTTCAGGGATTGCCACATGGTTTTTTTTGAACAGAGTGCAACACCTCATCCAATCCCCCGTGTACTCGACCGTAAATTTGTGCCCTGCTCTCCCCCATGTTGGGCGGCTGCCGTAATATCAAACACTTACGAATTATTTACGAACTTTTGTTTCGTCTTATTTACGAACAAAAGTTCGTAAATAATTCAAGTGAACCAAAAACATGCTTTTCAACTGCGGAAGTTTCGTAAAAGGTAGTAAGTCAATTTCCTTAGAAATTATCAAATTAAAATAGTAAAAGTTTGTAGGCTTACAAACCTTACCCAGTTTGTAACCGACGTATACAAACTGTGACGTGAGTTCCCTCAATGCCCTCAATGTTATATAAAATAAATCCATCGAAAACAGTTGGGCCCACTTTGAGGAAAGTTTGTAAATATTGAATTATTAAGTCAAAACATACGCGTTATTAATGTTTCAATAAATATGGTCCTGTTTTAAAGTTTTCAGAGGCACCCTCGCTGAAGAATGAAATTTTAAAAATTTGTTTTGAAACTCAGTTGAAGCTCGCCATGCAGTGGAGTTTGTTAGTTAGGACATAATAGCCTCAAATTCCAACTTATATGTTATGGACAAAGCTGATAGTAAATATTAATTAATAGGAAATCGACAAACTCTGTTCAAGAGGAGAATGTTGCATGTTGCCATTGCTGCTCTGCTGCATACTCGAAACTTTTGCTTCGCGAGTCGGGACACAAAATTACAAGTGTGCTTTGCTGGGCTCTATTTCCAGATATCCCAGGCCTGGACTGTGAACATGGCAAGCAGAATATTCAGTATCAAAGCGGCATTTAGCCATAGCCATGTCGGATGTTGCGCTTAATAGAGTTAAAAAGGCTAGACGGATTTCGTACTCTTGGACTAAAAGAGAAGTAATTTCTGACGCTGGTACTCGCTTGTGATGAGGATGCTTTTGGCGAGCTAAATAGGCTAAAGGTGCGTTTATGCTTCACATCATCGTCACGTCCTTCTCCAAATTCGATTTTTTGATTGGTTAAAATTTTTAATTGTCGTAGTGATAATTTCGTTCAGCCAATTAAAAAAATCGGATTTGAAGGAGGACGTGACGATGGCGTGAAGCATAAACACCACTTAAGGTAGAAACCTGTCAGGCAACGAGCATCAGGGCAATGAAGATTACTCATTTCCTTGAAGAGTAACAAATGATGTACGAACGTTCCGTAGTAGTTAAACGACCGAATTTTGATATCATCAAAGAAAATGAGGCTTGTTACTTCGGCAGGTTGTTGTTACCTTCCGTTTGAAGGTGAGACAAATTTGATAAATGGTTATGCAGGCAATGCCGAAGCATTCAGAGATCTTTGCTCCAGATTCCGTTTAGCAGCAGAATTAGACGACCAGAGCTAACATTAAAAATTGATAAAGCCCTAACAAGAATTTATTTTTGTGATAACCCTCATCCAGGGTTCATTGATGGCGATGTTGTACAAAATAACTTTGACGAGGAAGAAGACAATATTCCCGATCAAGGAGAAATGTTTCTGCAACATGTAGGAAATCTCATTGAACCATATCATTCTCCAACATTGGGCACAAAGACCTTTTTTTAACAAAGTCAGATTTACCTTATCGATTCTTCGGCAGCATTGGTTTCGAGCTTCTAAGCATCTTCTTGGAGAGCTTCTTCAAGAATCTCCAAGTAAGCCTAACACTTTGCTGAAGGCAGCACTTACTGGAATGAGTGCACTATTAATAGTGAACTATTAGAGTACTTAAACTCCCTGTTCAAAGAGGACGAATTCCACCATACTCTGTACTAAATAGTCGTTCACTTGAAGAAATTCGTGACTTACTTGAGAATGTTGAATGAATTATAATTGTTGAAATATCGATCTAGTCACTCAGAACTTTCGCCTATGCGATGTTAAGAATAATGATCTCGACGGAATAAACAGTCTTTGGCGATCTGTTGGAATTTTGTCCAGCCAACGGATCTTGGTGCTTCAAGCCACCGCCTAACATGAGATAGCAGCACAATCTTTGGACATTATTTGGTTTCACGAGCTATTCAAAAACTAACAGCATGGGGATCGATACTTAGATTTACTAAGCCGGATTAGATTTTGAAACACTTCTTCAAGAACCATGGGGACAAACGTGGGACACCTATCTCACAATGCCTCGTAGTGTTATGCTTCTATGATTTTATTTGATTGCAAATGCAAGGTTAATAGTTGTACCGCAGTGGATACGTATTCGGAAGTCAATATTTTATTTCTTTTTACAGTTGTTTGTTTTTTGTTATTTTATTTCTTATTTCTTCCCCTGGGCCCTTAATCCCAGCAAACGGAATCTTTTAATTAATCCTCGATTGTTCTAATCTAGGATTCTAATAAAAATTGATCTAATAATAAACAATGGCATCGAGCATACGGAAGTAGGTTCATTAGCTTCAGTTTCACTCCAGTCCAAATACACCTTCACGAACACTTAATTTCACTGTAGACGTATTGCTTCAATTTCACTGAAAATCTCATTTTTCCCCGACCAGGTGCGAGGAGGAATCTAATCCCAGCAAATTGAATCATTTAAGTAATCCTAGATTAATTTAATCCCGGAATAAAGTCTTAAATAATTATACTCCCACAGAAAAATTCAATAATCATGGATATCTGAAAACTGCCTAATTCGAAATTGTGTGGCCGATTTATGTCCACTGGTCGTTAACATTAGCAATTACATTTTTCTGTCATTTTATTATTATTTTAGGAACTACAGGCACTCGGTACGGACGGATAAGACGCAAAGCACCAAAACCCACTTTCTATTCGGAGATTTAGTTTTATAAAATTAATCAGAGTAATATAATATCCATCACTCATGGATATTATTATGCATACTCTTGTCATAATATTTGTGGAACCTTCATAAAATATGTAACTCACTACTTAAGAGGTTGTAGGATTCGGTCGCCAATTTCAACCATGTTAAAATTTCTATCCTATTTCTATAGGGGAAGGATCCATAAATAGTTAAAATTTGTTATGAACGTTCCCTAAATGACATAAGTTATTTTAAATGTTTAAAACAGCATTGATAAATGTTTATAAAAAAAATTGTTGAGACTTAAACCCTATTATTCAATTTTGAATCGGGTTTTCGGATCATCCAAAAGTAAATCCGATAACAATCGGATACAAGAAACCTGACAACCCGAAGCCGTTGAGAAACTCTACTCACGAAGATTTCCATGCTTTTGGTACCTTATTGTGCCGAGCGATAAGACGCAAGGCACCAAACCCCACGGCACGAGGCACTTCCCCCGTTCATGAATGCAAAGTACACTGAATTTTATGGTAACGAGTGGGTGTGGATTATTCAACCCACACATCCCTCCAAGTTCCCATGGAAACAATTACCTAAAAAAAACCACCCCCCTCCCCCATCATTTCAAAAAAAAAATCATGACAAAACCCCAACAACGCCACCTCTCCCAAACAATTCTCAAAATCTCCATGGAAACATTTTTAAGGAGTTCCTACCCGCGACTTTTATTCACACTAGTCATTCACACACACGCACACGAGTTTTTTTAATTCTCAAAAAAAAATTAAAACACCAAATTTCCATAGAAACTAGTCAAAAAAATGGTGCGTATCCAAGAATTGGATAACCTTGACGACGACGATAACAACGTGGCAACAACGGAAACGGAAACCATGGCAACGAATAATGCGGACCCGGATTTTAACGTAAAATTTATTTTCACTATTTAAAAAAAATCTCCATGGAAACATAAAAATCCCTAAAAATTCAGGCCTCCGTTGACGCTGCCCGAGCGGCCATGCAGCCGACGCCAATTGAGAAATTTATGGCAATTTGTAAATCTCTAATTCTTCGTGCCATGGTGATTTATTTCGTCATGAGTTTCATTCGTGGAGGGGGGAATAAAATCGCTCCTGCCACTCCTTCCACTGGGGGAATAAAACCTGTCGCCATGGAAAATTCGTTTCCAAACGGGACCGTCTTTGTAAGGTTTTTTTAAAATTAATAATTATCTAATTGCAATTAACTAATTGAAATATTTAAAATCCAGGACATGTACGTATATGTAAATGAGCACGCCTCATCTCTTGATTACATTAATGACCAATTGCTATGGAAACAGGAAGGCATGATCTATGGCGACTGGCTCGAAAATGAAAATGGCTACGTTTCCATGACTACACAATTTACATTGGGAGAGGTCTTAATAAATAAATTTTTTTGGAGTTGCCATGGAAAAAAATCACGACGATTTTATTTATTCTCTGTGTGTGTATCCATAGAAATCGAGGAGGAACGGGTCTCTGTTTTTGCACACGGTGATTGTCCCGATTGGAGATGATCCAAGTAATGATGCCAACACAAAGCGGATTTATTTAAATAAAATGCTCAACAAGTTTAAGAAGAAGAAGATTGTCAAGTTAAGAAATTTACTCAGTTCCGGGGATGAGGTTGCCGAGGTGATTTTTTATTGTTTCCATGGAGAGGATTTTATTGTTTCCATGGAGAGGATTTTTTAAAATTAAATTTATTTCCATAGAAACCGACCGTAGCGGAAATCGTGTCGCATTACCACCCGAATTTGACTATAAACTTGGTGACGGATTGGACGTTGTGGACGCCGGGGGCCGTTCCCGCCCCGCTTAACCAATTTGTGAATTTCGTTGGGGACAAGTACCAGCCGGTGGTGTTTTACAATGATTATTGGAATTTGGCCAAAGATTATCATCCCGTGGGGGTGGAGAACAGGTGCGTGGTTATTGATAATGGGGTGCTAAATGGCGTGCTAAAAATTGGCAGAGAAATTTGGCACATGCTAAAAAAATGCCAAAATATTGGCATAAATTTTGGCACATGCTAAGAAAATGGCAGAGAAATTAGGCACAAAATTTAGCACGCCAAAAAAAATGCCAAATTTGGCCCAACGCCAATTTTTAGCACAAAAAAAATCACCCACAAAAACCTAAAACTTCCCCCCATTGCAGAACCCTCCAAATCACGCTGACCTACCAGCCCCTCTCGCTCTTCAAGTGGCAGCTCTACGCGGCCCAGCAGATGAAAAGCCAGTGGTCCGTCTCCACGGCATTCGGCGGAGAAGAAGATCTCGACGATTCCGAGCAGGACACTTTAAAGGAAGCCATGATCGACACTAATCCAATCCTCCTCGTTCTCACATTCGTCGTCAGCCTGCTCCACTCCGTTTTCGAGTTTCTCGCTTTTAAAAATGGTATGAAACACGAATCATTTCTGCGGAATTATGATAAAACACACTAAAAAATTATACAAAAAAATACTAAAATTTAGACATCCAATTCTGGAACAACCGCAAGGACCTCGAGGGCTTGTCCGTCCGCTCCGTCTTTTTCAACGTGTTTCAATCCACGATCGTCCTGCTCTACGTTCTTGACAATGAAACGAATTGGGTCATCCGGATCTCGTGCTTCGTCGGGTTGGGGATCGAGATTTGGAAGATTCACAAGGTACGCACTCACTTAAGAAAAATTATTAATTTTAATATCACCTCACCTAAGAAAAATCACATCACCTAAGAAAAAAAAAAAAAAAATCCTCCACAGGTAACGGACATCACCTTCTCCCCCACGGACCGCATAATATTCGGCCTCTTCCCCCGCCCAATTTTATTAGAAAAACCCTCCTACTCCACCACGGTAACCAAATCCTACGACAAACTGGCCTTCCACTACTTAGGAATCCTCTGTTTCCCCCTCCTAATCCTCTACGGAATCTACTCCCTAATCTACCAAGAGCACAAAGGAATCTACTCCTTCATCCTGAGTCTCGCCTATGGATTTCTACTCACTTTTGGCTTCATTATGATGACGCCGCAGCTGTTTATCAACTATAAATTGAAATCAGTGGCGCATTTACCCTGGAGAATGCTCACTTACAAGTTTTTAAACACTTTTATCGACGATATCTTTGCGTTTGTTATTAAAATGCCGTGGATGTATCGGATCGGGTGTTTGAGGGATGACGTGGTTTTTTTCGTGTTTCTATGGCAACGCTGGGTTTACAAGACGGATTTCGAGAGGGTCAATGAGTTTGGGTACAGGGAGAGGAGGGAAGAAAGTGGGGTGGAGGGTGGGGAGGAGGTTAAGGAGATTACAGAGGGGAAAAAGGATCAGTGATTTTTTTTATTTAGCGTGTGTTGCTAGGGGACCAATGTAAATTTTTGTGTGTAAAAATTGTGAATAAAAATTATTTATTAAGGGAGTTTTGTGTGGTGATGATTTTTTACAAGGTTTTGCATGGATTTTTTTGAGGCGAGGATGGTTTTTTTTGGCGTGTTGATTTTTTTGTGCTAATTTTTGGCATGCCAATTTTCGTGCTAATTTTTTGGCATGCTAATTTCTCTGCCAATTTCCCTGCCAATTTCCCTGCCAATTTTTTAGCACATATGCCAAATGCCATTTTTGCCATAAAATAAATAAATAAAGTGTAAAAACCATCATAAAAAACAGTTAATAAACTTATAATTTATTATAAGAAATTGGCACACATTGGAATTATTAATTATTGCACTGGACCCTTTGTAATTTGGAATTCCCGATTTTTTATTACACCATTTTTCCCGTTGGACAAGTGGAATTTACGGGAAAAATCAGCATAAAATCGGACTTTTTCTAAACCTAAAATCCTAAATAAATACTTTTTTAAATACCGATTTTTTTAATTTCACACATTTTCCTATAAACAATTTCAAAATCCCCTCCACAAAAAACTAGAGCTGCGTGGCCTTTTTCCTTTTGAAGAGCCCCATGAGGCCGGTGCCGGCTTTTTTCTGGGCTTTTTTGTCTCCATGGTGATGATGACTTTTGGGGGTGTCGCTCTCGGAACTGCTGTCGTGCTTTACTGGCGTCGGCAAGGAGCCCGAACTTCGCGGTTGGAGGTCTCCAGCGTTGCCATGGGGACCGGGTAAAGTTCCCGCTTGGTAGACTGCAATTTTCGTTTTATTAGTTTATGTTGCCATGGAAATTAATTTAAAAAAAACAAACCAGAATGATAAGGATTATTTGTGATTAGGTTGCCATGGCGACCACGAGGACGATAAGCTTTATAAAACAGAAACACACATGCAAAGCGGGTGCACAGACACATAAAAAAATAAAAATTTCCATGGCAACTCACCATCGTCACCATGGTGATCCCCATTTTTAGCTGCCGCCCCCACGATGGACGAGGATCTCGGTGGAATTGGTGGTTTCGCTCGGTGGATTTGTTCCTATAACAACGGATAATTTTAATTAAAATAATTTATGGTTGTCATGGCAACGAAAAATAAAAAAGACAACGAAAAGCGACCTCGACAAACAAGCCAGACGAGACATTAGCGTAGAGCGGTTCTCTGGAGCGTGGTTTGTTTCTGAGCATGCGCACCTCGTCCTCAGAGGAGGACTGGTCCCCGTCGTTGCTGTTGTCATGGTGACGGTGGGTGTGGGTTTCCTGGGGGGTGAGTGGCTGTTGTCATGGCAACGGGAAATTACAATAAAAAAAACGATACGACACGGGACAATAAAAAATGGCTGAAATTTACCTGCGACAACTGTTCCCTTGGTTCCAGTTTTCCCACTAAAGTTAGTTTTTCGACCCATAAATTCACCATTTCTTCGGACTCGCAGGCAAAGAGGTACTCGCTCCCGTCAAAGAGGCGAACCCGGAAGACGTGTCTGGAAAATTTGTTGCCATGGTGATCATTTTATTATGTTGTCATGGTTATTTTTTTATAGTTTCCATGGATAAATTAATTTTTAGTTGCCATGGTGACAATTTTTTTGTATAAAGTTTCCATGGCAATAAAAAATCAATTTTAAAATTATCCAGCAACAACATTTTTACACCATGATAACAAAAAAAAATTCACGGTAACCATGGCAATAAAACCCCCTACCTCTTCTTCAAATAATCCCCCGCAACTTCCACTTGACACCCAAAAATATTGACCGGCGAGCCACTCCCACTTTTGCTCTCGACAAAGTCCTCTTGATCCTTAAAAAAGCACAGCAGCTGCCCGCAGAGCACGGTGTAAAACGTTTTCCAGCTCCGGTTCGTGGCCCGTTTCCCAGGCGACAAAAACTCGTGTTTCCGCTCCAAGTACCCGTCGATCGTGATGGGCGGGAGGTGGGAGGAGTCCACTTGTTTCAACTTTCGGAAGGATGTTGTTCGGCGACGGGTAGTGAACGAGGGGGTCCGTTTTGGTTTCTTCTCCGTGGTTACCATGGTGACGGAGGGGTTGGTCCCAGTGGGCGTGGTCCGGAAGGAGGAGGAGCGGGGGAGGAGTTCTGCAAAGTTAAAAAATAATAATTTTTATTGTTGCCATGGAAATTAATTTTTATAAAATAAAAAAAAATTACCATCCACAGAGAGGTTCTTGGTCTTGCTGGGATCCGACCCTTGGAAACAGAAAAATAAATTTTATAAAAAACCGTTCCCATGGCAACCACGAAAAAAAACCCTCACTCACCCCTCCTAACCTCCTGCCTCTCCCCCTTGATCCTCTCGATTTCCCTTTGCCTCACCCCCTCCAAGACCCTCCTCTTTTCCTCCTCAATCTCCCTTAATTTCCTCTCCATGGCAACTTCCTCAATTAACGTAACCCTCTCAACGACCTCTAATTTCCCGCCAATTAGCTCCAAATACATTTCCAAATCTTCAAATTCCCGCAAATTCGACTCGATTTTACTTAGCGACTCGCTTTCTTCGGTTTCCTCAATTTCGGCCATTTTCGATTTTAAATTGGCGTCGAAATTGTTCAAATCGAACAAAAATTTCTGCAAGTCTAAATTCTGCTCCAGTAATTTCTTTTTCGTTTCCATGGTTACCACGAGATTTCGCTGTTTTTCCTGTAACGTCGTTATTTTAACATTGATTTCCTCTGATAAGAAATGGGAATTCCGGATAAATTCCGTTCCCTTGGCGACGAAATTTGTGAATTTTCCAAGTTTTGAATTGTATTCGGAGGTGATTTCAACGAGTTTTTGGAGGTTTTGCTCGGATTGTTCGACGCCGTGGGTGAGGAGAGCCGAGGTGGCGACACGGGTGTGGAATTCCACGAGGGTGTGGGTCAGGGTTTCATAGAGGGTGAAATATTCGGATATAGTTTCCATGGCGATTAGTTTTTGTTGGTGGGTGTGGAGGGCGGTGAGGTAGGCGGTCCAGTGGTCCAGGGTTTCGGTGAGTTTTGACTCGACGTGTTCTGTGGGGAAGGGGAAATTTTTGTTAGTTTCCATAGGAATGAGATTAATGTTTCCATGGAGATTTTTTCAAATGCGTGGCAACGAAATGATTTCTTAAAAAAATCCATGGAAATAAAAAAAATAGTTTCCATGGAATTTTTTTTAATCAACGAAAATTTAAAAAAAATTTTGTTGTCATGGAAATTTTTTTAATTTTCGTTGATATGTCAACGAAAATACTTTCTTAAAAAATCCATGGAAATAAAAAAATAATTCCCATTAACAAAAAAAAACTCACCCTCCGCATCTGGAAACTCCCTGCCCAGCTCCCTCCCCTCCTTCACAACCTTCTCAACGGCCTCCCTCAGGATCTTCTCCTCCACTTCCCCCCCACTGAACCCCCCCACCAATTTCTCCCCCATCCAGCCCACCGTTTCATCCGCCATCCTATCAAAAACATGGACCCGCTTGGCCCCCTCCAACGCCTCCGTCCTCGCTCCAGCCAGTTCCTTAAATTCCTCCCACGTACGACCTATTTCGTCCACTTTCTCTGAAATAAAATCCTCATCGGGATGCTTCAATTCGATCAATTGCTTTCCACCACTGGAAAATCCACCCACCCGGTTTTCACCGTTGTTCAATATCGATTTTAGATAGGTGTCAAATTTCTGGATCAAAATCTCCACGTGCTCCACGTCCCTCCCGTAATCCTCGCTGGAGGCGGTTTGGATTTGTAATTCTATCCAATCGGTTAATTCCGTGGATTCCCTTTTAAATCTATAAAGCTTTTCAGCGTCCAATAATTTCTGCTTTCGAGTATCCGCGAGTTTTTGCAAATTGCTAAAATGCGTTTTGAACTGGTCCAAAATGGCTTTTATATTTTGACAGTCGTAATTATCCTCCAATTCCCCCGCGAAATTCAAAATCTCCTCATAACTCGATTTAAACGATTGTAAATTCTGATAATTCCCGTGAAACTTCTTAATAAGTTTATCACACGACTCCTCATCCGACCCAAAATCCGCCGAATTAAAAACCGTGGATTTCTCTTTAATGTAAAAATTCGCCTCCCCAATCTTAGCTTGAAAAACCTGCGATTTCAACGATTCTCCGAGTAATTTCTTTTTTAAATCGTGATTTAAACGTAATTTTTCGTATTTCCCGGTTAGTTCCGCGTCGTTTAGTTCTTTTATCTTGGTTTCCATGGATTCGATCTCCTGGTTAATCGACTCTAAAATCTTCCCCAACTTCCCAACTTGCTCGACAGAGTTTCCCAACTCCAAATTTTCAATGGATTGATTTTTTTCCGTGATAAAATCCGTGATTTCTTTTAAATCTCTGGAATACAAGAATTTATCGTAGGAAATTTGCAATTCCACGATTTTAGAATCGATTCTATCCGAGAATGAGTCGAATTTTTCTATTAACTCGGTGACTTTTCGGTCGATCTCGCGGTGCATGAAGTGACCAGCGGATTTGAACCCCCGATTAGTCATTTTAATCCCCTCGACAATTTCAAATTTTCCATGGTAACTCTCTTTTAGGAGGGACCACTTTTTGAGTAAATTCCCTGCGTGCTGCAAGTCACTCGGCTCGTCTTCGAAATTTCCTTCCTCTAAAAAGACGTCCAAGTCTTCTAAATTGTTGAAAAAGAGTAACGCGGAATAGGATTCGTAGAGCTTATTTCTCTTTTCGTTAGAGTTTTTTATCAATTTTTCACTTAGTGATTCCACTTCTTTTAATTTTTCTAAAATTTCATCTCCATGGAGATTTTCTTCGCTGATTAAATTCTGCCCTTCGGAATTTAATTGAACAACTTTTGTTTCTAAATAAACGCCAATTTCCTTTTGAAACGTTTCATGTTTCTGAATTTTAGACTGTAAATTCGTCATATCCGAGTAATTATCATCCGTTGCTATGGTGTTTTTCTCATTTAAATACAAATTCACTATGGAAACGGAGTTTAAGAATTTCTTAAAATCCCTACCATCGATTAAGAATCTCGTTTTTTCGTCGTAATTTATTTTTAATTGGTTGAATTTTGAGTTTAATTCTTTTATTTTTTGCTTAATCTCTTCGCTTGAATAGTGTCCCTCGGTTAATAATTCCTCTCCGTAGTTACACGTTTCCATGGTTTTTAACTCGCATTTTTTCAGTAGATCTACCGAGTCCTCATGGAATTTAAGCATTTTCAAAAATAATCCCAATTCATCACCAAGGAAATACTTGCAAACAGAGTCCAACTCATTTTGCAACTCTTCCGTTTCCTTGGTTACAGTATAGAAATTTTGTAATTTAACTCCTTGGTTTAATTTTAGGTCTCTCGTTTCTATGGCGCCGATTAATTTATTTTTCAAATCAGTGATTAATTCCAGGCAGTTGTTTAATTCGTTGAAATATTGGTTATTTTCGATGATTTTCGATATTTCCGCGTGTAATTGGTCGAATTGGGTGAGTTTCGCGTGTAATTCGTTTTTTATGGTGGTTTGCGTTTCTAATAACTCTTTTGATTCCTTTAAATTTACGGGTAATTTGGAATTCCTCAATTTACTTATAGAAATTTCGGTGAATTTTTCTAATTCCGAGGTTTTTCTCAGATATTTCTGATACTCCAGGGAATCTTGTAAATTCGTCCGTCGACTTGCACTCAAATCCCTCAAAATTTCAAAAGAATTAACGACTTTCTCCATGGAAATACTCGGATCCTTTTTGATCAGCTCTTTCTCTAACCCACGCATTTCTCTAATTTTCCCCTGAATAATCCCCATTTCCACCTCGATCTGGTCCAATTTCCTCAACAATCCCTCAACGGACTCGAGATCTTTCCCTAAATCTTCAACCTTCAAACTGGGTATTTTATCGGAAATCCGAAGGTCTAACTCGTCAATTTTGAAATTAAAATGGTGAATCTCCAAGGAATCCTCTAATCTCGATTTGTATTTTGATAAATTAGATTTCAACTCGGTCCAGCGGGTGTGCAGTCTTTTTATCACGTCGTCTTGACCTAGTTTCTTTCCGATGGAGTTAATTTCCTCGATCCTCGAATCGTCGAGCTTATCCAAATCCAACCGTTTAATCAAATCCTCGCAGTGCTCGAAATCCCTCCCCAAATCGTTTGACAATATTAAATTCTCCCTGATTCTAATCCACTCTTCTAATTTATCGATCTTATTTTGGAATTCGAGGATGTCGTGGGCTTCTTCGAGGCCTCTCCCGACGATTCTCGATTTTTCCAGAAGGTTCTCGTATTTTGAGTGGAGATTTTTGTGCAATTCTGGGTCTAAAATTTCCGCTTGAATAATAACATTCGGAACATTCCCCCTGAGCAACTCCGCCTCAAAAGCTTGGTGTTTTTTGAGTTTCTTAACTTTCTCCTCGAGTGATAAACTCTCTTTATTGAGATTTTCCAAGATTTTCTCCTTTTCCTGGAGGTAAATTAACGATTCCTCAACGTCCCTGAGGAATTTTAGGTAGGTTAATTTTTCTTCTAATTTCGATTTCTTTACGCTGCAAAGGGTTAATATTTTTGAGCGTTTTTCCGTAATTTCTTGGATGATTTCCGAGACTTGGACTTTGTCAAAGTGGTTTTGCTCGATTAGTTTTTTTCCCTCGAGCATTTGGAATTTGGGTTCTTGAGTAGAAATCAAGTGTTCGAGATTGAGGTGTTTTTTTAAGAGTTTTTCGAGTTCTTCTACCGTTGTTGCGGAGGTGTCGCTAAGCAACTGGATTTCCTGGGAGGTTAGGACGCTCGAGAGGGTTTTGCTGTCACGGAGGAAGATTTGTAGATCGATTAGTTGGTCGAGATAGATCTTTTTGGAGGCCCATTTGGATTCTAGTGAGGGGAGTTGTTTGGTTAATTCCGTGAGTTTTTCAGCAACGGTTTCCATGGATTTTATGCTGTTTCCTAGTTCTAAAACTTGTGAATATTTCTCTTTTCTTGAGTCAATCTCTAGTTTTAGTTGTTCATGTTCCGTCATTAGCAACGTGGCGTCACGTGACTTGTCTTGGGAGTCGAGTTGTCGTAGCAACGTGTTAAACCAGGAGGTTAGGTCGCGGTGGTGGGATTTAAACTTGTAAAAATCGAGGTTGGTTTGGAGCGTGGACTTTTTGTGGTCCGTGAGGGACTGGAGTTTTTGCCAGTTTTGGAGGACTAATTGTTGCTCCTCGTGGATGTTGGGGGCGTTGGTGGGGTAGAGGGTGGAGAGCCGGGTGGAGTCGTCGAGGAGGACCTGCAATTATTTTTTTAAGGGTTAGTTTCTATGGTGATTTTTTGTTGTCATGGAAACGAAAATAATAACTATGGAAACCCACCTGCAACTGCGCCTCCAAAGGAACCAGATCATTCTCGAAATTTTCCATGTTCCTAAGCAACAATTCGCAGGAATTGTAGTCTTTTCCGGTTTCTTCAGGGATTTCATTAATTTTCTCGTGGATCCGCTCCAGCGCGTCCGCGACGTCGCGATTAAATCGGTGGATTTCTCCCGCGGCGATTAATTTTAGCTCGCGCGCCTCCATCGCGGTCAGTAAATAGTTCCAGCGGTCGCTATGGAAATATATCACGATATTAATTTTTTATACACACATAATTAAATAAAAAATTACCATAGCAACCCATGCACTTGCAAAATAGAACTAAACCGTCACCATAGAAATAATAGATTTTTTTTAAATCAAGAAAATTAGTAACCATGCCAACCAAAAAAAATAAATAAAACTCAAGTCCTTACCCCACCCCTCCCACCTCCTCCCCCAAAACCCCCTCCCCTCCCGCTGAATCCGGTATCCTAGCAACCAATGCATCCAAATTCTTCAACTTCCCCTCCCCCTGTTTAACCCCATTTTTAACGATAAAAAACTTGTTTTTAATCCTTTCTAAATGCTCGTGATCCACGCCGTAATCCTCGCTCGAGAAAAACGCAATCATTTCCTCGATCCAGGCTCGGAACTCGGCGGATTCGATGAAAAATTCGTGTTTGTTCATCGTCTCGATGAGTTTCGAACGTTTTTCATTCGCTAAATTCTTTAGAGTAAGGATTTCTTTTTCGATTTCCTGTTGCTTAGCAACCATGGCGTGGTAGTCAGGGTTGGATTTGGAGATTAGGTGGCCCATTTCCTGGATTATCGAGGTGTAGGAATCGATTTCGAGTTCCGTCGTTTTGTGTTTTGTTAAGAGGGAGACGGTGGAGGACTTGTCTATTGAGGGGGGAAGGGGGGTCGTGAGGAGGTTCCTATAGGATATTAATTATTTATTAGTTGTCATGGAAATAATAAATAAGTTTCTATGGAAACACAACTCACACTTTCTCCTGGATCCAGGCCTCCACCTCCGCCGCGTCGTTGTAATATTGGTGAGTTTTCAAGCAAAACTCCAACCTCGTCTGCTTTTCACTCGTCAAATTAAGCAATTTGGACCAAGCGGATCTTAATTCTTCACAATTTTTCTCAATTTTCTTCTTTTCCGGGTGGTTCTGCTCGATTAGCGTCCCTCCCGTGGCGAGGACTTTTTCAATCACAGGGGCGTGATTCACTAACTCTTGGTGGTGTTTTTGGACCTACATAAAAAATTTTAAATTAAGATCGGCTAAAAAAATCATAATTAATAAATCCGCACCTTCTTAACCTTCACCCCCGCCTCATGGATCCCCCCTGGCAGGCCCATCCCCACGACAACCCCTTCTTTATCCTTGATATAACCCATTTCATTATCCAAATCCCAAAGGAAATCGTAAAATCTCAATAATTCCTCCAGAGCTTCCCTCCTTTTCCTCGCGGGATCTTTCAATTTATCCAATTTTACTTTCAATTCCTTCGCCACTTGCAAAATCCTCTCCCCATCGAAGTGTCCCTCTTTAACTAAAAGCTCTCCGAGCTCCACCAACTCATCAATTTTCTTCCCTAAATTATTCAACTCGCTCTCGTTGAATTCGTGCTTTTTCAACAATTCCTTACACGCCCGGCGGTCTTTTCCCAAATCTTTAGAATTCAGCTCCTTTTCTAGTTCCGAGATTTTCTCATCACACTGATCCACGTTTTTAAGATAGTCAACGGATATTTCTGCCTGTTTTAAATTCTTGTACTTCTCCGTGCACAAATCCTTTAGTGAATTCCACTCCTGGTTCAGATTTTTCAATAATTTTTCCACTTTTTCTTCATTGTTTTTTGATTTTACGAGTTTCTCACCAATTTTATTCAAAGAGTTTAATTTAACCTCATTCGCACGCAATTCCCCCGAAAAAACGGCGTGTTTTTTCAATTTCTTCTCTAAATTGGCCAAATCTTTAAAATCTTCTGAATTAGCAACGGATTTTTTCTCTCCGATCCACTGGAGCATGTCCTGGATCTCTGTTTCAAACTCGTGGAAGTTTAATGATTTCTGGAGTAATTTCCTCGTTTCCATGGCTTCCGTTTTTAAATTGTTTCGTTTTTCTAAGACCTCATTTTTCCTCTGGTTAATAAAATCACCATGGTTATGGATTTTCTCTAATTTCTCCGCCATGGCAACGAAAATCCTGACCCTTTCGTCCATCGCGAGTAAACTATTCTCGTAGTTATCATGCTGTTTTATTAAATATTCAATTTCCTCGAGAGAGTTGCCATGGTGATTTAATTTCGGTGATTTTATCTGTCTGTCGATGGAATCCGCTTCCTTTTCGAACATTTTGAGGTCCAGAATTTGGGAGAGTAAATCCTGCTTTTGTTGCCATTTTTTTGGCAGTTCTTCTTTGTAATTTTTCAATTCCGTTACCATGGAAACTATTTTTGGGTCATCAAGCTTGACTCCTAATTCAATAACCTGGTGAAATTCGTCGGATTTATTTTTCAGCTCGTCCAAGAGTTGCTCGTGGGATTTTAGGAGGTCCTCCGCCGTGGAGACGTCCTTTATTTTTTTCGTGTCCGGGGGGAGGAATTCCGTTTCCATGGTGATGGAGAATTGTTTTAGGGATTTGTAAGAATTTTGGAATATTTCCATGCCAACGGCGGCGTCGAGATTAGAGCGGCGCGTGTTTGCGGAAGTCAATAGATTTTGCCATTTGGATTGGGATTTTGCCAGCGCGGCCGTGATGGATTTTTCCTCGCGGGGGTACTCGCGGAGCGCCGAGGTTCCTGTGGATACATAATTTATTGCCATGGAAATTAAAATTAAGTAACCATGGAAATTATAACAAAAATCGCCATGGAAACCCACCCAAATCCCTGACCCTCTCGACCTTCTCCCTCACGGGCACCAGCTCCCTCTCGATATTCAGATGTTTCCTCTGCAAGCCCTGCACCGTTTTCAAATCATTCACAATTATCACCCCCCCCTCGATCTGCTCCCTTTTCTCATCGATCCACTCGTTCAATTCCGAACAGTTCCGGTGAAAAAGCTCAACAATGCTCGCTCCTTCCAGCGATTTCTCCTTTTCATTTTTCAATTTATTCAATTCCTCGTATAATTTATGGATCTGTTTCTGACGGGGCTGGACTTGCGGATAGGTTTTTAGCGTGGTTGCCATGGCGTCGATGTTTTCGAGTCTTTTTGTACAAGCGCTTAAATCCGTGAAGAGTTTGTCGAATTTCTTCTTTTCCGTTTCTATGGATTCCGTGGTTTCCATTGTTAATTGGCGGTGTTTCTCTAGCAACCACTTTTCAAAATCGTCGCACTCGGAGAGGTAGTGATGGAGATGGATCGAGGAGTGGAGGGAGGCCAGGCGGGTCTGTGGATTTATGAAAATTTAATTTAAATTGGTTGCCATGGCAACAAAAAATAACTATGGTAACATACCTCCCCCAGCTGAACCACCTCCCTGTAACCATTGACGACCTGGGAAATCCGGGCCTCGAGGTTTTTCTTATTTTCTTTTTGTCCGATGGGTTTTTCCGTCGCCTTTTTCTTCACATTAAACGTTTCCATGACCATTTTGGTCTTTTTTATTCGTTTGGTTTCTTTGATAAGTTCGGGTTTCCGAACCTGGACCATGACGACTTTTGGCTCGATTTCTTTGACGTAGTTCGCGGGGACGAAGCCGTCAACGCCAGAGGACTTTCGAACGTTCCACCAGTCCGTGTTGGTTTTTGATAAGAGGAACATTACCTGATTTAATAAATGGAAATTAGCTGAAATTCATGTGATTTGTATCTTATAAATTTTTCTTAGGTGAGGGAAATTTTTTAAATGGAAATAAGCAGAAATTCTTAGGTGAGGAAATTAATTACAAAAAAATTTGCCTTAGGCGACTCCCTCAAATAATCAAAAAATTCTTAAATAACTTCCCAATTCTTTCTTAGGTGAAAAATTAAATGAAAATAATCAGAAATTCTTAGGTGGGATCAGAAAAAATATCCTTAGGTGAGGAAAATAACTACAAAAAATTCTTAGGTGAGTCAAAAAAAAAACCCTCATACCTCCCCCTTCCCCACCTCCAACCCATCCTGCCCATTAAACGGATACAACGCCTTCACCTGCGCCACCGGCCTCTCTTCCGTCACCGTTTTATACTCTGTCCTCTCCTCCACCTCTTCTTCATAATAATCCTGCGGAACTAGTCTCTGCTCCTGCGTATAAACCACTTCCTCCTCCTCCTCCTCCTCCCCCCCACTAATCTCTCCATTCCCCATTTTTTTCCTATTTTCCAAGGCAACCACATCCCCCCGGAAACTCTCAATTTCATTAATCAAACCTTTATGTCTCTGTAACAAGGCGGTCGCCGTGGCAACGTCGTTTCCGAAATCCAAGGACTCGACGAGTGGTTTTTTCTCGTTGATCCAGTCCCCGATTTCGTTGCAGTCTTGGAAAGTTTGGAACGTTTTCTCGAGGTTCGAGAGTTTCTGGTGCTTTTCGAGGATCTCTTTTTTTAAAGAGTGGATTTTTTCGGTTAGGTGAGTGGTTTCTATGGAAAGTTCCGAGCAGGTTTCCAAGAGTTTTTGGTGCAGTTCCGATCGGGCTTTTGTTTCTTCCTGGAGGGTTTTTAGCTGTGGGGATATATTTAGGTGGTTATTAGGGGTATGCAAAATTAGAATTTACAATGGGGGTGTTCACGATAATTTCGCGAGAATACCCCCAATGAAAAACTGAATTTTTAAATAATCTTGGGAGTAATAGGGGTATTCACCCTCACAACCCACGTGAATACCCCCACTACCTCCACCACTCACCTTCCCCCTCACCCTCACCACTCCCCTCAAATCCTTCAATTTACTCCCCACCCCCCTCACGATCCTCCTCTTGTCCTCCACCCACTCCAGCTCCTCATCCAGATCCTGACACGCCTTAAAGTAACTCAACTCCTCCTCCAACCTGACCCTATAGCCCCTCACCTCCCCCTGTAACTCCCCAAACTCCCTGACCATCCCCTCCACCTCCCCCTTAAGCTCCCCCCCCAAATCCACCCTCTTCAACTTCTCAATATACTCCCCCAAGTTCCCAATGGCAACCTCCTCCAACCCCAACCCGCTAAGTAACTCCTCCGCTTCAATCAAATTCCGCGGCTTTTTCCCCTGAATTTTCCCGCGAAAATTCAAAATTTCCTCCATAACATTCGCAACATCCAATTTCTTCGAATTAACAAAGTTAAACTTATCGAAATTAACCCTGTGTTTGTTAAGCAATTGGATCAACTCATTCCACGTTTCCAAGACTAAATCCGCCTTTTTCTTCACTTCCCCGGCGTCATGGTAACACTCCCTCGAGAGAAATTCGCTCATCTCTCGTAGCTGCATGCAGCGCTCCTCCCTCGCCAGGATGTCCGCCGAAATAGCTTCATGCTTCTTGAGAGTAGCCTCAATCTGCCCCAAGTTAATCCCGTATCTGACATCGCTCAAAACTTGGATCATGTCTTTTAAATAACCCGATCGTAATTGGGCCTTTTTCCAAAATTTCACCGCAATTTCCTCCAATTTCATCTGTCTCAATAGCTCCGATTTCAATTTAGCCTCGAGTTTATTCTCTGATTTTTCTAGTAATTCCCAGTGTTTTTCAATGTCTTTGAGGTATTTCCCGTCCGGTGGGGAGTAGGAATTTTGGTTTAGTTCTTTCAAGCGGATGTTGATGTTGTGGTAATTCGCTTCTATTTCGGACTTTTCCACGTATTTTGGGGGTTTTTCTGTGGTGCGGTAGTTTTTGAAGGTGGAGAGTTCGGTTTTTATTAGTTGGACCGTTGGTGGGGTGGGGAGGTCGTTGAATTTCTTCGTAGTGAGGATGATCCAGTTGAGTAAATCTGTAGTTTGTAATTCGTAACTATGCTGAAGGTTCTCGGCCTCCATGATTTGGTTGATGATGTTGGCGATGCGGCGGCCGCCTTTTAGTTCGGATTTCATCCGGGCGAAGGTGTGGTAGTAGGAGGCCACGTAAGTTAGGATGGACTTTTCGTCCGGCCGGGTGGTGTCGATGTCTAGGGAGAGGGAATTGTGGTTTTTAGGATTTTATCGTATTTTTATAGTATTTCTTAGGTGTTTTTTAGTAATGGGGGTGTTCACGTCACCGAATAGAAGCGTAGAAACACCGCCAGAAAATTATTAACAGCCACCGTGAACACCCCCAATATCCAAAAAAAATAAAACCCTACCCTCCGCATCGAGCAACCGTGGAATCCCCAAACCCCTCTCCGCCGTGTCAAAAGCATTGTTCAAATTGTCAATATGCTTGGAGGGAACCAAGGACGAATAATTAATCAAATCCGGTCGGTGGGCATGGATCAACGCGTTGAACCCGAGGCCGGACCTCCAGGAACCCGTAAAGTCATTAATAGCTACGTTTGGGTAGCCAGAGGTTTTCCGCTGGCACCAAAGTAATAAAGCGTCCTTGGCGGATTTCTTCTCCGTGCTCTCGTGGTTGTCCTCGTCCTAGGGGAGAGTTATTAGTGGGTTATTATTGGGGGGCTTCACGGCATCATCGTAAAAACTAGTGACGTTAATACCCCCAATAAAACTCTACTCACCACGTCAATCTCAATCTCCTGGATCTGAAACCTCAAGATAATCGTCCAAATCAGCCCCAGAATTAGACGTGGATTCCCGTCGACAATGTCCTCCGCGCCGATCGACTCCAGCCGGACCTGTTGAATTTCTATTAGTATTTTTCCCATAAATAAATAAACCGAGTCCCCACCTTTGTATGGAGAAAAGCCAACGATTTATTGACGTTCTCGACGTGGTGGACCCTCATTTTTCCGCTGTTCGGCTTGCCCAGTTTTTCACCGGAGATTATCTCGAGGAGTTTTAAGAGTTTTCTCCCGTCCGCGAGGTCCTTGAAGAGGTCCTCCACCTCCATTCGGGCCTATGGGTTTTATTTTTAGGAATTAGTCGTCATGGCAACGGATTTAGTAAATACAAACCTTTAGTAAAAAAGAGTTCATCCATTTCGTGAAGGTTTTTTTTTGAATTGTTAAACGTTCGTCTTGGAGCTGTTTTATCCGGCCCTTTTCAAAGTTTACGAGGTCGTCTCCATGGAGACCCCCCGTGGAGGTGGGTTTGGGTTTGGTGGTCATTTTGGTTATTTCGTGGGGGTGGGCATCGCTGGAGGGTTTTTTGTGGTAGGACTTTTTTGAGTGCAAATTGTGTGTGAATCAGTTAACAAAAACAGAGTGTGTAAATTAGTGGAATGAAGAATCTCTGGGCGTGAAATACCGTGAAACAAGGGATTTAGGAATGTAATCTTATCTTTAGTATTTGCACAATCATGCGGTCATCACCACTTTTATAACTTTAATCACCATGACAATTTTATTATTATGCAAATTTTTGTCACTACAAACTACGTTCTGTGTCTGCTCCTCTGCTGTCAAATGCTCTGTTTACCGTGGGTACACAAGGGTTAGGTTCGTACTTAGGTTAAGGCAGTTCGCACCCAGTGCGATGTATTTTTTTTCGTTTCCATGGTTTCTCAGTGGGTTTTTATATTTCCATGGAAATTAAATGATTAATTGGTTAAAATTAAAAATTACTTACAAAATTTCCATGGCAACTAATTTTTTAAAGTAAAACCATAATTCCTGTGTGCAAACTACCCACACCACCACAAAACACATACACACCGGTTCTTTCCCCACGACGCAGGCGCCCTTTACAAAAACCGGGGGCAATATGACACAAAAATGGGCGTGGTTTAATAAATAAAATCACCATGGTTACACCAGAAAAAAAACATTTTATTCAATTTAATTAATCCCCACACACGCGGAATGTTTTATTAAATAAACAATTTAAGAAATATCAAATAATCAACATGGAAACCTTATTCCTCATCCCCCAGATTATGTTTCACCTTTGAAAAGTCAAAGTCCTCCCCCGTCCCCCGTTTGAAAATGTCCAAAACGTCCAAACACGTGGTCTCGAAATGGGTCGTGGCGTCGTACGAGGTTGAAATGAAGAGTTGCGTGGACTGACCCGGGTCCAGGGCTTCGTAGTAGTCAGAGACGGTCACGAACCTGTTGGCATGGGAATTTTTTAGTGGTTGCCATGGAAATATAATTGCTATGACAACACAAACTTTTGTCGAATGGGTCCCAATAGCGCGAGTCCGGGCCGGATCTCCTCCTCCGGCGTGGCCGTCTCCACGGTCGTGGAAACCATGGCAACGAACCAGCCCTTGGCAGCCACCTGGTGCGTGTACGACACCACAGAGACGTAGATATCTACAATTCATTAAATACAATTTCAGTAACCATGGTAACCAAAAACCGTAACCATGGAAACCGCACCACTCCTCCTCCCCACTTGCTTCTGAGGTATGATAATCTGCGTGCTGAGGGCATCCTTGGTGTTCGGAACGGGATGGTCCATCAGACAAATGCACCGGATCACCTGCCCCGTTTTCCGAACCCGTTCGGGAACGTAGGTAGGGTCGCAATAGACTTGTTTACACTTGGCGATTTCACCACCGCTCCGAATCCCGCAGACTTTTCCTTCCGCGTCCATGACGATCTCGTCGACTTGCTTGTCCAGCATGTAGGTCCCGCCGTAGATGGCGGATAGTCTGTGGAAACCATGTTATTTTTTTAATTTGTTGCCATGACAACTGAAAAATAAAAATAAATAGACTCACCTAGCAAACCCCTGTGGCAACTCCCCCAGCCCATACATTGGATAAAGATAAGGGCTCTTCCCATATCTCGCCAGCGACTCCGAATAAAGTTTAATCCGCTTCATCGCATCTCCGGCGGGCTTCGCGAGGTACTCATCGTCCCGATACAGCGCGATGGCATGCCCCGTAAAGTCTTGTGTATTCGCGTCCAAGCCAAATTTCTCGTACAGCTGCTGCGTCGTTTGTGTTCGAGAGTCGAAATCCTTCCAGGTTTTCGGGTCCGCCGGGTCGTACTCTTGAACAAAAACGAGAAAGTTCTTGAACCGGCGCTTCTCGAACAGCCCCATCAGATCTGTGGACACATTTATTATTCAGTTTCCATGGCAACCAAAAAAAATACTAAAAAAAATTTACTGACCACTCCCCAGTGCCTCCCTCTCATCGGCGGGAACTTTTGAAATCTTCCCGCCCTTATAAACATATGACCCTTCGCAGGATTTAAACTCCAGATAGCGCGTGACCCCGGTGTGAATCAAGAGTTTAACTAGTTGACCATTGGCCATGAGGAATTTGGGGATGAGATCCACGTTCCAGTCCCGACCACGACCGTACGCGGGGTCCACGGGGGTGGAGTACTTTTCAAAGAGTTCTTCTAATGGAGTGATGGAGGCGGATTCACCTCCGTAGTATTTGTTGCGGTCAATGTGGAGGACTTTTTTTCCGCTGACGGACAACATCCCGGAGAGGATGCATTCCTGTGAGAATAGTGTGTTATTTGGTTGTCATGGCAACGGAAAATAGTAAAATAACCTTCAATCCCGTCCCCAAAACGATGGCGTCGTACTCCTCGTCCATTTTTTACAATTTTCGAAAAAGTAGAATTATTTCCTTGACAACTGGCTGTCTGACTTTTAGAGAAAAAAATATCCTCCCAACAACCCTACAAACCCACTCAACAGATGGCGTGGGCATCCACTCACACAACTCTCGACCAGTCTCACACCGCCCCACACCACACCCCACACACACCACAGCACCAACACTCTCAGTCACTCATTTCACTCTCCACTAAATTCATCCCCCAATTGTAAAAAAAAAAAAATGCAAAAATGTTCTCAGGAAACTTGAAACTGCGGATAATCGAGGCGGTGGAGTTAAAACCGACGGCGTTCCAGGGCCGGCTCTCGACCACTTTCTCAGAGAACATCTCCATCGACCCCTACGTTTCCATTGATCTCGATGAAGTTACCATTCACAGGTTGGTTACTTTATTATTTTGTTACCATGACAACCGATAACACTTGTCTCTCCATAGAACCACCCCCCGTGTGAAAACCTACAACCCGAAATGGGACGAGTCCTTCGTGACCATGGCAACCAACCTGTCCTCCATCGGTCTCACCGTGTTCCACGACGCGGCCATCCCACCCGACGATTTTATCGCCAATTCCACTATACTAATAGAGGATTTGCTAGAAAAACTCGAAGCGACGCCAGCGCCCTTATCCGATGCGCTATCCGCGGAGAGCGCTTCGAGCGCCTCCGTCGCGCTGGGCGCTTCTTCATCAGAAAAGAAATCCTACGACATTTGGGTGGATCTCGAACCCCACGGGCGATTGCACATCGCGATGGATTTCAACTACGAGGAAGAGGAGGAGCACGAGGAGGCCAATTCCGAATCCATAGTGAAAAGTGGGGGTGGTCAACAAGGGGGGGAGTCCGATGGGGGGAAGGAGTTTAAGGAAAGGGGGGGTGGTTTCAACCGGAGGAGGGGGGCCATGCGGAGGAGGGTCCATCAAGTCAACGGGCACAAGTTCATGGCCACGTATCTACGGCAACCCACGTTTTGTAGTCACTGCAAGGAGTTTATTTGGTATGTCACGTGGTTTTTATGGTTTCCATGGTTACTAAATTTTAAAAAATTGTGTAACTAGGGGTCTGGGGAAGCAAGGCTACCAGTGTCAAGTCTGCACGTGCGTGGTGCACAAGCGCTGCCATGGCCTCGTCGTCACCAAGTGTCCGGGGATGGCCATGGGGGGCGCCGTGGGGGGCGAGGAGCTCGAGGCGGTAATTTTTTTTTTAATTATTTTTTTCCATGGCAACTAAAAATTTTTTTAAAAAAAAGGTCGGGGGGCAGCGCTTCTCGGTGAACCTCCCCCATCGCTTTTCCATCCACACCTACAAGCGCCCCACGTTCTGCGAGCACTGCGGGTCGCTCATTTTCGGGGTCATCCGGCAGGGTAATAAAATATATAAAAATTAATAAAAATGGTTGCCATGGCAACTAAAAAAAATAAATAAACAGGCCTCCAATGCGAAGCGTGCGGGATGAACGTGCACAAGCGCTGTCAAAAAAACGTCGCGAACAACTGCGGCATAAACACGAAGCAGCTCGCGGAAATCCTCTCCGCGATCGGAATCAGCACACAAAATCTCAGCGTCGCGAGTTCCCAGGCGCAGAGGAAAAAGAAGGTTCGTTGCCACGGAAATATATTTTTCGGTTGCCATGGAAACTAAAAAATAAAACTCCACAGGTCTCCATAAGTGAAACGCGGCCGTGCTCCTCCTCCACGTCCTCTTCGATGATTTCTAACGTTTCCACGGGGACGATGGAGAGCACGTTCAGCGCGAAAGAAGCCGAGCACACGCAGGAGATCCGCATGAGGATTGAGGCGCAAAAAGCGATGGAGGCGCGGATGAAGGATAAGCTACCCGTGGACTCGAAACCGGTCGCTGTAGCGACTGCGGCCGTTGCCAAGGAGACCAAAAAAGGTGGGACACAAATGTTGTGTGGGGAATTTATGAGGCAATTCACGCCCTCCTTCGTAACTACGTAAACAGCGTAAAATCCGTAAACTTACAAACGTTTACAAACTTTTACAAAAATTGTCAAGGAAAATCAGTTTACAAACTTTTGTAAACTTACGCAGCTCACAGGCGTCTTTTAATTTTGTAAAGTATTTTGTAAACTCAATTTGCGGAAGAAAAAAATTTGTTCGATACAGAAATTTGGCATAGAGGTTGCTAATGGCTCCTAATGAAAGAATATGAAGTGAAATTGGTAAAAAATCACATCCGGGACCCGTTGGGGTGACCCATACCGATTTTCATAACTTGTCTCAAAAAGCTGAAATTCGGAACGGTGATAGCTTCTCATGAACGAATATGAAGTCAAAGATGAACAAAAAATAACCAGATGGGCAATAAGGGAGGGGCACCGATACCGATTTCTAAGAAGTTATATATTCAGCTAAGATTTAGTGTGATTTAGGATTAGAATTTAGGAGGGTTGAATTTCGAAATTTTTATAGGAACAGCCTTCACTGTTCATGGTATTTATTATATCAATAAATGCAGCTCCACAAATTTCTTCCATTAATTTCCGTTTTCTGGAAATGATCGGCATTTTGTTTCAATTATCAGATAAATTTTTACGAAAATAATTGCGAAAGTGAATTCACGGGAAGCTGTTTGTAAACGTTTGTAAGTTTACGGATTTTACGCTGTTTACGTAGTTACCAAGGGTGCGTGAATACCCTCAATATTTTTTTAAAATAAAAAATCCGTTTCCATAGAAATCTCCACCCGTCGAAAAATAGGGCTGGAGGACTTTAATTTTATAAAAGTGCTGGGGAAGGGCTCCTTCGGGAAAGTCATGCTCGGGGAGTTGAAGGGCACCGAGGAGGTCTACGCCGTCAAGGTGCGTTGCCATGGAAACAATTCATGGTTGCCATGGAAATAATAATTTTGACTTTCCATGGAAATACATAGGTCCTAAAAAAAGACGTGATTCTCCAAGACGACGACGTGGACTGCACGATGACGGAGAAGCGGATTCTCGCCCTCGCCGCGTCGCACCCCTTCCTCACCGCGCTCCACTCCTGCTTTCAAACCAAGGTCAGTATTTCCATAGTTGCCATGACAACTGAATAACAAATCCCGTAACCATAGGACCGCCTCTTCTTCGTGATGGAGTACGTGAACGGCGGCGACCTAATGTTCCAAATCCAGCGCGCGCGTAAATTTGACGAGCCGCGGGCGCGCTTTTACGCGGCTGAAGTGACCCTCGCGCTGCAATTCCTCCACCGCCACGCGGTCATCTATCGAGATTTGAAACTGGATAATATTCTCCTAGACCAAGAGGGACACTGCAAATTAGCGGATTTCGGGATGTGCAAAGAGTTTGGGATTTGCACCAGTGGGGAAAATGCTACGGGGGACAACACCACGTCGACTTTTTGTGGGACGCCGGATTATATCGCACCGGAGGTATTTTTTTATGTTGCCATGGAAATTAATAATAATAAGGTTGCCATGGAAACAAAAAGTAACCATGGAAACTCTCTCCACAGATCCTCCAAGAGCAAGACTACAACTCCTCGGTGGACTGGTGGGCCCTGGGGGTTCTAATGTACGAGATGATGGCGGGGCAGCCCCCTTTTGAAGCAGATAACGAGGAAGACCTATTCCAATCCATTCTCCATGACGACGTGCTCTACCCGGTCTGGTTGTCACGTGACGCCGTGTCGATTCTAAAGGGCTTCATGACTAAGAATCCGACGCGGCGGTTGGGGTGCGTGGGGGCGAACGGGGGGGAGGCCGCGATTAGGTCACATGCTTTTTTTAAGGAGATTCACTGGGAGGCGCTGGAAATGCGGAGGGTGAAACCCCCTTTTAGGCCGAAGATTGTGAGTGTGGATTTTAAATAATTGGGGGGCGTTCATTAATTGCGTGATGGGAAAGGGGCTGAAATTTCAATGGTATTTTTTGCGTCACGCAATGAGTGAACGTCCCCCTTGACATTTAAAATTCTATAAATTAATAAAATAATTCCCATAGAAATCCAAAAAGGACGCCCTGAATTTCGACGCCGAGTTCACCAAGGAAGAGCCGGTGCTGACCCCGCTGATGGCGGAGGTGGTGAAATCCATCAGCCAGGAGGAGTTCAAGGGCTTCACCTTCGTCAACCCAGACTTCGATCCGATGAGATTTTCTCATGAGAAAAAATGAATACTCAATTGTTTTCTAGTCTTTTTTTTACGTTGTTGCCATGGAAACGCGCACATGTTTTTCGTGGAGTGGAGATGGTGGAGTTTATTTATTGTGCTTTTGTCATGGGAGGAGAGGAGGAGGGGTTAATAAAAAATTTGTTGAAAAATTGGTTGTCATGGTGATATTGGAGTTTTTATTTGGAGAGGTGAGAAGAGGGGAGGGTGATGGTGATGGAGTTTGCGTGGCTAGTGTGGCTCTTCCGGCGAGTGGACACAGAGTTGTTGTTGTGGAGAGAGTGGTGGAGTGAGCGTTGTTTTGAGGAGACTGACTGGTAGAGAGAGAAGACGGAGAGTTGTTGTGGTGATAATGGGGGTTTTATTTTTTTTTTGTGGGGGGAAGTGGGGGGAAGTGGGGGGGGGTTTGTCAGTGGGTGGGGTGGTGTGTGATTAAGGGGGGGTTAGTTAAAATCCACCGATGATGAGATAATAACGGCGTCGCTAGGACAACGGAGCTGGAGACCCTGTCATTTATGGTGAGCGTTATTTTCCTAATTTTAAAAATTCCACGGATCTACTGTTCATCCAATATTAATAGTAATATCGATATTAAAATTTCTAATATCAATATTAATATTTCTAATATCGCAATTTCTTGGAAAATTTTCTGAGAGGTTATTTGGTTGCTAATTGAAAAATAAATAATCTGCCAGGTAACCTATCAGAATTTTTTGCGACTAATGATACTGGACGAACAGTAATTCCACGAAAAATCCGCCCATCAAAAAATCCCAAAAAAACATTTCAAAAAATTCCAAAAACTACTCGTATCCTATCACCATGGCAACCACCAATCTCACTTTCCCCCCCTGCTCCCGCTGGACAATCCCGCCTCTTCTCCTTTCTTTTCACTCTCTTGTCCAGTGTGCAGTGGAGAAACTCCACTCTTCCTCCTCTCCAATTAATTTAAATTAAAACACCCAACGAGATGGTGGAGTTCATGACCAACTGGTACATCACGGCCACGCTGGGCGAGGGGGCCTTCGGAGAGTGAGTCCATCCCCCCACTAATAATTTCATCACTAATTCTAATAATTCCCACACAGGGTGAAGCTCCTCCACAACACGGTCACCAACGAGTCCGTCGCCCTGAAGATTTTGCACTTTCACGAGGATGCCACCGCGGAAACTGCGACCACAACTTCCCCCACGGAAACAACAACGACCACCTCTCTCCAAAAACAGGAAGCCGAAAAACTGATAAAAAAAGAAGTCTCCATCCACCAGAAACTCTCCCACGAGAACATCGTGAAATTCCACGGGTCCCGGATGGAGAACAACGTGTGGTTCCTGTTTCTCGAGTACTGCGACGGTGGGGAGTTGTATGATCGCATTGGTGAGTTTTTCTCTCTCTCTAAATCACCATGTCAACAAATAACCCACTTATTCCCCCTCACAGACCCCGACGTTGGCCTCATCCCCCACACCCTGGCGCACTCCTTCTTCTCCCAGATAATCTCCGGAGCGACGTATCTCCACTCCCTGGGAATCTGCCACCGGGACCTCAAACCCGAAAACATCCTCCTCTCGGGGGAAAGGATTAAAATCTCGGATTTCGGGTTCAGCACCATGTACAGGAATGAGGAGGGGGTGGAACGGTTGCTGGATACAAAGTGCGGCACCGCGCCGTACCTCGCCCCGGAGGTTTTTTACAATTCTAAATACAAGGCCATGCCCGTGGATGTGTGGAGCGTGGGGATCGTGCTGGTGGCCATGTTGGGGGGTGGTGAGTTACTTTACTGATTTTGTTGCCATGACAACCCACTAATAATAACTATTTTTAGAACTCCCCTGGGACCGTGCCGACCCCGCGACCTCCCCGGAATACCGCTCCTGGCGAGAATCCACCCCAACCTCGACTTCCCCATGGAATAAATTCGACCTGGCGACTCTATCATTTTTTAAGAGATTGCTCTGCCCGTTGCCAGGGAAACGGATCACTTTCGAACAGATTGCGGACCACGCGTGGATGAAGAAGCGGTTGGCTAACAAGAGGAAGAAGGGTGAGATTATTAGTTACAATGGGTAATTTCCAGGTCACCATGGCAACCATCACCCGCTCAGGTACTTCTGTGACTCAGATTTGAATTAAAAACTATCTGAGCATTGGAGTAGCTGGGTGGGTGGGTTGCCGGGGCAACAGAGGTTTTTTTATAATTATTTTTATAAAGTTTGCGAAATTACGAAAAAATAATTACAAAAATTAAAAAAAAATCCACAGACTTCCACATCCCCCCGCCCCCACTGACCCTAAAACGCTCCAAACCCAACACCATCTCCACGACACATCAAACCCTGCAGCACTCTCCAATCTGCTGCCTCTCCCAACCCGACCCGATCCTCATGAACTCCAACCCCGAATCTCTATCACCCCAAAAACCCCATGGCAACCAGATTGACATGACGAAATTCTCCTTCAGCCAACCCGCAGCGAATGAAATATTATCCGAAGAAGTCGCCCCGTTGTCAAGGCGACTCGTCCACCGGATGACACGGTTTTTCGTAAAGAATAATTCGAAAGAGTGCGTGAAAATCGTGACGGGGGTGTTGGACGAGTTTTGCTACCAGTGGAAGGTCTTTCAAGAGGGGAGGACTGTGCATGTGGTGAGTAGAATTTCCATGGCAACAATTTCTTAGAATCAAATAACTCCCTAAAAATAAATATTAAATCCCAGATCACCATAACAACGGTGGACCGCCGGAAGACCCCGCTGGTCTTCAAGTGCACGGTGATTGAGGTTCAGGACAAGGGTGACGCGGTGCTGTTGGATTTCCGTCTCTCCCGCGGGGATGGCCTCGAGTTTAAGCGGCATTTCCTGAGGATTAAGGACTCGCTGAGGGACATTGAGCTCAAAATCGGAGCCCCTCTCAATTGGCTCATCCCGTTTTAATTATTTTCTTTTTGAGACTGATTTTTTGATAAATTTTGTAATGAAATTAATTATTTTTAATGGAAGTAAATTATTTATAAAAAAAAATTAAGCGTGTTATTAATCAATTTCCACTTCATTTCTGGCATCGCTCGCTCCTTGTTCGGCCTGGGTGAGTTTTTCGTGGATTTTCTGAGCCATTTCCTGGTCGTAGATCAAGTGGTCCATCCGGAGGTACTGCTTGTTCGGGCAGCCCGCGTAGGGACATCTGGAAATTTATTTATTGAGTGGTGAAAGTTTTGGACTTCGTTTGGCCCGAGTCAGGGGGGGAGGGGAGGGTTGTAGTAGGTTTTAGCTTTGTATGATAATTTTGAAATTTTAATCCCCCATCGACGACCCCCAAGGGTCAACTAGTTGACAAAATTTTCGAATTTTCTTAATTATGCCCAATATGCGGTTCAAAAATTTTAAGTCGCTTTCGAAGCTGGACAAACAAACAGACCGACACGATGACGACTACATAATCCCGCCTTCCCTCCCCTCAGACTAAAAAAAACTCCCACATACAAACCTGGCCCTCAAGTTCTTGGAAATGATCTCCTTGATGCTCTTCTTCCCATAAAAGTGATTGCAGTACATGTTTTTCCACGGGTCGAGCAGGGGTCCTTTCGAAATCGGGTCAACAATCGGGATAAACGAGCCTCCGCCTCCGCCACTCTCCTTCGATTTCTCTGCTGACCGAGCCGTGAATTTCGATTTCGATGGCTGGAAAGTAGCTGCTCCAGCGATGGAATCTGCAATAAAATTATTATTATTTGTTGACCGAAAAACCCACTTCTTAAAAATAAACTCACCCCTGCAAACCTCCTCCACCTGCTCCATGAAGACCCCAAAGAGTTCCTCCTCCTTCACCACTTTATCCGTCAGAGTCGATAAATATTCGTCCTCCGCCGCGTCCCCGACCTGGTTTTCACTCAAAAATTAACTAAAAATACTAAATAATTAAATAAAACCCACGCACCTCCCGCATGTCATCCAACAACTTCAAAACCTTCTCATCACTCGTCGAGCTTTTCCCGATTTTCGCCTCAATCTCGGCCAGCGCTTTGGAAATCACTCCGTCCCGATTTTTAGTGAGGAGAAAGGCTCGGAAGAGTTTTATGGAACAGGTCGTGATGCGTTTTTTGAGTTTTTGACGGCTGGGCTCTGCAGGGAGGGGAAATTATTGTTAAATTGGGGAAAATATGGGAATGAGTGTTTTTTTACCGTCGGGTGCGATGGGGAGGAGGTTTTGCAGGAGGTCAGTCTGCTGTTTTAAATATAATTTCACCTCTTCCCAGGTCAGTTGGTGGTCCATTTTTGGGGATTTAATTAGTGATTGGTGAGTGAGTGGACGGAGGGATGAAGAGCAGCAGAATTGTTGACTCGGTGAAGGCTGGTGCGGGTCTGTCGTGTGTTTGGCTGGGTTTCTGCCTGTTGAGAGAGAGAAAAGTGAGAATTTTTCTCTCGGTTGCTTGGGGGATGCTGCGGGGCAATGAGGTATTTTCTCAATTTTCTCCCTTTTTTAACGGGGTCTTATGTGGTTTTGTGTTTGTCCGTCTGTTTGTGTGTTTGTTTGGGTAATATTTATAAATAGGTGAGTAGGATTTTAGCTCTAGGGATATTGTTGACTTGTTATGATCAAATTTACTAGAAACAATTAGAAATAAGTTCCAAAATAGGTTCGAGAGCTTGATAATAAAAATAAACCACTGGAAATCATTCAAGTGAAACACCTTGGCTCGGGCTATGCACTAAAAAAACTTTCTAACCATGCCAACGTAAAATTGCTAAGCATAAAATTCAAGACAAACAATTCCCAGACAGTGAAAAAAAAATTGATTCCAAATCTTCCATAAAAAAATGGACGACTCATCTCCACCGCCGCCACTGGAAGAATCTCCACCCCCAGAACCACCTCCAATCATGGAGAACGACCCACCGCCCCCACTACCAACTGAACCCCCACCACCACCGGAAGAAGAAGACTACGAAGACGAAGAACAAGAATTCGACCCCAATCCCCTCGAAGAAGAAGAAGAATTCTACTTTTCCACCTTTGAAAACCAGTACAACCTCGAATACTACCTCCAACCCGAAGTCCAAACATTATTCCAATCCCAAAACTATGCCGAACCCTCACTCGCACCCGCACCCGCAGAAACGCCCGAGGAATATTACAACTACGTCAAAACCACGATGGAAGAACAAGGCTACGATTTCCAAGAATGGGTTCAAGAAATGAAGGGAGAGCCCGAGTTTTGGTGGTTGGATCAACAGCAGCAGGTCAGTTTTCTACTCATTTTTCTCCACATTTTATTAAAATTTCCATTATTTTTCCAGCCCCCCACCAGCAATGACTCCTCCCTGGCCTCCGCCGAAGAAACCTCCTCCACCCCAGAAATCGACTACACCTTCCCACCCCCGCCACCACCCAAAAAACTGATGGGGATGAAATCCTTCCGCTATTTGGAAACACGCGTGTTGGCGAATTTCCTCAAAGACTCGGAGGACGAACGGATGGACAAAATCAAAGCCCGGCTCGGGTTCATGAAGAAGGTGAAGCCACCCAAAAACCCTTCGGTCTCGGTGTTATTCACGGATAAGAACTATCCAAGAGGGAATAGTAAACAGGAGGTGGTGGGGGTCGAGGTAATTATTTTTAAAAAACCATAAATTATAGACTTAAAATAACCATAATTAACCATAGCCCCACCTCGCGACCCACACCCCCTGGGACTCCGCCTTAAAGCACGCCATCTCCTTCCTCCAAAAATCCGGCTGTCGCTCCCCCGACGTTTCCTTCACCTCCCTCAAACTCCCCGAAGCCAGCAAACCCGTGGAACTCCAAGTCTTCCTCAACCAAGTGGGAAAGAAACGTCGCGGAGGGATCGGCTCCGCCTTTGAAATCGACATCCCATTCATCCGCCGAGCCGAACGGGCAGTATTACGCTTCCTCCTGAACAACTCCAAACCGAGATACCCCCTCCCGAGATTCATCCTCCCAAAGTATTTGAATAGCAAGATGACGGACCGTGAACTGATCGGGCCGGGAACTTATGACCACGAATATTTCGAAAACCAACGGTTGAAAAGGCTGAATAGGATGCCGTCTTTGTGGGGTTCTTGCTCGGAGAGGTTTCCAAAGGAGAAAGTCGCTTGTCCTGCTTCGAGTTTTATAGCGGATCCGTTTTTTCAGTGGGATCGGGCCTGTCAGAGGAAGAAGTATCCGGGGAAGGTTCCGCTGTTTCAGTCGACCCCGTGTAATTTTAGGTAATATTTTCGTTATACAATATTTCACCATTTTTCACTAATTCTAAATTCCACAGGTACAAAAACTTCTACCTGGGCTGCGGCCTTCCCCCCGGCCACTACAACATCCAATCCCCCCTGGAATCGTATATAAACGAAAAGAAATCCCTCCGTGGAATATACACCGAAGGATCCGGATTGGATAAATTTTGTCCAAAGACTTGCAAAGAATTTAGACGAGGGAAAATCGTAGAAAAATCAAAAAAACTCGGCCCCGGCTCGTACAACATTAATGAAAACATAACCACGCGACTAAACGACAAGTACAACCACTTCAAGGGAAAATTGTCAAAGACGGAGCGCACGAAAATGTGTGGTTTCCGTGCTGCGTATGACAAGCCATTGTGGCCGGAGGATAAGGGTTATCCTGGTCCCACGACGTATAATCCGTATGAAAATGAGGATTGGATCGAGTCGGATTGGGTTGGGTTCAAGGTTCAGGAGGGGAGGAAGATGGGTGTGGGTGGGAGTGGGGGGAATAAATTGTCCAGTCCGGATTTCTATTTCTATCAGGAGGAGGGGTTCGTGGAGAGTAAGGTTATTCTTGGAAATGGGATGAGGTGGGTCTTTAATTATTAGTTTTTTAAGTCTAATCATAAAAACTAACACCCCCCATTGTATTATAAAAGGTCCAACTTCCTCTCCAAATCCCCCATGACTGCCCCCCAATCCATGCACGTCGTGATTAAAGAAAGGAACAAGGCGACGCATAAAAAATTCGATCAGCAACAAGAACCAATTATCCTTAGAGAAGATGATATTTGTTAATTCTCTAAATGAAACTACTGGAATAATAAAGATTATGACACACCAAACGCCACCTCTCCGCGATGGGTTCATTCTTCTAAAAAACTCGCTCACTCACACAGTCGGCACTTCTCTCTTCACTCCACTCCATCCAATTTTCACCACTGTTTATTACTCTTTTTCCATTTTAAAACTAATTAGAACCCACTTTTAAAACTTCAAAAAATGTCCTCTCTCACCGGAAGTGGTGGTTCGACCGACAACTTCCTCACCGACATGGAATCTCGCCTGAGTTTCCTTCGTGTATCCGACGAGAAATCATCCCCATCCCAATCGAAATCCACCGCACTGGTCACGACGGACCAACCACTAGTTCGAAAACCCAACCTCCCAGTGGAACCATTCTATGTTCAGTTGAGGGCCTTCTCTGGCAATGGCCACTTGGCACAGGTCGTCCTCATCGAGGAGACCACTTGGGTAGGAAACTCACTATTTTTATTTTCTTTTTAATTAATTCCTAACAATTCTCCCAACTTTCCAGGCGCTGTTCGGCTTCGTCATGCGCTACCTCCGGAACGAGTACAAGGAGGGGAAGCTCTCCCCGATCGAAGTGATCGAAGACTTGCCAGTGGGCTTCATCGTTCTTGGAATTAAAGGAGATAAAATCATCCGTGGGATCGTGTTGAAAGTCGGTTACGATGACGTCAAAGGGGCCGTGGTGGACTTGAGGGATCGTGAGTTTTTTTGTTATTTATCCTTTGCAATTGATTTATAATTCGTAATTTTAGTGGATGAAATCCGCGACTACACTCTGGAGGCTAAACACATTTACAAGATGCCCACGGCCGGGTTGGATGTGCCGTTCAAGGTGGGGTCTCCTAATTTCTACTTTAATCACCCAAACTAATAATTATCTGCGCAGGCCCTCGAAGTGGAAATCGACAAGCTCCAGCTCTTCACGGGGACGGACATTGCCGCGCGGGCCTTTGACGCAGCGGACTTCCCGGAATTTGCCATTTTCAAGGCCCGAGTGATGAGGAGTTTCAAGACTGAAGGAAGTTTCACCTTGGAATTGACGACCTCCGCTCGTGAAGACGTTGGATTAATCATGTTGAAGCAATTGGAGTTTGTCTGTGGAGTTCCGGTCCCGGAGGTTGGTTTATTACTTTATTTATTAAGAAAACCCACTGAAAAATCCTAACAACAGCCCGGGAAATCGATCCCCATCACGGTCTCGCACTACACCCCCGAAGGGGAAATATACTACCAATGTCCCTCCCGAAAGAACAAGCTGATGCGGATTATTAATGATTTCGATGCAATCATCCGACGTGAACTGAGCGGGGTTCGCGTCGTGGATCCGAATTATTCCAGCCCGGAATTGATTAAAGAACGGCTTCGGGTGGAGGATCAGGTTTTCGCTGTGAAGTTCTCCGATGACGACAAGTTTTACAGGGCGAGGTTTTTGGAGTATACGGATGTTGGGAAGGTCTGTGGGATGTTTTTTTTAAATTGTGGTCCGCGTGTGATTTTTGGGATAATTTATTAAAATTTATGTGGTAAATTAGGTCCGAATGCACTTTATCGACTATGGGAATGACGACCAGGTCCCGCTCGGTGACATTTTGCTGATGGACGCCTTTGACGAGGGTTTGAAGTTCATTCCTCCAATGGTGATTTTTTTATTATAGAGATTTTTCTTTACGTTTTGTGAATTGATAATTTGATGGGCTACAGCTTATACTGTATGCAAAAGTGTTGTTAATATTTTGCGTACATATTGTGTCAGGTTGAATGAAGTAATTTAGCCCCTAGTTGTTTAATTATTTGATGTAATTTATTTATTCCTGTGTGTAAGCTCATGAAAATAGGCTAAATTTAATAGCTAAATTATGCTATGCTACACAACTACATGTGCATTAGTAATAGTAATTGATAATAAACGCTTCTTATTATTATAACAGGCCCGCCGGGTGAAACTGAATAAAATCGAAAAATTGGACGTGGATCGGATGGACCAGATTTTGGAGAAATATCCAAATCTTAAAATTCAAATTGTGAGTTTGCCTTTATAATATTCAGATTTTTTAACACTTTTTTTAAAATCATGCACAATTAATTAGTTCGAAAAGGACCCGGTTTGGATTGGAAAAATCTTTGTCAACGTGGCTGGAGGAAAGGAACCGGAACATTTGGTCCCGCTCAAGAAATTACTCGTTGGTTAATTTTGTTTTTTGGAATTTTATATGAGGATTTTGGTTAATAAAAGTTGTTAGAAAATGCCCATTTTTAAGTAGATTTTGTGGTGAATAAAGACTTGATTTTCTGACTAGTAAATTTTATTATTATTAAAACAAACCCATTCACACCCAATTTGTACACTAATTTAACAGAAAAAACCAACTAATTCCCCCTGATGGCCTCCATAATTTCGCTCTTATCGTACGGACAATTGGCATAAACCTTGCCACACGCGGAGGAGTCCTTCGCATTCTCACCGAGCAGCGAGGCGTAAGAGTAGCTCAATTTTCCACGCGATGATTTCGTGTGGTTTGGTGGCGTTTTTCCGTCGCGCCTGAAATAATTGCAGTTTTTTAGTGTTTATAATTTGTCAATCTATTAAAGGTATAATTTTTTTAAATAATTAAACTCACCCAAACAACTCCAAGATCAGCTTGCCATCATCCTTCAACTCCTGCGCTGGGGTGGCAGCCAATTCGCAAACTAATCTTAACCCACATCCTAACTGGTCATAGCTTAAAACTTGATCCAGAGACGGTTCTTCTTCCTCAGTGGTGGACCTCCTCTTCCGACTCCAACCCCACCCACCTCCACCGTGATGAGGTTCGTTAAAATGAGGAGCCCCATGGCCAACGCGGAAGTGGAAACCGCTCTCTGCAAGTTACATCGACCTTAGTAAAATAAACACTAATTTCAATATAATAACAAAGCTAACCGGAGATCCCAGCCAACGCGGCCAGCGCCGTTGCGACTTTCAGCTTCATCAGCGCCGCGGAAGTGAATGAACTCGCGTACAATCCCCCGTGTCCGGTGATGGCGGCCAACGGGAGGAGCAGCCCACCACCGCCTTCCGTTGGGGAAGTGAGTAAAATAACGCTCAGGATTGGGACCAAGAGAATCGTGTGGATATTCGCCATCTGAAAATTTGGTTTTATTTTTTGGATGTTATTTTTAAAGATTTTTTCAACGTACCTTTTCGTTATTTAAAGTTTTGTTTGACAGCAACTTCAATCTTCTCAAAAGGAGACAATGAAATCAAGTGTCAGTCTCTGTTATGCAATGCTTTTTATACCAACCACCACCAGACACACACACGACACACCAAACACTACCTAAAAGAGCAGTAGTGACGCAAAAAAGTGGTTCATATTTCTGGTCAAACAGGAAATTTCCTTCCTCTCATCCTTGTTTTGACCCATTGCTAATCAAATTAACAAACCCCCACCAAAAGTATATAAACAAATTTACTTCCTGTCTTGAGACACATTAAAATTATTATAAAAATTCAGGTCAATAATGTATACGACTCGAATTAAAATGATCCTAAAAACTGATGTAAATCGCCACCTCCTTTATTACAGGAATCTTCCGTTGTAGAAAACCCATCCGCAGAATTCTGCATTCGAATCTGATGGATTTGTCGGGTGAGGTCCCCCAAATGCGTCTCCTTCAGGTTTATCAGCGTTTCCAGCCGTTGGACCTGCAATTTATTAATTAACATCAAGAAATCACCGCATAAAATAAGTAAAACCCGCACCTTCTGAGCCAACTCCCTGACCCTCCCCCTCATCTCCGCATTGGATTTCTCCTTTTCCACCAGCAAATCCTGTGGGATGAATTTGACCCCCTTGTAAATGACGAATTCTGGAACGGCGGCGGAGGGCAAAATGTGGACGAGGCAGGTTTCGGATTGTAAAATGGGTTCTTCATCGCTGGACTCTGGTTTTTTTGCAAGGAAATCTTGTTCACTTTTTTTGATGATTAATTTTTGGATTTGACAGAGGACCTGGAAAATGGGAATAAATTAAAATACAAAAAAATACGCGTTCCCCAACGATTACCGTTTCGATGAGTCCACTTTTGGCTTGGCAAACCCCGTCGATCGTCTCGCTCAGGAGTTTGATGCCCAATTTTGGGAGGACTTTCCGGTTGAGCAACTCCCAATTGTTCCGCTTCAAATTGGCTCCGAAAGCGGGGGTGTAGTTGTGGAGCTCGATTAATTTGGGGAAAAAGTGCGAGATTAGTTCGGCCAGGAGGACTGCGGGAGAGGGGAATTAGCGAGATTTTAGAGAAATCTGTGGAAAATATTGACCCAAACCTCCGTCTGAGAAATCCCGAGGGACGTTTTTCCATGATTTTGAAAAGGGGATCGTCTCCAGCCAGGTGGTGAGGTGGGTGGGGTCCGTGGGGGTGGTGGGGGTGGGGGTGGCCATTTTTGGGGGTGATTTAAATTATGGAATTTAATTTTACCAAATTATTGAATTATTTTCCCGATCGAGTAAATTCCCCGGAATCATAACAATCTCATCGTAAAACACTCTCCCAAATAACAATCCCCATGACGACACTATAGAGAGAGTGCTAAAATTATTGAATTACACCAAACCACACGACCATCATCACCAATAATTACTCCAATAAATAAATTCCTCCTGTGATTCCACTTGACATCTCATTACGATTATCGATTCCCGTAATTGCACCACGCTGACGTCGTTGACAATTTCTCTGCGTGATTAAATGAGGCAATTAATGGTAATTATTTTCGTTATATGAACGCCCACGGTGGAGTCGTTTATGATTTTTCTGGGGTGGGGTGAGACATAAAAACGATATTTTTTTAACAATTTTAGTAGAATAAAAAGTTAGTCATCCACCCACACAAGAAAGTGACGACGACGCGACGCGACGACGATTATACCCGCATGTCCTCCATGAAACTATCGCGAGAGAAAGCAAGGCAACCTGTAACACCACTCTTTGACATTTCAGAGACTTTGAGACTTTCACTGGAATAAAACCCAGCGTTCATCTTTCGGATTTAGTTCACTCATCCAATTGAGCTGCCACCGAGAGGAAGTCGCTCTCGCTCTCTTTCTCACTTTAAGAAATAAAGAGTATTTTCGTGATATTGATAAAAAGAGTGTAAGTTTTTTTAACAAAGGAAAAAGGAATAAAAATGAAAACTTTATCCTTTTTGATCGTCACACTTTTCGTCCTTTCTTCCGATTTCAACTCTTGTTGCGAGGCGCAGAAAGTTTACAAATTGGTGAGTTTTACGTGTGTTAATTGGGTGTTTTTTATAAGGGGGGAGAGAGGTTAGGGCGTGGGTGGGTTTTGTTAGTTTAAATTCAATTTTATTTTTTTTAAGATTTTGCAATTTTGCATGTACTTTAAGGTAAACTTTTACGGGCGTCAGTGTGTTAGACTCGCCATTTCACCCCAATAATAACCCATCTGAGGCAACTTGAGACGACCCCCTCTTTCTCAATCCACTTAATTACACAGTGTGTTATGCAATTAATTTGCATTTATATTCCTCTAATCAAATCATCTCTGGCTGCATTCTCCTCGCTATGAATAGCCACTTGATTAAACAGTCACCCAAAGAACTACACAGATTTCCAAGAGATCCCCGTCGTCTCATTAAAAATATATTCACCCAAACACAATTCACAAAAACTTTCCTGCTCCACACATATCGCATGACCTCACAAATTCACATGCCAATTTATTCACCAGCACCAACGAAATGCTTTTTTTATGCCCACAAATTCGTCACGTCGTCGCGACCTCCCGCAGTTTATTTCTTTACATACACACCTTTCTCTCTTTTGGTCTTTTGTGAGGTTGACACCTAAAACCTCACCACACATGAAACTGGACGTGATCCACTTTCACTGATGGAAAACTGATACTTTTATTACGGAGAAATGTGTATATAAAAAAACTCTACTCAATCGTCAGACTTTGACTTTTTCCTCGAAGAAAAACTCTTTTTACACAAAAAAACTTAAAAAAATCTGTTCCACAGGACCCCGAAACAATGTCGGATGACGACTACTCACCTGAGATGGACCTCGTTGGACCCTCGTCCCCCCCACAATCCTCCGAAGAAATGAATATAAAGCCCAACTTCCCCTCTCGATTTACATCTCTAGCATCATCTCCCCAATCCTACAACTACTTCACCCCCGGTGGCAAACGGTATCTCCTCTCAAACACTCAGCTCTCGACATTAAACGGACACTCACCGAAATACATTCTCCAACCGTCGACTCGACAATCAGGTTTCATACCGCAGCAGAAATCTTACTACGGACGAATGAGTGGGTTTGGAATGGGTGGATTCGGAGGTGTGGTCGGTGGGGGTGGGAGACATTCATCCGCATTCATGCCACCTGTTTCACCAAGGAAAAGACAAATTCTTTTTCGACAGTGTTTCTTTAATCCCATTTCTTGCTTTTAGATTTTATTTTCTTTATTAAAACACAAAAAAAATCTGATTAAAAAACCCACTGCATGCTTTGGAAATTAGTAATAAAAAATATAGAAATTTGTTTGGAAAATTAATAAAAACTTGAATTGGAAAATACGAAATATTCTCTCTCTGAATACGCATTAAAGATAAACTAATTTGGACATAATTAAAAGTTTATAAATACTCAGTACACAATGTGTCCCACTTTTAGTCTCGCACACACGTCAATAAATCGATATCAAATGATTATAATACAAAATAATTTAGTAGACTGAAAGAAAAGCTGAATGAAAGGTTTCCTTAATTAACACAATTGATTATCATCGTTTTGTAGATTTGTGACGGTCGTCGTTCGTCGTCGTCTGACGTATTCATCAGAGACACAGCGGAAATTGCTCTTCTTCTTATTTCCTTTTATAAGGATTCCTAGTTTTTTGGGGGGGCGGCTGACGTTTAGAGCAAAATTGTCATGTGAAAATACACGTTTATTTATAATTTATTTGACATTTCTCGAATGATGATTAGATTGCCCCATAATGTGTCAGTTCCATTTCTTTCTTCTGTTCTTGTCACATTTTTCTTTTAAGTAAAACGCAGCATGATATTGATACATTTTATGTGTTGGATTAAATTGATATTTTTTGTTTAAATGGTAAATCTCACTTTCAGCAAAATCCACTTAATCAGACATTTTCAATCATTTATAAAAATAAATCAAATTACAACTTTTTTCTTAAAAACTTTGATCTCACCTTTATTTAACAAAATGATGATTAAATTAAAAAAGCTACTCAAACTTTGCAATAATTTCTCTCGATTAAAAAAATCAATTGTGTGCGTCATCGTGAGTAACCCGATCTCCAAAAAACTCTCATTCTGAGAAGCTCTCCTAAATTTCCCCGAGAAAACAAAATTAAAGAAAAGTTTCTAGAAGAAAAAAAAAATCCTGTAAATTACAATCATCATCTTCCTCCAGATCTACCAGTTGCACAACTCTCTCTTCGTTATTGTTGTCGCATAATCTCTCACCTTCCTCACCTCTTCTTCCAACGCCTACTAAAAAAGTCCAGCAGTGGAAATAAAGACGGCTCAGCGAATCTTATTTCTTTTTTTTATGAAGGCAATTTAATGGGAATTTATATCCAAAAGTAATGGTCCTTATGAGAGCAGCTCACCAACCACACAAACACAAATAAATGACACTCTCACACGTACACAGCTTTTTTGCCTTTACCCTCGTGTGGAAATTCATATTTTCTTTTATTTAATTAAATAACGACTAATTCCACGTGGAAATTGTAACTTAAAATTCGGAAAACTCTTTCCCATTTCTAAAACTTTGAAAGAATCCTCCATTATAATTATTGAAATAGTAGACTAATTGATCCTCTGAAAATGGACACGATCTGAATTTCTCTGCACATTCGGATGCTCGTCTCACTTGATGGCCTTCCTTCATTCCTTTCACGTATGGATAGAGGGACCAGTCTCGGAGCTGCATCACGTCAAGGAATCTGCAAAAAATTTCTTTACTATTTTATTCGCATTAATATTTTTTTTAAAAAAAACCCACTTGACAAACTGATCCAAAGCGCCATCCATCCCATCAATTTTAATAAATCTGCCGCCCCTTTGTTTCTTCTGTTTTACGCTTTTTTCCGTCGTGGTCGTCGTCGTAGTGGTAGTAGTCAGACCATCTTCAATCCTCTTGGCCACCATTTGACAAATCATTCTAGGAATGCATTGTAATTTATCGAATCGATTAACTCTGCCAATCATTCCTTCAATGGATCCGAAATTAATTATACTTGATAAATCTACATCTTCTGGTGCACCCAGTTTTGATATCATTGAGAGCAAGCCACCAACACCACCACCACCACTATTGATTGGTGAATTTAATAAATTGGTACTAGATTGTCCATTATTTGTCGTAGGGAGCAGTTCTTCCCTTTGTTGTAGATTGTTGTAGAGTGGGACCGAGCTGTGTTGTTGCGTTTGATAGTTGAGCATTGGATATTGATGCTGAAATTCAGGATTGATATTTGCAGAGTGAATCTTTTGCTCTATTCCTCCACCTCCGGGATATTGACTTGTCGCATAATACGGGGTTTCCTCCTGTCCTCCTGTTGCTGCTGCTGCTGGTTGTTGTACTTTTAGAATATTTTTCAATAAAGTGAACAATTGACGTGAATCCCTTTGATTAGAATTGGTTTCATTAAGGTCACTCCCACTGATGGATTTTAGTGCAAATAAAACTAGAACGATGTAGAAATGGGGATTCTGCAGGAGGGACATTTTCAGAGACAGAGAGGACATGAGAGGAAAAAAAAGTATATAAATTTAAACTTTAATGAAGAATTTCCTATTCACGTCATGACTTTTTTCTTTTGTGGGTAAATCCTTTCGTGTGTTTTTTTTATATGTAAACTTGATCCGATTGATCTTTGACTGAGATTTTATCGATTTTTTTTTCTACTCAAGTTTTTATTCTTCGTTATACAACTACGCGGTTGATGAGACGGAGAGATGCTCAACGGAATATGTAAACTAAAACTTTCATTTAATTTTGCTAACCCCTTTTGAAAGAAACATGCACCACCACCAGGACGAGCACTGTATAAACTGACTAATAACAGGATCTTCATCATCATCCTCTCTTCTTCTACATATAACCGCGTTGTTGACTAAAATTTCACTTTCAATTATGTGACTAACCTGTGCGTATCCGTTTTCACAATATGCATCCACTCAATAGGCGGATTTTATTATTATTACATAGAAACTTCACTCACAAGGAAGATGATGAAAATATTCTGACTAATAAATCTTGAACTAAATCCTTATTCCCATTCGCAGCATTATTGGCTTCAATTTTCTTGACATTTTTCATTTTACTCTTTCCAACTGTCAATTTGTTGAGTAGAAGCAGAATAAAATCAGTTTTTAGTTTTCCAACGACATTTTCCAAGCGTTCCAAATCGTCTTTGGATTCTTTGGAGTGGGCGTGAGACTCTTGGTTCCGAATCATTGAACAATTGTTAAATTTTGGTGGAATATTTGGTGATTTCTTCCAGATTGGGATTGATTTGTTAGTTTGTTGGTGGTGGTCTGAGTCATCGTGGATAAAAAGTTTTCCATCCGATTCTTCATCCCATTTGAATTTACAATTTGACATGTACTTTGCGCAATGTTGGTTTATCCGGTCGGGCAAGGAATTCATCATTTTGTTCAATTTTGACTCCAATTGTTCCACGCGGATTTGAAGGGCTTGGTTTGGAACTGAAAAATATAATATTTTTTTAAGTTACCATTTTTTCAGGGTCTGATTAATATGTTTTTACCCGATTTTCCACGTTGTCCTCTTAATTTCTCTTCCCTTTTCCTCACGAGATCCTTAATGACCGATTCTTGATCTGAAATAATCTTTGTTTTAATTTCCAGCAATTTCTCCAGCTTTTCAATCCTGATTTCTAAATCATCTTGATTTGGTTTTTGATGGAGGATTTGAGCAGATTTTGATAATCGAGGAGTTTCTTGTTTTTGAGAAGTAGTTGCGAGTTTAGCTGACACTGGTTGAATATTTTCACTAAAAGAAGACGCAATTTTGAGCCAACGCTGCTCTGGATCCATTTTTGTAGTGTTTTTTTTCTATAAAATTTTTCTATGTGGACTATTAAAAACTTTGAAAATTGTGTATTTCTATAGTGTTTATTTTAAATTATAGTTTACACGTTCTAATTTTGAGGTACAAATTTTCAAAAATAATTGCTAAAATTTAGAGATCCGCCTTTTCCAATTTTCCGATTTCTTGTAAAAATGCAGCAAATACTTTTGTCTATAGAAAAAAAATCACAGTCCAAAATAAATAAATTAAAATCCATCAAAATAACTCACCCCTTGGATGTAATTAGTTTTGTTGATTTTTTCATTGGGTGCATGAGCACGATCGTCGCTTGCGCCCATTGGCAAAAGCACAATGTTTTTCCCAGTCGATTCCTATAATTAATTTTGGTTTAGTAAATAATTTTATATAAAAAGTTCAGCGATTTTATACCTGAAAAGACATTAATTTGTCCACGCTGCCTCCTTCTCGGATCATGTCTGGGATTTGAGAATACGTCCAACCAATTGCTTGTCGTGCTGCTTTAAACGATGGGTGAAATGGATTAGCACACCATGGCTTCAATCCCTCGTCGGCCATGTAGATCTGTTTTTTTCGATAATTAAAAAGTGCTAAACTAATAATGGAGGAAATCATAAGATACGTGCCAGCATTTTATTTGGAGATCCTCTTTCTTCCCATTTCGCTTTGATAAAAGTTTTAACCAACTGTTCAATTGATTCGGGGTCTTGATTTGGTACGAGTCGAATTGAAAATTTCCCAATGACTTTACGCGGAATCACAACTCGTGCACCGGGTCGATCAAATGCCCCTTGAATTCCGTGGATTGTAAGGGAAGGAAATCGCCATCGGTTCATTAGCGTTGCGGTCTATGGGAAAAATTCTTGCATTAAAAAAACGTTTGGAAACATCACATTTTGTATTTTACCTTATTCCCTGGAAATCTTAAAGCTCGGAATCCCGCATCTTGTTGATACTCTTCAAGATCAAAATCGATATTTTTGTACAGTTCTTCTTCTTCGGGTAACATTGGGCAAACTTTATCCAAAATTCCAGGGATCAAAATTGTCCCATCCGCAGCGGATAATTGACTCATCAACCAAATCAAATCGGGCATTGCCTCGTAGCTACAATGATAAATTAAAATTAGTAAATAATTAAAACATTTAAGGTAAATAAGTGATGAGCATACACAGTCCCCCCATAAACTCCGCTGTGCAAATCTTTCGTTCCGCATTCCACCTCGCAGAAAAAGTAGCAAAGTCCACGAAGTCCATACGTGAGACAGGGTTTAGTTTTTCCCAGCCAAAAATTATCCGACATTACAACGACGTCAACATTGGTTAGAAATGCGTCTTTTTGTTGCAACAAGAGTTTGTCGAGTCCATCCGAACCGCATTCTTCCATCGATTCCAAGAGGATCTTTTACAAAATGTAAAGTTAATAATTTCGTTGGTGAAAAATCAATTAAAACAAACCTTCAAGTTGACGGGGAGTCGAATGGAATTTTTGACATATGCTTCGATAGCATGGAACCATCCCATGACTGGACCTTTGTCATCTGATGATCCCCTTCCATACAGACAATTCCCTTCCTCCGTCAAGTAAAATGGTTCACAGTACCAACCGTCGCTCTAATTTTGGGGTTTTTTAAAAATAGAAATTCAATAAAAACTCCAAATATCGTACAAATTCCTACCCTCTCCGCCGGCTGAACGTCCAAGTGGCCATAAATGAGAACAGTTTTCTTTTTGGGATCATTCCCCCGTGTTCCCAAGATGACAGGGGGGAGCGCCACCTCATCCGCGCCCTTGAGTGGTTTGCTTCCAACTTTTCGTAATTCAAGTTCAAAGCCTAAATCTTTCAGTCGATCCGCTGCAAATTGAACCATTCGATAACATTCAATCCGTGCTGTGGGCCAGGAAGATATCGATTGAATCCCAACGGCTTCTCGCAAATTCTGAACGAATCGGTTCTCGTTGTCGTCAATGTACCTGGGATTAAATTGTTATTTAAATATTATTATTTTTATTTGAAAAAAAACTCACTTGAAAATCTTGACCAAAGATTCCGGTCGTTGTTCAGGATCCAGAATGATGTTTTCATCCGCAACCCTTTTGAAAACGGGAGCAGTTTCTTCTGTGGATTGTTCAACTTGTTCATTTTCTTGTGGGGGTGGTGGTGCGAGTGCAGGTTTCTCGTCCAAAACTTGTCCGTCCAAAGTGTGAACCGTTGGTCCGCCAATCACCTCGTCGTCTTCGTCCTCATCAAACTCGTTCTTCTCAAAGGATTCAGCCTCCTTCAGGCGAGACATTTTATTAGTTTTGGTGGTTTGAGGGGGGATTTATGGACAAAATGGGGCTACAAAAAATGGGGATTTTAGAAATAATTTTTTGGGAAATAATAAATATGCGGAAATAATTTTCAGGAAAAGTTTGAGGTTTTTGTCATCTGGTTTTCTGTGGCGTTGACATGGCAAAATCTGCAGACTTTTTGTGTTTAAATAAATCATGAAATTATTTGTATGCAAAAACAGACGCTATGAAAATATGCGATTCCATGAAAAATGGAATTTCATAGAGTTTTAATAACCAATTTATTAATTCATCCATTTTTTTCTGGCACAAAAATACTTACCACTAATTTCTGCATCACATTTCATAATCTGCAGACGTATTAGTAAACAAAGCAAGTGAAGTGTAGGAAGATGCAGATGAAAATCACTAAGAAAAGATAGGTCCGTGTTGAAAGACATTGCAGAGAGGTAGAGTTGGACTAACCTTATATAAAAATAAGGTCACTGCAACGTAACAAAGTTATGCAACGCGTGCAATTTGTATAGGAAATGGTATTCCCCTTCACCTTATAAATGCACACATTTCATCACCCTCAGCACCTTATTTGAGCCTGTTTCGCCAATTTCTTATATATACAAATCCAGAGCATTGTGTTTTGATAAACATCCCAATAAATTTAATGTCCAGATATTTCGCAAAGAAGAGTATTTCACACGAATGTCCATCCACCCACTCACTAATCCTTTTATAATATTCCCCACACGCATGTTCAAATGTCATTCATTCCACTCTTGACCATTTTACGCTAATCATCTCATTTTATTTTATTTTTCATACAAGAATGCTTCTCCGCCTCTCGATCCTCTTAACCCTGACGATCGTGCTGTTGATAAAAGTAGACGACTGTGATTCGATATATGCTTACGCAATAAAAGGAATAGTAAAAGACGTGAGATTGCGCCCAACAAAGTTCATCGGTGGGTGGTTCTTCAAAAAAGCGTTTATTCTTAAGAAATTAAAGCTGAAATGGAAACTCAAGAAGAAATTAATCCTCAAGAAATTGCTGAAAAAGCTGCTACTCATTGGTAAGTGGACGTTTTGTTTGTTTTGTTTCCGGATTTATAGTGGTTGCAGTGGAACTGTTGCTTCCGAAAAGTTTCATTTGGATAAATGAGGAAAAGTTGAGATTTTATAATGAGCAAACAAAGCAAGGAAAGTTTTGTTGACTCTTCTCCAGCAGCAGCAAGAGGAGGAAGAAAGTAGTGCAAATGGTGTGGGTGCATAAGTTCACCCACTTTTTAGCCCGAGCCAGGGCTTATGTACCCGTTATGTCTGTCTGTCTGTCCGTCCGTCCGTCTGTCTTCGCGATAACTCTCTTCAAACTCAACCGATCGACTTGAAATTTTTACCACATCTATATCTACCCAAAAGACAAATCAAGTTCGAAGATGAGCCGAATCGGTCAAGTGGTTGGCCGGTGGGGGCCATATGGGTGGTGGGGTTATTATGCATCAAATTTTCAAAATTGTTGTAGAAAGCTGAAATTTGGTAAATATGTAACTAATGGCTTCTAATGAAAAGATATGAAGTGAATTTGCGAAAATTTTTATCTGGAGGGACCCTATGGGGTCACTCAAACTGATTTTTCAAAATCGTCCAATTAAGCTGAAATTTGGTATGGAAGTCGATAGCAGCTTATAATGGGAGTTTATGATGTACAATTTTGAAAATTTTGACCCAGAGGAACCCGGTGGGGTGACCCATACTGATTTTGCAAAATCACTCAATTAAGCTGAATTTTGGCGTAAAGATTGGTAAACAAATTCTAGTTGTACCCACCCTGGCTCGGGCTAAGCAAAGCTGCACTGTAGGTTTTTTCCCTTCTTCTTTAATGTAATTTGTGGGAAAAAAGTTTATGCTTAATTAGACAATCTTTTGTATTAGCGAGAGAGAGGGCGAGTCCCCAACTAATTGCGGATTGCCATTAATATTAATTAACTAAAACCACGCGCGCTATGAAGTAAATGGAATGTTGTGCAGGTGGTGGAGTGGCGATAGGGAAGCTGAAGGGAGGAGTCAAGATAATTGCCCCCAAAATAATTCTACCATTTCCACCACCACGTTTTGCACATGGATGGGGCCCACTCGCTTTTTGGACGCATGCAAATATTAACCATTTTCGTAAGATTTATTTACTAATTTATTTATGCAGAAATTCTGTCTCTGTCAAATTGCATACGACATAACCACTCAAAACTCCAATAAAAACATGGTACAAAACATAATCCACACTATAAAAAATCTTCTCTAGGCCGCCGTCGCCGCCGCGCCGTCCTCTTCCCAGACGACAAACAACCCTCTGATCAATACCATTCTCACCCCACCTCCCACCACTCTTCATCGTCACATTCCTCATCCTTCCATCCCACCACGGGTGAAGACTATTTCCAGCGATATCAAATTAGTTCATTAGGATTGAGTTCAACCGATTTGGAGCAATTGCGTGCGTTGCCGGACTCTTTAAAGAATGAGTACGGTCATGAAATGGAGGTGTTGGAGGCCTCCGCATCCGAGCCAAAAGAGGAAGAAATCCAAGATTATCTCAGCGTTGCGAGTGAGTTTGATAATCGTGGGTGCATACCGAAAAGTATTTGCGAAATCATGTCAAGAGGAAATCAGACGACAAATCTCTTTGAAAATCAGATTCTAGAATATTACAGGTATTTGCTAATATTTACTCGTGAATATTCAAGATTAGCTAAATGTTAATCCAATTCCAAGCTCAAAATACACTCTTTTAAATTGAATTATAAAATTAACTTTCAGTGACGACTCGTTATTGGAAAGACGAGGAGTAAACAGTCCGACTCACATTTACGACTATGCAGCCAATTTGGGAAAGACGTCGAGAGGAGACGTGAGGCTTTGTGCTCAGCACTTTTCAACCTGTGCAGACCCTCCACAAGCACTCAACGAATTCATGAATGAAGTCTTCACTCCGGAAATGTGCGACTTTTCTGCCAATCATAAGTTATCGTTGAGTTAATTTGTTATAAATTCCTGGCCAGTCATCGAATAAACGTCACTAAGACGATCGAAAATGATATGACGTTTCACAATTTTTTATTTTTTGTCCCAGATAAATAAACAAATAACACACAAAAAATAAACTCACTACCAAAACCCCCACCGATTAAAAGTCTGTTAAAAAATGCAAAGCACATCCAAAACATCCCTTCAATTATTCGGTCCACGTGACCAATTCCTATCCCGACACTCCAGCAACGACCCTCTGGAAGAGTACATTCTCCGAGAAAGTAAACGAGACTCTCATGGATCGGATTCCTCAAGTCTGCTACTTCGCCTTCCGAGAAAAGTATGCTTTTTTCACTCTGCAAATTTCTGGTATTTATTTTAACACTTAAAAAAATCTATCCAAAACAGTTACGATTGGAAATATGGAAAAGGGTAAACACACATAAATCTTACTAAAAACGCTGTGAATTTCCCCAAAAAAAAACTCATCCCACTTCCACTCAGGTCCACTACAAACACTATCGCGAACTCCGCTCAACTTGTAAATTAATATCCACCGATATCGATTATCATCTCGGGATAAGCGCACTGATAGACGAGCGAGAACGAGAGTTTGATGATCATTTTGAATCCCTAGCAATTCGACATGCCACGATTTTAAACTTGTCCAGTCAGAGAATAATAGCGCATCTCCTTCATCCCGAATTATTACTAGAACTCACAATAAAAGGATCAATCTCATCAATTTATTTCAATTATTTTATGGAATCATGCGGAAATATTTCAAGATTAACAATTAATTTCAACAAATTTCTATTTAAATCAAGACCACAATTTTTCCCACAAGGATCAAAATCCGTTTTACAAAACTTGAAAACCTTGAAAATCACATCCCACACGAAAAAAGAAAAGGAATTGATTTACGTTTGTGAGAATTTGGTCTTTCTGATCGATGCCTTAGCTCAAAATCGGATGAAAATGGTAGAACTCAATTTCAACTTGAGTAACAAAGGACCTTCGAGATATTTGGATTTAATAATTCTTCACGCGTTGATGTTGGCGCATAAAAATTGTGAAACCCTCTCGGAACTTCACATTCAAGGCAGGGAGACTTATTTCGGCGGAAGTGCGAATGAAGATGCGAATGAAGAGGATACATCTTCTTCTGGAGGGACGCGTCGGGCAACGGAAATGGTCAAATCCAAAAAAAGCATCGCCGCTGCCACGGAATCCTCATCCTCATCATCGTCTTTCACAAATTTCAAATCGGACAGGAAAAATTCGGCCACTTTAGAATCGACAGAGAAATATTTATCCAGGTGTAAATGGCCAATGTTTCCTCATTTGAAGACGACGGTGATAACTTTATCGAGCCATTTATTTACTTATGTCCAAGAAATGATGACCCGTGTGGATAACGTTCGTCATCTCAAACTAGAAGTGTGCAGCGGAGTAATGCTAAATTGTTGGATGACGTTTGAAAGCATTATCCAAACGACGAGCCACACCTTGTGCGTCATAAAACTGCATAACATTGCATTTGAAGATTATTTAAACACCTCGTTGGACTTAGATTTCAACATTTTCAAATCCTGTTTTCCACTCCAACATTTACACGTGTCAGGGATCAAAAGGGAAAATCGCCATTTACCGAAAATCAAGAACATTACAGATTTACCCAAAAATTTATCCCACATTGAACTCTCGTGGATGACTCTGAACACGTGGCAATGGTTTCGACTATTGAGAAAATACAAGAAACTGAATTCAGTAACTGTATCGTATGCGAGTGCGAGTGAAAAATCATTTGGATATTTTCTATTCGTCCTTCGATGGCTGATTTTATTGAAAATGACCAAGGTTTCGATTTTAAGGATGACTGATTTTAAGATCAAATTTAGGAATAAAAGAACCGCACTGAAGAAATTAAGGAACGCCGTTTCAGTTCAAATCCAATATTTGGACAGAGAAGAAACGCTGTTGCTTTTGGATCGTGGGGAAGAAAAAACGAGTTTGCATTCCATTCCATCAATTGACAGTGGGGAGTGAGTTTATTTTTTTAATGAATGATGACTTTATTAATAAACAATAGACAATGGATTTTGAAAGAAGGACGATTATAAATTAATTATTTCAAGGTTATTAATTTATCAATTTAATTAAGTAATTTAATAAAGAATGCAATGGGAATTGTCTAACAGAAATGATGTCCTCTTTTTTTGTGTATTCAATTTTAATACTTTTCGTGGTAATTTTAGTAGACTTTTCAGATACCATTATTTCAGGTGAGTTTTTTTTAATATTTTACAAATTATAAAATTTTGATAAGATTTTTATAAATTTAAGTACGTGGCAAAAATGGAGAAAAAACGCCCTACACCAACTGCAAAGGAAAGACCAATCAAAATTTGACGCATCCAAACAATTGTACGAAATACTTGACATGCAAAAAAGGCGAAGCGTTTGAATGGAGTTGTCCGTCTTGTCCCTACAAAAACTGTTCTTCTGGAATGCTGTTCCATTTTAACGAAAAAACAAATGCGTGCGATTGGCCAGAGAGGGTTGAGTGCAAATTGAATAAATTGGAAGGAGCCGTGAAAGTGGAAAGAAAAGGAAGAAAAGTACAAACAATTAGGATTAAAAAGGGATCATACTATCCGACCTATGCTCCAATTAAGCCAACCCCACGAATTGATCCGACGGAGCCTACTTCTCCATTTACCACTCCTTTTTCGACGACGGAATTTACGACGACGCCACTCAGCACGAATTCCACTGATGACCCAACTGACAACCCATGCAATTCAGTAACAACGACGTCCACGGACTGTGATTACGAGACTACGGAACCGTACGACACGACCACCACTGAAGAGACCCCAACCCAATCTGAGGAGACGCCAACAACCGACGGTGATGAGGAGACCACTACTCCAATAAATATTCAGACAACTGAAGACACCTCGATAACAGATGACACGGAAAACCCTCTACCGCCCGATGGGACGACCACATCCTCCCCGATTGCTGAAGATTGTGACCCCGAGACCTGTAAATTAGAAGGCTATTGTAGAACTTATAAAAAGTGCAACTTGACCACCCGAAAGTGGACTCTGCATAAATGTGGAATAGGTTTGTTTTGGAATTCAGAGTGGAATTTTGCAGAGATTGGTGGCAGTTGTGATCAGTGGGATAATTTGAGCACGGAATTACAGGGAAAATATCGTGCTGATCTGGATTGTTTTCCCATCGATTGTTTTTTTGAAGGCAAAGATCAATGTTCAGGATCTTATGTGTTTCATCCAAATGGAACGGATCTTCGGTTTCGAATCGAATTAAAATGCCCACCCGACTTAATTTGGGATGACGAACAGAAAACTTGTAATTTTTGCGAAAATGTCAAAAATTCTTTAACTTTGGAATTGTGCAAATGTTGAGATTTTTTTTAAAGATTTTTTTATGTGTAATAAAATACGTTTTACGAATATTGTCGTTGGACATAACACCATTTTTATCGTTACAACTTTTAACGGCCCTTTTAACAGAATTTTTTTGGAGTAATATTTTTAACTGCAATAAAGATACGACTATCGTCATCATTTGCGTTAATGGTTACTTTTCCACAAGTCTTAAATGGAATAATACTCTCTCTCTCTGGGTCTCTCGTGGAATGGAATTATATCGAAAAATTCCAGTTTAAACCAACTTGAGGATTACTTATTTTTAGGTGCGGTTTATCACTCAAAGCATTTCTCACTTCTCCGTCTAATAACATTTTTTTATGACCAGAATCCAGATAAAAAGAGCAGTGAACCAATTCCACACTTCAGTTCCACTCACATCTCAACTCGAACAAGTTCCATATTTTCTTGTAATTTGTACTAAATTAAAATGTCAGTTGCACCGGTTGCACCTCCCGCGGAGGATTATAAATACGTCAATTTCTTGGAAACATTCAATTGTACAACAATCAATGGGAAAATTGGAATCGCGTTATTCGGCGTCGGGAGAGCTGGTAAAAATTACTTGATAATTCAAGTTAATTAAATTAAAGATTAAAAATTTCCAGGGATGATCCACCTGAACAATTTGTCTCAAAACAAGCGAGTGAACCTCCTCTACGTCGTTGAACAAGATAACGAAAGGAACAAAAAAGTAGAGGCAACCTCCGGATTGGAAACGACGAAATTTGTCAATTCCTCAAAGATGGATCTCGTTTTGGATGATCCAAAGTTGGTTTTTTACCATTTAAAAAACATTTCTTGCTAAAAATTCCTCTAAAAATATTCCAGAGTGCAAGGCGTGGTGATAACGACGCCCACGCAAACGCATCACGCAATCGTGGTGGAGTCCTTAAACAAGGGAAAAGCCGTATTTTGTGAGAAACCAATCGCTAACCGGATAAAAGAGATTAAAGATTGTTACAATTTGGCGAAAGAGAAAAATCTGCCCTTGCTTTGTGCATTCAATCGAAGATTCGACCCCTCATTCCTCAATGTTCGAGATCGTGTACGAAAGGGGGAATTGGGAGATAAAGTCCACATCATCAAATCCACGAGTAGAGATTCACCTCTGCCTTCAATCGACTATCTTAAAACGTCAAGTAAGTTATTGATCTAATGGAATTTTATATAACAAATTAACAAATTTATAATTTAAAAATAGACGGGATTTTCCACGACTGTGCGGTCCACGATATAGATTTGTTGTGTTGGATAATGGGTGAATATCCGACAAAAGTCTTTTCCACCGCCACTGCACACATGCCTCACATCAAAGCAATAAATGATCACGATACCGTCACAATTAGCTTAACTTTTCCTTCCGGGGGTATGGGAAATATCGATTTGAGTCGCTTTGCAAATTATGGATATGACCAACGGTTGGAGGTGTTTGGACCGGTTAGTTTGTCCAATGTCTACATTAACGCAGATTAGTTTATAAATCTAAATAAACATACATTAATATACATACATACATTAGAAATACATTAATGTTAATGTATTTGAAATACTTTAAATGTATTTAATACTTTAAGGGTGGGATGCTCCAATGTGGGAATCAAAACACTCTCGGAGTGCAATCTTATACGTCGGGAAACGTGAGGGAGCCGCCGATCTGGTACTCGTTCGCTTCCAGATATGATGAAGCGTATAAAAAAGAATTGGAGCATTTCTTGGACGTCATCGATGGTAGGTGTATTTTTTTGTTAATTTTTGTATGTTGTTTATAAATACTTTTTAAAAAAGGAAAGGAAAAGCTGTCGATTTTGTCCACTGAGACCTTGTCCGTTTGTCAAGTGGCTTCTTCTTGTGAGGAATCTGTGCGAACGGGAAAACCGGTCGAAATGGTTTACGACTTTTGAGGAACAAGTTTATGATTTCAAATTTTATTGGGTTTCTTTAAAAAAAATAAAGTAAAAATTCTGCTTAATAAATAAATCTTTTTGTACGCATTTTTATCCCCCCCATTTTCTACCCAAGTGGTGAAATAGCTCTAAACAGGAAATGATAAATTCTAGAAAACCAAGAATCTGCTGCTCTACTTTCATGATTACTAGAATTTCTAAAAGGAAGTGAGATTAAAACTCGGCTTTTTTTCACTCCACGAAATCGATGGTGAATTGGTGAAATTGTTACAATTTCTTCTTCCGAACTTTCAATAGAATTCGATTCAGAATTTGATTCAAAGCTTTTTTCATGAATTTTTCTCACTTGAATTTTCGGATTATTAATTTTAGAATTTAATCGTTTTTTTGAAAAATTATTTTTAGGAAATGATTTTGGTATTTCTTGTAATATTCGTGAGGCTTGGTTTAATTTTGGCTTGTAATCCTCGCGTATGAAATCGACGTACTTGTTCGTTTTATTCATTTTAATAGTTTGTGAGAGTGATTTGGGAGGCGGTTTAGGAGGACTTTGTGTAGTGGTGGGTATTGTCGTTGGTGAAGGTTGGGGCCATTCTGTGGTTGACTGTACATGATCCATGATCCCATTCACTGGACCACCTCCACCAATATTCAATACAACTTTAACATCCGTGAGTCCTTGGGTGTTATAAAGCCCAGCGTCTTTTATCAACTTTGCAACATCCAACTCATTAACTTTTTCCTTCTTTCTGTCACTCGAAACAATGTTCTTTAAACTGTCGACCAAACCCTTAATTTTTGAATTATCCATTGAACAGGGGTTGAACAAAGCACGACATTGCCTTGAATTTCGAGTACGCTCACCAATCTGGGCCGCAATTCCGATGCGATCCATCACGTTCGTTGTCTATTAACATTTCAATTATTATAAAATTATGTAAATTTTTAAAAATGATAAACTCACCTCTTTCAATTCCTTTGCCTTCCTCGTAACAAAATCCGCTAAATCACTGGTTTTTAAATCCCTTCGAACTCGCCGATCATTAAATTTACTGGCAATTTTTTCCTGTAATTTGAATTTTCTTTTAACATCAGCCAAAGCAAATGCAAGATGATCCGGATCTCCTCCATTAACCAAATCTGCGATTGCTGTATTTTCAATTTCATCCTCTTCTTCCAATTCCATGAGTTCGGCCACACCGCGATTTGATTTCTTTTCGGGAGAAACGTCTTCTTCGGAGGACGAGGAAGTAGATGCAGAATTATCTTTTCTGTTTGATCTCAACTTGTTTGGTTTTGGTTCTTCTGGTTCAATTCGCTCAGAGCTGTCTGATTTTAAAAAGTATTCTTTAATCAGATATTTGTAATCGTTCAGGGTATCAGTTCGAGGTCCGGGTTCGTTCGCAGAGATTAGTTCACACATCACTTGTGGGGCACAATTCAAGGTGTCGGAATTGAATAGGCTGGATAAGAAGCGGGGTGACCGGGTTGCTCCATTTTCCAATGAAACCACTGCAAATTTAACACAAATTTTGGGGATTTTTTTACATTTAAAACTTTTGTTTATTAAAATCTCACCGTTTTTAAAAATGATGAAAATAAGATAAGCAAATATTTTATAAGAACGTGGACCCAACATCTTCACTCTTCAATAATAATGCAAAACTGAAACTCACTCAATTCCACAACCACTCCCTTAACCCACACGCAAATACCCAAGCAAACCATTGGCTTCTGATGAATTGCATATGCAATTAAATCTGGGCTGTGTAAGAATTGTAGAATTTTTAAACTATAATTGTAAAAATGTGTATCCACTGAATTGCGTTTAAAAAAGTGTGTCATCCAAATGGTTGGGGTATATTTGCTGTCGGCAGACGGTGTTACTGAATTCAAATTTATGTAAAAATTGGACTGGTTGTGGTGAAAGGATGCTGATTGCAGACAATTGTACGTACAAATAGTGTACAACAAAAATAATAAGAGCCACAAAGTAAATCATGAAATTGAGAGAGAAATGTAGCCAGTTTAAACCAAATCATTTGTACGATTTAAATTGGGTGTCATTTTGTGTGGTATAAGACGGCGTGCATGATTAGCGGATCGGATTCAAGTTCATTACAGTTTATACGTCTTAATCAACTCGACTTTATAATAACATGTCAAAACAAAACATCAAATTAAACACGTTTCTTGGTATTATTTTATGTCTAATTATTTATCTCGGGGCAAAGTTTTTAAAATTGGATTTTATGCATTGATTCAGAATTTTGAACTCATTTTTAAAAAATTGTTTAATACAAGATTCTAGCCAGAAAATAAAACTGCAGAAAACCACTTAAATTCCACTTAATCGAAATACAGAAAACGCAGACACGCTTATTGAGCTCCTGTATAATTACATTTAAAATCGCACACGCAAATCAAGTGTTGATTGAATTCTTTATCAATTTTCTCAAGTATATATGAAAACTGGTTGTGCGAGTTGGTCAATTTGCATCATTTAATTTGACAAATATCTTATTTAAAGTAAAGATTTCAAATAAACAAATTATTTTAAATGTGCTTTGTAAATAAATCATATATATTTCATCAGTCATCTTAAATTATAATTGAGAAATATTCCCCGATTTTTTTATTAAAATTAAAATAATAGTTATTTAATTGACTACTCATTTTCAAGTATTCAAAAAAAATCACTGAAATTGATGTTTATAAATTTTGACTTGTTTTGGATCCTTAATAAGTTGGTCGTAATTTAATATTTTGCATCAGAAGTCGTCATCATCGTCATCGTCGGATGTGGGTGGAGGCTTACGACCCCCAGTTGTTGGTCGTTTAATTGTAGACCGACTTCTACCACCACCATTGTCGATGGGATATCCTTTCCCTCCATTCGCCGCCCCATTCGACATGGATTCTATAAAAAAATAATGAAATTTTATCAACAACTATTCCTTCAAAAAATCTTAAATCTTGGAAAAAAAACCTCACCATTATTGTTATTATTAACTCCATTGTAATTCTTCAAATCTGATTTCCCATGTTTTGCAGTCATACCTTTACCCCCGACCAATTGATTTTTTTGAATATTGATCAATTCTTCCTCATCCTCGTCCTCCGAAGCTAATTCTGAATTATCCCCATCGACTAAAATCATATCCGACCCATCATCCGAATCCTGATCAGCCGCCCCCATCATGCTCCCATAAACGCGTCTCTGCCCATTCTTCATCAGATCCCCAGCATCGCTATTACCGATCAACCTTGGTTTTAAATTACTAGCACCACTCCTGCTACTACTATTTCCCGTATTATTAGGAATAATGGCAGTCTTATTCGCTCCGATGCTCATTTCATCGCTGGAATCTTCATCTCCGGATGAAATTAAAAACGCTCCACCCTTTCCATTTCCATACGAAAGCAAATCATCGCCACCGGCACGAGTCTGTTCAGTCTTGATCAATCTTTCCTCAATTTTCCGCTCCTGTTCGAGCCGATCCTTGTCCTGGATTTGGTTCTGGAGGTAGGCGAGGCTTCGGAACCGATTGACGTAGGCGGCGTAGGCGAGGCCGAGATCCTGCTGCAACTCTTCGTATTCGTCCATAAATGCGGGTCGGACTTTTTTGAGTGTTAACAACCGTTTCTGACTTCGATCCAGTTCCATTCTTTTCTTTTCAATTTTACCATCAATTGCAGCACAGTTATTTTGAACGGTTTCAATTATTGAGGTCAGTTTCTTGGCTTCTCCGCCACCGGTTTCTATTGCTGATTTTATCAGTCGTTCCACGTCCCCGTGTTCGTGCGCCTTTGACAAAGCCTGTTGACGGGCCTCTCTCAGACTTACTTCTTTGCTTAGCATGTCGTATAAGCCGACGCCCTTTTGAACGAGGTGACTCGTGAGGGAGCGAGTTTCCTTGAGATCTTTGATGTCAATTCTTGGAGCATTTTCCGTTTCGCTTGGGATTTTTGTAGGATATTTTGAATTTACTTCCGCGTCTCGAACTGCATTGTACAAAACTGAGGCCACTTTTAGTATTTCCTTCACGGCGTATCCATCCGATTGGTAGAGCCGTTTCGTATTTAGCTTTACTTGGACCTAGAAAGAAATTCAGTTTTTTAATTCAATAATAAAACTAAGCATAAATAATCTCACATTAATTAGCATAAATTCTGCAAAGGCCCGAATTAAGGTGACACGATCCAGCTCTGTGTCGCAGGAGGAGGGGATGTCCGCTTTTGGTTCGTACTGCAGCACCAGCCATCGACTAATGTCCGCCACCAATGGGAAATTTGGATTTCTAAAGTTTTCCACCGACACCAATCTTGGATATCCAACTGCGCGGAGGATTTCACACAAATTCCGCAAATCCCTGTACGACATTTTTATGTTATTTCTGCTTTAGGCAGTGATTGTTATTGACGATGACAAGAGGGGGGAATATAAATATTGATGTGAGGATCAACACGTCAGCAGAGTGAGTGAGTTTGATGGGGGAGGAGGAGGAGAGTTCTTTGATGGTGTGAATGATGGGAAATGTTTGTTGTGCTGAATCTCCATGGAGACCATGCTTTCTCCTCATGCTACCACTTTCTCCACTCTATGCGACGATGGTGCTGTTTATTAGAACGTAGAAATTATTGATAACAGATTAACCCACTGAATGAATGATTAATAAAACACAATTTCCACATTTTCTCAATACTTTTATTCAATAAATATCAATACCTCCTCCGCCTATTCAACGAGGACTTTCTGCCCGAAGAACCGTAAACTGGAGGCAGTGGAATATCCTTAATCTCGGTCGATTCCCCTCCACTGTTGTCAGATTCATTTTCATCGTATTCTTCATCTTTATTTTCTTTATTATCAAAAAGTTCTTGCTCTTTTTCTCCCGAATCTTCCACCTTTTTAATCGTGTTAAAAATCTTGTTTCTCGAAATAACCGGATTATTAAGAGCATAATCAAACTCGTCATCTTCGTAAATATGAGAACTCGCTGGAGCGTCAATTTTAGTTTCCACGAGATGTAAACCATTTCCTCCAAATTCGCCACGAACGATTTCATCATAAATATATTTAAATTCGAATGGAAGATTATTGTGGTTTTTAGTGAGAGTTATGTTGTTAATTCTTTCCAATGCAAAAAATGTAGATTTCATGGTTTGTGTTAAACTGCGTGATTTTAATAAATATCCAACCATGGGTAAAATCCGATTCGACGTGTAAGACATCACTTTCTGTCTTTCCAACACGCCGGACATCAAAATTAGCAATTCACTGTATTTAAATGGACACGTGTGGTCTAAAATTCCGTACATGCATTGGGCGTCGCTGCGGAGTTTGGTTTTTATGTCTTGCTCATCTTTTAATTCTTCTAATTGACTGCGTGGACGGGGTGTGGTTTTGGTTTTGGGGTTTTTCTTGGTCTTTTTTTGTGAGACTTTTTTTGATGTTATTTTCCTCGCTTCTCTGACGAAATTAAATATTCCCAACGGAGGGTACACCTTTTTCAGCTCTACTAAATCTCCGTATTGGTCTTTGCTGTGTTTTAACAATTTTTTCCTATGTTTCTCTGCCGTTGTATTTTCCTCTGATTCTTCCGATCCTTCGTCGTCTTCTTCTTCGTCCAATGGAGCGGGTGTGGTTGTGCTGGTTGTGCTGGTTGATGGCGGAGTGGGTGGTTGAGTGGGGTCGGGTCTTTGTTTCTTTAATCGCCTGTAAATTGGTTATATAATTTTAAAAATCATGGAAATCGTATAATAAGAAAATATCACCTACAAAATGACATGTTGTAAGAGATAAGCATAGTCATTTGCTGAGGATGTCCTCGGGGAGGGCACGTGAGGTGGGAATGTCTGCAAATTAGCGTAGAAATTAGCTGGTAAATATACCACTCAAAAAAATTGAGCAACTCACATTGAGCCCACAAATCAATTGAGATAAGCAATCCAACGGATCGGATAAAAATATTTCCTGCACGGCTCGCGAATTTCTAAAATTTGTTGACTCACTGGACAAAGCTACGCACGATAAAATTAATAATATTACGGAGTTACTTTCCGACTGCATGATAAATGCAGTTTTCAAATGAATTACTAGATTATGCAAATAATTCCACGTGAAAGACCAGTAGCGTACAGTGCATACCAAAATTGACTAATCACTAACTGTGTGAATCATAATGCAACTGCCATTTTCTGGTGACGTTAAAAAGTGAAATTAACAGCAAACAAATTGTAGTCAAGTTCAATTAGGTTTGTTTTTTCTAAATAATTTGTAAATTTTGTAATGGAAAGCTCAATGCAAAGAAAGGCGCAAGTGTGCTCGTGGAGTAAAACTAGTTTTGGCTAATCCATAAATTATCAAGAAAATTATGATCAATTTAACCAATAGAATTCAAGAATGAATGAAAATCAATGAAAGTTTAGTATGCAAAAGGTGCTCATGCAGTTTATGTAAGTGATGAAAATGCATTTAGAGAAATCTCGTCAACAACCTTTTATGAAAATCGAAAGTGGATTTAAACAGGAATTTTTGTGATGCTGTTGTAAATCGTTTCATTTATTTTAGAAATAAAAAAAAAGTGTAAAATATTTTATAAATTAACGAAAATCATGTTGAGCAACTTAAAAATTGTACTTGTACACAACTAAATAATAAAAATATTTAAATATTTTGGTCCATTTGATTAACTTACAAATTTTTAAATACGTCACAAAAGAAACTACCAATCAATGGTTAGCGGAACATCTCCTTCGTATTCTTTGGTAGGTTTCCCATAATTATTCTTCTTATATTGTGAATAAGTTTGAAAAGCTCTGTCCCAAAATGATCCCTTAAATAATTTAGTAATTAGTTTCTCTCCGCCCGTGTGAAGCGAGGTGGCCAGGTCGGGTTTTTCCTTCTCACTCCCCCAACCCCATCCACTCTCCCCTTTGTTATCATTTTGTGAATGATAATACGATAAAACTCTCTCCCACGTTGATCCCTTTACTAATTGTTCTAATAAACCGTCATGTTTCTTCCAGCCCCAACCTTCATCTTTGGGTGCTTCGATTGGGATCACGATCGGTTTCTTCCAACCCCACCCACCGCCTCCCTTCTTTTTCCCCTTCTTCTTCTTCTTCTTTTTCTTCTTCTTCTTATCTTTTTTCCCATGTCCGTCGTCATCGTTTTGTTCCTCACCCTTTTTCTTGGTCTCAATATCCGCTTGCACCTCGTCTTCCTCACTGTCTTCTTCCACTTTATCCGCCGGAACTACTACGTCAGTCGATGGATTGTCATACTGTTTCTGTGCATCCGTAAATATTTTATCAATTATGGCCTGTTTTTCGTCATGTGAGAGATTTTCCAAGCCTTGAATATCGGAATATTCCGCACCTCCGTCTTCCTCTTCTTCTTCGTCGCCTTCTTCGTCCTCCTCGTCACTCGTCTCTTCCACCACTTTCTTTTTCTTTTTGTAAACATTTTGCTGTTTTTGTAAGAAATCCTTCTCGTCATCATCGGAATTTTGCTGGCCGTAAAATGCTTGTGGAAGTTTTGGCTCTTCATCTTCTTCTTCCTCTTCCTCTTCAGCAGATTGTTCTTCGTCAGAATTCTCTGCACCACTTTGTCTGCGATTTTTATTTTCATGGAATTTTTTATACAATTCCCACTCTTGCTTTAAACTCGTCCATGGAACGGCTTGTTCACTTGGTAGGCTGTCAGTTTGTACTAGTTTAGCCTCTGGTTTTGCAAATACGGTGGAAACCTCGGCATACTCGTCCGTCACACTTCCGTCGCGATCTTTCTCTGGAGGAGGCGATTCTGGGATCCAAACGTTCGCTGTTTGGGATTCTGAAATGGAATAAATGATTAAATTATTGGTTAAAATTGTATGAAAAATTATACGATTTTTAAAAAAAAAAACTCACCTTTAACGACCAAAAATAAAGCGAATGGTAATTTAGTGATAAAGTTGACTCTTCCCAAGCTATCCGTCGCGAGGGAGGGTGTTGCGAAATACGTGGTAAAAACGGCCAAGAAGGCAATCGGAAATAAACGTCGTCTCATCTTAAAAAAACAGATTAAAAAAGACGATTGCGTGAGATTGTAAGAAACACACGCCGAGATTTACACACGACGAGCCCAGTTGAGTCGTTTCTCATGGGATCACTTTGCAGGACTGAAAGTTTGATGAGAATCAACTCATTACAACTTTGCTAGAAATTAGTAGTATTTAGCTTTACGTGTAGCAGACGGGGTCAAGTTCAATGTCGAGACCCAATCGTCAAGATAACTCCGTTGAGTATGCAGTCGTGGAATTAAAGAGAGAAAGTGAAAACAGGTTGGTTGGGCAATGTATTACATGAAAACTGCTCTCTGACATCTTATTCCACAGGGGAAATCAATATATACGTTCTTTTATTTCGAATATTCTAATTGTTCTTTGTAACAGCGAGGGTAATTTTTAACAGAGAGCCATGAACTTTAAATGTGACGATAATCTATGAATTTCTATCAATTTTGAATTTAAAAATGGAAATTACCTCATTCCTCGCATCTAGCAGAACTAGTATTTATTTTGTGCACACACCTGCGCCACATATTTTTATGCACATACATTTCATTATACCGACATAATTTTGACATAAATGATAACTGACCAGTATCCAATATTGAAAATAAGGAAAAGCAAAGGAATAATTAACGACAAATATAAATTAGCTTTTTTGGCAATTTTTTGATAAATTGTTGTATGCGTTTTTTTCCCATTGTCATTCGATTTTGTAACAGCATCACTGGTTGTGAATGATGTCTCGTTTTCGCCACAGTTTCTTCGCTTCTTTGCATTCGCACGACTCATTTTTACTCTAATCTTGGTCCTTCGTACTCTTAAAAAAACAGTGAAAATAATTTTTATTTTACCCATTCAGTTGTAAATCGATTAATTTACTTGCTGATGATTGCATGTTGAACGAGTGTAAGGAATACAAAGAAAATGCACATGATCATCCAAATGTCTAATATTTTCCCATAGCTCACGATGGGCGTGCTCTGTCTGTTTTTGTAAAAAAAATCATAAAATCAAAAACCCTCAATTAGCAAAATATTCATAAAGGGAAATACCTGACGGCACTGAAAGTGCTCGTTAAGGTGAACAAGCAGGTGACGCAGTAGCCCATTCTTTCACTGGCAGATTCCAAGGGGAGGATAAAACTCAGCCAACTGACCAGCATATAAATAATGCTTGGCAAATAAGTTTGTAATAAATGGTAGCTAATATTCCTGCGAAGTACGATTGTAAATCTTAATCCGCTATATTGCGAGACTTGTCCCTGTGGCCCAGAAGTCGAATGCAGGGCAAATTTGTTATCGCCCAGCATATCCAATTCAAAATTAGAGACATAAACCATGTCGGAAAGTCTAGCTGCGTATTCATAGCCGTTCGTTTTATCCCATTCTAACCGAAGTTGGTGCGTTTGATAGCCATCTGCAAATAAAAATATTTTTTGTAAAATGTTGGGTAATGAAAATATTGAATTCGGAAATAATTACATGTTTGCATATCAATATCACACAGCTGCGTATCGGCTGGGTAATATTTGAAATTCATTGGACAAGCTACGGTCACCGTCATTCTACAAATAGTTTTTTTAGTAATTAATTTCCCTTCTGCATAATTAAGCAGTGTTAAATACCTGGCTGAATATCGAAGTCTTCCATCTGGATATAATCTTAGTGAAGCCGGTTTTGTTAATATTTCAGGCGATTCAATCGATTTAACGTGTTCTGTAAATAAAATTTCATATTATTTAATTCATAAAATGCGAGTAAATAAATTACCAATATAAATATCCGGTTTCCAAATTTCCTTCAATACGGTTAAGCTTAAAACAGTAAATCCTTCTTCCGGTTTGGTTAAATTTTGTAATCGTAAATCTTGCCAAAATAGCTTTAATTTGTATTCCATGCTGATGTACTGTGGAAATATAAATAAAATTTTGATTTATATTTTTAAAGTATTTTTTATCAGACTTGAAACAAGTTTTATCTGTAAACGCACCTCATGCATTTCGTCGATGTCTCGAATGTCGAGTACCAAAACGGAGACGTTTACATAAACCACGGATCCTGTAAAGAAAAAGTTGATTATGTTTATATTAAATATTTAATTTTATATGATACCATCCAAAGTTGGTGGTGGCTCGTTGACATCGTATTCATCGGGAATAAGACGATTATTATTTTGGTTAAAATCAGTATCTCTTCGTACTCGATTTCCTCCTACTAAATTTTCGATATGATTCGAAATAACAAATGGAACCGTAGAAAAACATAAAATGGAAAAGTTGAGGAACTTGGACGACATTGTGAATAAATTTTACTAAATAAAAATATGTAAAATGTTACAAATCCAAATAAATATGCAAATCCGTGGTCCGTAAATAGTTTTTTTGCAACACGCAATCTTTACATCCGGTTGATTATTATTACAGTAATCATAATACTTCCCCAAACCCGTAAATCCTGCAACAAAGTGACCTTGATTTGTCAACACTTCTGTTTTAACTGCCAATTACAGCTCTCGAATTCATATCCATAGAATTCATTTCTAATTATTTACTTTGATTACATGATGCGTTATGAAAAAATTAATTATCCGACAAGAAAAATTGAGATGCAAAAAATACACCGACGCCCCAACTTTGACATAAATATCTACAAAAAATGAGTGAATCCGATGTCCTAACATCCCGACGAGGGTACAAGAAAGCTTTGGAAAAAGAAGTCCCATTCCGACGTTCGGAACAATTTCACAAGGAATTGATGGTAAAATTTCTATTAAATTCAAAATAGAACTATTTTGTATTAAAACATCAAAACTTGTTTACAGGAAGACTTTCGTTTTATGGAAGCAGCTCGTATGCATTCTGGTGAATACGGAGCAGCAAATCTCAACACGGGACTTTTACAACGTCTGTGAAATTATTAATTTTGTACTTATCTAGTTGGAAAATCATTTAAAAATCATTGCAATTTTCTGCCCTTGTAGCCCACCAGCGATTTAAAGAATTGATGATCTCAACTCCACAAGGACTAATTAATTTCGCTGCATATGCTCACAAGATTAACAATGAAGTGAGTTTTATTTACAAGTTTTACAGTAAAAAACAAATTGAAAAATGTGTAAAAACAAATATTCTAGAAATCGGACAAACGTGTAGTTGAAGCAGATATGAGATCATTACGGTAACTGCAAAAATACATTTGAGAATTAAATAGGAATTTAATCCAACCAAATTTCAACATTATTTTTATGTGTATATAGTTTTGGAACCCGAATGGCAACCTCTCCACCGCTTGACATATTTGCACATTGGCTTTTAAACACTTATGCATTCACAGTGCTGATGGTTTTGGTGATATCGGTGAATTCAATCCTTATCGCAGTGGATATGGAAATTGACCAAGGATCGAAAACCGAAGATTTTCGGTCAGCTTTGGAAGCATTGGATTTTTTCTTCCTAATGTTGTTCGTCGTTGAAATTGGGCTGAAATGGGTGGATGACTTTCGAGCGTTCTGGAAAGAAGGATGGAACGTCTTTGATTTTCTCATCACTGCTGTGGTAAATTATTTGTGTATTATTGTGAAGGATGTAGACTAAAAAATTACCCAATTATTTAGTCGCTCGTCGCACCTCTCCTCGATTTAATGTTTGATCAAGAAACGTTTAAAGACAAGGAGGAAGAGTTTGAAGGATTATTTCTCACTGTGAAATATTTACGAATTATTCGGATATTCAGATCACTTAACGTTGTGACTAGAATCCATAAAATTCGTCTCATTTGGGAAGCCGTGGTCAAGACTTTTAGGTGAATTTTTCCAGCCATTTTTTATTTTAACTACAAATAACTGGGAACTATTGTGCATCGCAGGGAGCTCTTTTTCATCACGGCCCTGATGGCAATTTTCTTTTACATTTTTGCCATTGTTGGAATCAAATTGTTTGACAGATACACGTTGTCGCATGACCCAAGTTTACAATACAGGGAATCTTTTAAGGTTGGTTCGGATTTTTATATTCCATTTCTACTTTTATTGCTAACTTTTAATCTTTTGTAGAACCTTCCGAATGCATTCGTCACTTTATTTCAATTATTTACGCTGGATCACTACTCACAGCTTTTGGATGAAATGATAAGCGTATTGGGATGGCCATCACCCTGCATTTATGTTCTACTTTGGATTTTCTTGGGCTCATTCATTTTCATGAACATTTTCACCGGTGTCATGGGTAGGTCAATTATTAATACTTCTTTATTCTCGCATGCTTATTAAGCATCATTCATGAATTTAGTCAACAACTTTCAAAACATCCGTCAAAGTCTGTTGGAAGAAGATTCATCGGTTGAGCAACACAAAAAATTAGCATTGGAGCTAAACGTTTTCGGAGAAGACGAGTATGCGAAATATTTAAATAACCAAAATTTACAGTGTAATAAAGCAATCTGAAAATATAGGGACGCAGTAAAAAACGAGGATCCGCACATTAGTTGGGAAGATGAAGTGTTTCATAATTTACAAATTATTTCCGCCCTGGGTAACAATCTTTCGCCAACTATTTGGCCAAGGTATGGCATCCACTTAAATAAATCCATTTACACGCAGCCCTAAAGATAGTAAATAATATTTATTATTAACATCCTTATGTAGGGACACCCTTTTCCAGTACTACGTGCTCTTGGAAGCCTTGGCGAGTAATGTGGAAGAGAAGAATTATATTTTAAGACTACTCGATAATTCACTCTTACGACATTTCGATCAGTAATTCGGTTTATTAATACTCTCCTCTCTTGTAAATGAATAAATAAATAAATAAAACTAATCAATAGGTTCCAAAGGGAAATAATGTGATGCTGCAGGTCTCCTATTATAGTAATTCAACGGTGGGGGAGGTTTTCTCCTCGGCGGTTTTGAATCATTGCCACCACTTTCTCCAGACTCGTCACTTTCATTCCCACTTTCCTTATTTTTCTGATTATTTTTCTGCTTCTTTAATTCATCGTACATAAATTCCCACGTGGTAGGAAGGCCATAGACGTATCGATCACTGTTGGGATTATGAAGCCCAGGTCGTTTAACTTTATCCACAATCTCAGAATATTCCGTTTGTATTCCTTGACCAGGTCCGAAATCAATCCCTTCGCCAGAATTTGTAGTTTCCACACTTTCATCGTAATCATACTTTTCTGGTTTATTTTTCACCTTATTTTTTGTTTTTGGCTCGAAAAACTCTTCTTCGTCTTGTGCCTTTTCCCAGGCTTCCTTTCCTTCTAAATAAATTGGAACGGCGACTATTCGTGGTGGCATTTTGACTGGAACGAGTGGTGGAATCGTCGGCGTGGGTTTAGTTTCTATCGATTCGTCAGATTCCTCGTCCTCATCGTCCTCTTCTTCATCGTCACCTTGATCGTGTTGTGGGCGGGGTCTCTTTGGTCGTGGTCGTCGATGACGTTTTGGTCCTTTCTTTCGTCGTCGTCGTGGTGGAGGTGGCGGCGGCGGAGCATTTTCATGTGGATGGACTTCATCTTGTTTAGAACCATAAAACATTGAGGTGATTGTGGACAATGTACGCATTCCATGTGGGCTTAAAACGTGTCGCAGTAATCCTGTGGAATTTTTACTGGGTGAATATTTCGTTGGTGGAGGCCTTTGTGTGGTTGTGGTTGTAGTCGTAGTTTTTGACCGTAAAATTGACGGTAAATTAAATGATAACAGGGGACGACGAGTTGTTGGTTTTGATTGTTTTTGACTTTGACTTTCATATTTCTGAGGAATTATCTCCTCATTGGAATCATCATCAGAATATTTTTGTTGAGTTTGGATACTTGATCTTTCTTCTTCTTCTTCTTCCTCCCCTTCGGAATCTTCATCATCGTCATCATAATTCTGTTTCGGAGGAATCGGTGGTGGTGGATCCAATGGTTTCTTTTTAGAAACAAAAAATTCTGGTGCTTTCTGATCAACAATTTTGTCTTGAAATTCTAAATTAGTTTTAAAAACTAATTGTTTTTCATGATTAAAATTCGTTTGCCGTTTGGTTTCTCGCCTTTCGATCGGAGATTCGTCTGAATTATCATCGACTGGATTTGGCAATGGAATATTCAAAGGTTTTTGTACATCTTTTCTAAAGTTGGCCGCAATTCCACGAATGGATGGAATTGAAATGTGAATTTTACTGGGAATTCGGATTCTTATTCTGGAACTTTGACCAACAGTTGAAGCCATGTACCTCATTCCTCCTCCTTTGTTGTTGTGGCCGTGTGGGTTGGGATGTGTTTGTACGTGTTCTTCAAAGTCATTGTTTTCTTCAACAGAATCGTCAATATCATCTTCTTCCTCTTCTTCTTCACTGGTTAATACGGGTTTCGGAGTCGTCGTTGTCGTCGTTGTTGTTGTGGCGTTGAGCACTTTTTTTGGCGCTTGGGTAGATTGATAATTGGCAGATGCATCATCCGAATTTAAATAAAAATTGCCATATTTCTCGTCCTGTTGCTCTTTGGGTGGTGCATATTCCGGAGGAAGGAGTGAATAAAATGGATCTTTAATTAACTCCAAATCCGGATCAGATTCACCATAAACTGAAATTGGGATGGGAGTAGTCTTTATGGAAGCCTTTGGAAAAATTTGATACGCTGGTTTTGGATGGTATTTTGGTAGTGGAACAATTTTCGTAATTTGATTTTGAACATTGTTGGTAATTTGTTCTTCATTTTTAACATTTTGTGGACTAGCGACTGGACCAATCATGGCTTGTAATTCACTAACAGTAAATGGACACATTGAATTAACGGTACTTTGTGAAACTGATGGTTCATTTGACGTTGTCGTAATTGTGGTGGTCGTCGTGTAACTTGGACGGAACCAGCTCAAAAGACGACATTGCCTTGGATTTTGTAATTTATTTGCAACTTCGCCGGCAATTTGTAATTTTTCTTGATCACTTTGGGCCTGTTGAATTTGTAATTGCTTCTTATTTAAAAATGCTGTTTTATCAAATCGTGGATTTCCTAAAAATCCTCTCGTCATTCGATCCAATTTCGAATTTGTGAGGTTTTCCACTGCAGTTAAATTATATTGTCTTCCTCTCCTTTTAAAGAAGCCATCGCGTTCTTTAAGCAAATCCTCCAAATCTTTTGAATACGTGTCTTCAATGTCAGGCTCGCCACCAAAGTTACTTGAAAATCGTTTCTTTGAATTTTTACGTCGAGATCCAGATAAAGATTCAATGTCATCTTCTTCTTCTTCATCACTTTCTGGACTTTCATCATCTTGGTTGCCGTTTTTCTTTTTACCTCGGCCACCAAGTCTGTGAATATTTTCAAAATCATGTTAAATTAGACGCTTTTGCTTCTGAATTAATGATCCATATCAATATATTTTCTATTTCCACTGACACATATTACTTTTGACCTTATTTTACCCAAATTATTGCATGAAATAGAGCCGCACTTCTCTTGGGGTGGCAAATCAGTGCGTTGACTCGTTCTAGGAACTCGCGTAGACAGAGCGCAAAAAACCGTCAAAAAGAAACTCGGTCATGGTCTTTAAAGATGCTTCATAAAACTTCGTAATTCTGTTTTAATTCCATCTTTCATGTTTTTAATAAGCCCAACAATTGAATACTAATATCGCTTGTATGCACACATTCAAGCCAATGACATCACGGATGTCATTAGAGTAACATGTTGGAGTTGCGGGTACAAAATGTACTCGAATGATAAACCTGTCTGCACTACAATGTTTATATAAAAACGAGTTCGTGGCAGATACCTCAAGACGGTTGTAAAATTAAAATAAGCTCACGATCTTTCCAATTGAAGTACGGAAATTACAAAAATGATTGATTTTAAGGAGGGAATCCCAAATATGTACATGCATACCTCGCTAAGAGGAGGATGCAAATGATGAGATGCTTTCTATTTAGGAACAAAAAAGAGTAATTTCTCTTAATCTTGTGCGTGCGCGTTAGCTAAACAACTATTCATGTTAATAATCCGAATATCATGCCATTTATGAAAGTGATTACAACTTTTTGCTACTGCGGTTGAGAAGTGAAAAATTTAGTAAATTGTGCCCCCTCGAGCTTTGTTCATATGAAATAAAATAGGGATAATTGTTCTTAGTATAATTTAATTCTGGCAGTTAAACTAATGTGTGAAATTTAAAAAAAAGATAAATACTTACGACAAAACGTCAAAGAAACTTTTGACTATGAAAGCATAATCATTCATGGTTGACGAAGAGGACGATGGAGGTTTGGCAACTTCCACACCGCACAAAATTTTGGATAAACAGCTCTGGCGATTGAGCATAGTCAATTCTTTAATGATTTTGGGCTGTCTTTGTTGTTGGACGGCTTTTTCTTGTTGTGAGGCGAATGCCCTCATCTCTTTCGCAGGATCCACTATCGTACATTGCACTGGAATTTGGGAAATTGATTATGCATAAAATTACCATAAAATTTAGTTGCATACTTTTTGATATGTAAAACAAGAAAAAATACAAACCTGACGTAACAAACTGCCATATTGTCAATGTAGGAATTAAAATAGCACCAAAACTGCCAACCCACTGATTATTATATAACAATGAATGACCTACAGGTTCATAGGTCAACGTCTCTCCTACCAAATGTGCAATAATTAAAAGCACACCGGCGAACGGAAAATCCAATCTCACTTTCATAATGTCACAGAAATATTAAACTAAAGTATTAAATCCATTTTTTTGATACTATTTATCTAATTTCGTCACAATTATTTTCCGCCTGAAATGGAATCCCCGAGCAGAATGAAGTATAGAATGAACAACTCCGAGAGATCTGTCTCGTCGAACTGCTTCTTCGGTTTGAAGAAGACAACGAGTGCAACTCTTATTACTCCTTCAACCTCAGGCAATTCTTGATTGTCTAAATTGTTACTCTCCTTCGTTTGTTACACCGAACGGTTGGTAACAACGAATGTCAAAAGTACCTCAACAATCCGTATCGAATGCATGCATAAGTTTTGAGCCAAGTATCAAATGCAGCAAACGAGCTTTTTAAAAAGTGACTTTGACTTTGAAAAAGGGGTTTACCAAATCAAACAATGTCCTAGAAAGCATACACACACACGATGTAATTTTGCAACAAAAACTTGGTTTATGAGAACTTAGCCTACTGACAAAGATATCCGAACAACCTTCGCTACTGAAGTGAGCGGCTTACAATGTTGAAACAAATGCCATGTATTACGTTTATAAAATTGCGAGAGAAATTGCATGCAAAAAGATAATTTGCATGATATGCGGTTGGCTTCAATAATCCCACCTGTACATTTTAAATTCTAAATAAAATAAAAATTAGATGAATTTAAAACTAAACAAATTGATTGACATTTCATACAAATTAATATTTCACACGCGTCGTAAAGGTTTTTTTATCAAAACAATTTAAAAAAATGAACGAGACTTGACCTGTGTGGTAAGTTATTTTTTGCACATCGAATGCAGCAGGTGCCATAATGAATGTTCTAGTCAGTGCCAAACTACAAAAATGTTGGATTGCCTTCGATGAATATCAAAAGTGGGAGGAAATGACGAATGGGAAGTTCCACCTCTTTTTTTGCTAATTTCCCTTTAATTTACATCGATTAAACTTTCTTGTGAATCGAAATGTCAGTGATTAGTTTATCTGCGTCGTTGCGATATTGGCGAACTTTACAACTGAGTTATTAAATTTTATGATAAAATAATTCACATTTAATAAGGAGTAAATCGACACTTTTATTGCACAGCTTCATTCACACTTTAACATAAACAATAAATACATAAATAAAATAAATTATAGAATACCGAATTACAAAAATTAAATGTCGCAAAATATGTAATGAAAATTATTTTTTGAAAACTTATTCATGTGGAAATAAATAACCAAAATTGTGAATTGGAATTTCATATGGTTTGGTTTCACATCAGGTAATAATACTCCTTTGCCAGAAATAATCCACACTTTTTCGTTATTGCAAAGTTATGAGGTTGTCCATATGCTAAATTAAAATATCGTTTTTGGAGCATATCCTGCTGAAATGTAAAGACTTTGTAAGTTCAATCCTAGCATTCAAATAAATCACAAGTGCAACATGATTTTTTGCTAACAGAGCAGAAATAAATAAGAACAACTAAAAACTACCCATTGGTTGACATGTACTGACCAAATGATGTGTATAAATGTTTAAAATAGTCTGAAAATATTGGAGAGTTCATGATGGAGGATGTTATCTTGGAATCATCCTCAACCTTATCCAAATGATGCTGATGATGATGAGGTCTTTTAGTTTTTTTGTGTTTCGTCCTTGCTCTCGTCCCTCCCCTCATTTCTTCCGGATTGCCAATTATACTTGCTGTATGAAGTGGTCGGCTTGGTTTTGGTGTCACAATTAAAACAGGTGGACGTGACTTTGATGATTTTTCGTCTTCTTGACTCGTACGACGATCAATTCCATAAGGATACGTTCCAAAAGGTGGGGTTGGTCTTTTTATCCCGGCCCTAAATTTCTCCTCTGGACGATCATCATCCTCCACGTCAGTTAGCATATCTTCGGACTGGATGTGAAAGGCGTCAATTGGGACAGGAAGCCGTCCTCTCACATTCATTCCGTTGGGTCCAGGCTGGAAAAAATGAGACGGAGGCTCAACCTCGTCATCCTCCACCCTTGTCTTGATCATATCCGGCGGAAATGACTTCAAACTCGATGTGGAGGGTTTTATCGTGGTGGTAATGAAATGAGTCGCTCCATGTAAAGTGGTAACCCTTTTTGGGGGAGGTTTATAAATAACTCTACGTTTCGGTGGTTTTGTGGTGATAATTGGTTGCAAGGGATCCTGTGTAGTGGTTGAAGGTGCTGGTTCTTCCGTGCTGGTGACAAAAAGCATAATTGGCGGTCCAATTGTAGAACTTGATAAGGTTTGGTTTTGTTTCTTGCGTTTATTTTTTATTTTAAGTTGTTGGCGATTTACTGTGTATTTGGGAGGTTTCGGTGCTATCGTAGTTTTCTGGGTGGTCGTGGGCGGTGTGGGCGAAGTGGGCGCTTGTGTGATTGGGGGTAGAAATAATAACGGTGAAAAACTTGTGTCGTTATTTGATGCTCCAATTGTGGCATTCGAGTAAGTTTTCTTAGAGGATGGTTCCTCTACGATATCTTCGTTGGAATCGTCACCACTTTCATCATAATCAATGCCTTCATATTCAGCAGATGAAACGGGGGCAGAATTTTCAGGATCAAACTCCGGACGTTTTTTAGAAGGCGGTGGTGGACGACGACGACGAGGAGGAGGCCGATTCCCAATGTCGTCCTCTTCCTCTTCACTGTCCTCATCACTATCATCTCCATAACTGTGGTGGTAAGGTTCAGACGGCGGTGCAGAGTGTTGCCCGTCACCAATCACTGCGTGAGGTCCTCCGTCGAGTGGATCACTCTCGGAAAATCCCACGTGAACTAAGGACACAAAAATGTATTTCGAATGCTACTACTCATCGATGAAAAGAATAGTGAGCAACTTACTGAACGGCATCTCTCCAGCGCCCTGTTGAGTACTTGCTAAAGCATCGACAAAGACTTTAATTTTTTCCCACAGATTAGGTTCCGCGTGATGCTCTCCTGGATGAACGTGTTGATGGAATTGCATTGCATAACTTTTAATTTTATATATATTTTTATTACTTTTATTACAATTATTTGTATAATTCGATGTGAAATTAATTTATGAATAAATTACCCAGAAGATTCACCCTTTTTGCTCTTTTCATGCTTTTTCCCCTTCTTCTTTTTCTTCTTCTTTTTATCTTTTTTCTTTTTATCCTTTTTCTTCTTGTCTTTCTTCTTTTTGTCCTTCTTTTTCTTGTCCTTTTTTTTCTTATCCTTCTTTTTTTTGCATTCTTTACTTTCTTTACTTTCTTTACTGTGATCATCATCGTCATCCTCATCATCGGCCAGGTCACCTTTGACGTTTTTTGGCGTCGTCGTCGTCGTCGTCGTGGAGGTTGTAGTACTAGGTGCATCCGTTCCAATCACGTCCGCCAGTCCATCCCTGCCCATCATATCAAAGCCCAACGGGATAGAAATTCCAATTTTCGGCTGAGCTACTAAATGATTTTTTGTGAATGAATTTTCAGAAGGAGACAATAATTGAGGTGCTGATTTAATTTCCTTAGATCCATATCCATATTGCGATTGTATTGATTGTTGTTGTTCTTGAAGACTGGTAATTTCTTTCCCCACGGGCCTCATTCCCATCAAGTTCATGAGGTTGTGATAAATTTGCGATGATTGTTGTGAAGAGCTTTGAGGAAATCGAGGAATAGAAATTAGTGGTCCATTTTTAGACTTTGTACCATTGTTATAAAATTCATCAGAATTTAAATCACCGCGATTCCGATGAGGATAATCATCATCTGCCTCGTCAGAACTATCATCCGTCGATATCGAATCTTGTTGAGTTTCAGGATCCGGAGATTGAAACAATGGTTTCCTCAACGGTGATCGCCTCCTGTTTTGATACCTGAGTTTCTGCTGGGATCCTTTCTTCTTTTTCTTCTTGGGGAATTTTGGACTTTTCCCACTGTCATCCGCAAATTCGTCAATATTGATTTCACTTTTCACAATTTTTGACACAGATTGGAAAACGTTGAGGACGGGTTTCGCCGTTGGAATTAGTATCTCTTCCATAATATCCTGAACTGGTTTTCTATTTGGTGTTGACGATTGGGTGTCTGCGACGGGGGGCAAGAGTGCGTTTGACAGTGCGATTAGTTTGGATTTTTCTTTCGCTGACATTTCCTCGGGATCTTTCTCGGCAGGGATTGGTTCAAATTTGAGCAAAATACTTGGTGGTCTTGGTGAATTACGTTCCACGGATTTTTGTTGAACATCGCCATTTTCATCATCCCTAGAAACTAATGGAGAATTTTCTGAATTTTCAGAGGAATCGTCTTGATTCTCGTCATCCTCTGCTGAAGCTGAAGCGTATTCTGGTTCGTATTCATCGTCTTCTTTGTCATCGGTATTTTCATCGTCTCTGCCAAATTGTTTTTCTGAATTGTCCTCGGTGTCTTCATCAAATAGCAGTTCTTCCTTTGGAGGTCTTATCGTCGTGGTTGAAAATAAGGTAGGTTCCAAAGTTGGAAATGCAATTAATGTCAGTGGTGGCGGTTTTGTTGTAGTTTCCGTTAGGTTATTGACTATCGAATCTTCCTGTTGACTATTTTCGTCAGATTCGTCATCATCACCATTACTGTCTTCACCGTTTCTAATTTCATCACTGGTTTCAGGTAACAAGACCCCAAAATCATCTTGGGATGAGTTATCTTCTTCGGATGATTTTTCCCCCACGACTGGACTCGTCTGGTCAGCCAAAAGTGTGATGTTGCTCATCTGCGAAAACCCTTTTAGCGTTTCCTTCAATGATTTAATATAAGATTTCAGCTCATCTTCTTCACTAGATTTAGATCTTGAGTCATCATCGTCATTTTCACGATCACGAATTTTCAATTGGTGTTCTACATCGTCCAATTTGTCCAAAGCTGAATTAGCAACGGACCAATATGGGTTTGAAGATTGAGGATTCTGTTGTTTCACTTCGGGGGTTGGAGCAGCAGGATTAGATTCGGATTCATTAAAATTTACTACTCCGTAGAGAAAATCCAAAAGCTGTTCTTCCCCTGCAGAACGTACCGTCGTTGTTGTTGGTTCTGTGGTGGTTGTGGTGGTGGTAGTTGGTGGCGTTGTATAATATGAATAGCCCATCCCGTTGTTTGGATATCGAGGGTCAGAGGAACCACCACCGAGTTGTAGCTGTGGCCAGGGTGGGAGTGGAGGTGCTAAAGTAACCGTTGACGATGATCCTGATGGACGAGGTTGCGAGGTACTTGCTGGGATAGTGAATTGTTGTGTGCTTGGCATCTGTGGGTATTGCATTGGATGATAACCGCCCTGCGTTAATTTGAGAAATTATCAGTTAACAATACGCAAAATATTATGTGAAAAAAACATACGTATGGCATTCCATTTTGGTTGAGATGTAAAATTATTTCAACTTTGCTTCCTCCTCCTCCCGGTTGCGATATTGCTTTCACTTGACCATCGGCAGCACCGTTGGCAGTCACCGTGGTCGTGGTTTTAGACACAGAGCTGGATACTTGTCCTTGGCCGGTTAGCATTTTCCGGAGATTTGATATAATTTCATTCATTTGAATATCGTCAAATGGACAGCGATCACGAAGAAATGTTCGAAATTTGCGGCATTGCCGACGAGTACTAAATGTCTTGCCTTTTCTGATCGATGTCGCCATTTTTCTAGCCAGACGGAGTGTCTACGATATATAATATTGACATCATTAAATGATATTAAGATTAAGTAATTAAAGTATTTTATATTTTTCCTACCGATTTTGGTGGCAATTGAAGTTGGATGGGATTTTCATTGTCTAAATTACGGCTCTTATTTCTCGAATTTTCTTGATCCATCCGTTTTAGCAAAATATCGTTTGGCAATTGATCTTTGTATTGACGACGTTTTTCCTCTAATTGAACATATTTAAGAACTTGAGGATCTTCTTGGGCGAGGGACGAATCGGCCAAAAAATTCCAATCCGTCAACTTGTCATCAATATCTTCTTGTGGTTTCTTTTCCTCTGATTTCGATTGTGAGCTGTCGGAGTCATCCTCTTTTTTAGTATGGACTTTTTTATGCTTTTTATCCTTTCCCCATTTTTTCCCTTTTCCTTTAGCTTTTGGCTTTGTTTTTTCAGCTTCGTCGTCATCATCGTCACTATTAATTGCATAGATTAAAACTCTTGCATAACTCAAATTTATAAAAAAATTGAGAAAAATGATTTATCAACTTACACCACCAATTCCTCCATGAGATAAACATAATCATTGAATATGTCAGTTTTGGTAGTTGGCTCCCTGGCGCCCAAGCCACACAAGACTTTGGCGAAACAATTTTGTCGATTTAATGATCCTAATAAAAGTCTAGCTCTGTTCATGGCTGATTCTGGGGCTTTTCTCATCTTTCGTTCATAAAGTTTTGAATGACCATTCGGCAATTTCGTCAGTCTTCTTGGATGCGTAGTATTGCTATTTGTATTATTTGGTTGTACAAATTCTATGAAATATGGTTCACTTTTATTGTTAGACTCGATTTTTGTAATGGCGACACTGCTGCTGGAAGGAATTTGTTGTGAAATTGGGATCAGGGATGCTGAGGTGGAGGGTAGATTTGTAACTGCAATTTGGTTAATTTCGAAAATATTAGTTTACATACAAGGATAAAATAATAAATACTTAAAACATACCCGAAGCGAGTCCAAATCCAATTAAAATAGCCGTGCATTTTAAATCTTTTCTGAATAATGTATTCAAACTCGTGAGAAACACCATCACAGTTTTAGCTAAGCGGAGCATTTCGCACGGCAGTGAAGCCAACAGGGTTTTCCGACGCTTCACTTCCATGGCGCAACAACACTGCCAAATCAATGGTCACAACTTCCTGCAACCACTTCACACTGGCAAAATGCACAGCACATACTAATCTGTGTGACTGAATAATGCACGTAATGTGGGATTGACACTATATTTCTGCGTGAAATTCCGAAAAAAATGAGTCCACACCCAACGAAATTTAATGATCAAAAATGACAAATTTCCGTTGTTTCAGACACAAGCACCTATCAAGTGTAAAAATTAAACGCGGATGGAAGATTAACTCTGAGTATGACGATGCCATGCAAGCTAACTAAGCACATTCAACCATTATTTTCATGGGGGGTTGGAAAGCATTGAAAACTAAAGTGGACTTTTAATGAGAGGTTGCAGGGAGACCCACTTTCCTTTCATTGGCACAGCGTTTGACCAAAAAGTCAGCCACCTGCCTAGTCATCAGTTAAGGAATTTAATGGAAAGTGGTTAAACGACTCTAACCTTTTTTGCAAAATAAATAGCACTTGGTTTTGACCACTAAAACCTTATTAACGAGAGATCTGCTGGGCAGACTTAAGCGTTGGATGTATGAATTTATCATCCGTAATATTCAATGGTGTAGCGTGCGTCAATAGGGTTGAAAAATGTGAAGTGTATTTACATGGAAGCTGACACGTTATGTTTCAAGTAAATATATCAGCTATTACTTGATGATGATACATTGTAAAAGAATATAGAAAGTTTTATTTTCGGAATAAAATCGTATTTTATTAGTCACGACGGTCTAGTTATTTGTGCCTAATTGCCCTTCCACGTTTTGGTGGTTCAAAATGTACTCTTCGCACGGGTGGGGGTGGCGGTGGTGCGGGGGTTGGCGGAATGGGAGTCGAAGTTGTCGTCGGAATAGGTGTTGTTAATTTTTTAAAGCCTCTTCCAACTATTTTTTTCGGCGTTATCTCGCAACTACTACTTCCGTTAAATTCACTCCTAGTTTTGCCAGTCGGACAACAGAGCACTGGTCTCGAGCATGGCTTTGACTTTATTGGACAGTATTTTGTAAAATCGGGAATTTCGTTATGTGATTTTCCATCCTTTGGGGGATGCACATGTTCCTCGTACGCGTGTTTATGAAGCCAATTCCCCGCTGGCCAATATCGACAAACGACAAAAAAGATTGAGGGTAATACTATTTTTCCAGATTCGCATAATTCCTCTGTTACAACACGGCCACACCCAATTCGTTTGGTTGCACCCCAAATTAGTTGAGTAAAGTGACCAGAGTCCCATTGCCTACGCATTGCATAGGAAATTTAATTGTGATTTAAATTTTTCTTAGGTTATTTTCTTAACCAGTAATTTTTCTCCCAGTCATGTTTCCTAATTTCCGAGTACCAAACCCGTACGGGAAAACTGCCAGGAAGATCCAAGAGTTGTAATCGCATTTTGCTTTGTCTGGCTCCTAAATTCTCTCCTGCAATAAAATTGCAATGCTGCTTTATACAAATAACTATGAACTTAAATTATATCCACTGCAGCAATTACCAAGTTTTTTATTATTATTTGGCAATCCATTTTCCAGAATAATTTTTCGTTTTTTTATTGCTTTCTTTGCGAGTTCCAGTGCCCACAAATGTGCTTCATATGCAATCTGGAAATGACATGAAATTGACCATGGCGTTTAAAGAATATTTGTATTTAGTCACCTCATAATCAAATTCCACCTTTTGTGATCCATGTCGCTTTCTATTATAAGAAATTGCAAATAATACTTACTCATAAATTAATACCCATAATTTGTATTTTGAAACCCGCATACCGAAGAACATTATGAAACCGGACAATTTCCTTAAGCCATTCAGTGGGTGGGGACCCAGTTAAATTTTCATACCTTATCTGTGTGATCCATGCTAATTAATTTAAATAAATGAGAATAATTGCATGTTTTTTTTGTAAAATTTACCTTATACATTAATGATTTATGATTCACCCAATCCAAAAAGTTATCATTTCGTTCCGATTTTATTTCTCTTTTGTAAACGAGATGATCTTTGTCTTTTCCGAAATCACCTAAATTTTGTGAGTCTAAATCCAACTTTTGTTCAGTTTCTGTTGGATTAAACAGTTCATCTGGTGGGTGCGTAGACATAGGTGTAGAAGAAATGGTTAACATTCCATCCTGAGAATTTTCGCCTAAAAAGTATAAACCTTTGCTTGAAGGAGAAGGAGGTGGATTTATATATGCAAATGAGTTTTCGATAAAATGAAAAATTATTAGCAATTGAAGAAACTTTGAAAATGCCAATTCAGTCCACATGTCAGAGAATTACAACGTTTTGTGAACAACGTGCATTGTTTTTAAACAACTGCAGTGGGAACAAGTGCGTGAAAATTACACATGAAAAAGTAAAAGATCTTAGGTTCGGCTAAATCCAGCTTAATGCCAATATGCATTATGTGAACATTGCCTATGTGTACTAATTCTTATAAAAATGTAGTTGCCACATAATGCCCACAATTTTCGTGTATACGATTTTTCAACCAACCGTTTTTATTTTTTGTTTTTTTTAGATAAAAGCCATTATGAATTTTCATTTTTTTCAGTTACCGAATATGAAAAATGATTTAAAACATTTTATCCTCATGTGCTATGTTGTATTACTAGAATGCCTTTTTTACTTCACCTTAGAAAAAAGGAGTCACCTATAAATGTTTGTATGGATGACTTCAAATTTGGGACATTAAAAAATGTGTGCATTTAACCGGTAAACAATGAACAATAATTCCATGAATGTGAAGGTCAATGCAATAAAATGCAAATTTATTGAGTTGAAATTTCACTACAAAAATAAATAAATAATAACTTAATAAATAGGTGAATACGTAACTATTTGTCTTCTTCCTCTTCTTCGGATTCGTTTTTATCAACCTCTAACGAGACGGGTAAATTGGTGTGCTTGGTTTTATTTTTATTTACTCTATACTTTCCTTTCTGTTGATTACTGGCAAGTGACGCCACGTTAATTTTCTTCTTTGGATTGTCCTCCTCAGACCAGTCGGTTATCTTATCCGCCGATGTTGAAAATGTATTGGTTATGGAATCAAACGTGCTAAGGAGCAGACTTGCATTCTCTCGATCATCGTGTTCCTTCTCTCGAACATTTTGCTTATCGATTTCTGCAGCGGATGCAAAAATACCAGAAAATATTTTATCATCATCTGGTTTCGATTGTTTTTTATGTGGAGATTTCTTTGACTGAGATTTTGATTTCGGTTGCACTTCTTCCGATGACGTTTCTTTACTTTCGTCAGAGTTTTCCTCCTTCTGCTTTGGTTTTTGTTGTTGTTTAGATTTTGTACTGCTATTTTTCGTAGGATTTCTTTGGCTGAGAGGATAATCTGGCTCTTGACCGTGAGGGACAATTACTAATGGAGGTGGTGGTCCAGACACGGTCAAACTTGATGATAAGTCATGTGATTTGCTAGATTGTGAAGGGTGTCGTCTCTTTTGGTGCTGGACTTCTCGTTTACTAGGTTGAACTTGGTGGTCGTCTTCTTCCTCTTCATCCTCCTCCTCCTCTTCTGAGGATTCGTCCCCTCTGCCTTGGGGTCGTGGTGGCTGAGGATATCTTCCTCGAGTTGGTTGTCTACTTGGGGATGGATATCGGTCGTTGTTTGCAGAGTGTGGCTCCCTTGAAGGGTAACGTCCTGGGCCATATCCATCCTGTCCATCTTGTCCGGATCCTGAACTTGGATATTTTCCAGGCTTGTTAGAATACGGTTCTCGATATGGTTGGTGTTCTTTATTTCCACCAAAATAGCTTCCTCCGCCTTGATACTGTCCTTCGTCGACCCCTTGCGTGGATTTGCTCCCACGAGAAAACCATCCCATAATGCTTTGAAAAATAGATGGGGGTCCTTGATCCTCGGTTTGTGGTGGTCCATACCCTCCATATTCCTGTTGCCCCTCCCCTCCATAATTCGAATACCCCGGTTTCCCATCATAATCTTGATATCTTTCAGGTTCGCTTCCAATTTGTTTGCGTTTAGATTTCTTATTTTTATTGTAACTTTTTCCAGGAATGACGTCTCCTCCTTTTCCGTCATTAACTTGTTGCAGTGCTTGGTAGAACTGGGAGCCATGAGGTGGCATAAATTTTTCTGCATCGGGCCGTTCTTCTTCCGAAGAGTTTTGATCATTTTGAGGTTTTTCTCCTTTTTGTCCTTTTTTGTTCCCCTTTCGTTTCTTTCCTTTAGATTTTACAGATTTTGTTATGGGTTTTGTAAACGTTGGACGAACTTGTGGATAAAATCCGTACGTGTTGAAACCATCATTCTCATCATCTCTCGTGTACAATTCTGCTTGCACGTTTTGAATTTTATTGTTATTTTTCTTTGGATGGTCCTCTTCACTCGCTTCTTCAGAGGACGATTCAATTTCAACTCCAGCCGGTTTATTTACAATTGCAGTTTCATCTTCTGGTTTTTTCCCAATTTCAGATGATGGTATTTCCGCATCGCTATCATCCTCAGTTTCATCCACTTCGCCTGCAATTTCCGCATTTTCTTTAACAACTTGAGAGCTAGGTTTAGTTTTGACTTTCTTTTCTGGAACTTCCATTTCTACTTCTTCAGTATCTTGGTTATCAATTTCCGAGGATGATCGATGTGCATAATCTGACTGTTGTTGGTTATTTGGCCTTTCTGCACTTCCACTGAAGCTTTCATTTGATTCCTCTTCTTCCGATGATGCAGGCTGTTGTCGCACTGGTTGACGAACTTTGTTGCTAATTGTGCTTTCCTGTTTCTTGTTATATTTCGATTTTCCGGCCGTTGATGGGAATACTTTTTCAAACTTTTGAAATGCTTCATCCACAATTGCATCCTCTCGCTCTCTGTTGGCCGTATCAGCATCATCGTTATTGTTCTTATCAATTTGCGGCGATGAAAAGAGCGAGTAGGTTTTCACTGGTTCCAAGTCAGAGTCTGTATTATACTCGTCGAGATCCTCTTCGCTGAAATCTGTCCTGGATTTTTTATTTCGATTTCGATCTCCATCTGAAACATTGTCGTCTTCCTGCTCAACCACTTTTGTGGCTTGTTCTGCTGGAATTGAAGATGGAGAATCGTCGTTGTTATTAGAAGCGGCCGCTGCAGAGAAATCCACTAGAAATGGTTCAATTGGGGTGGTTGATGGTGGATTTAATGGGACGGGATCAGAAGATTCTACGGATTGAGTTCGATTGAAAATTCGAATGATTTGATCATATGACATGGCACATTTTTTAAACAGGCTTCGACATCTGCGTGGACTTTTTAGGGCTTGACCAATTTCAGCAGAAATTTTTATAAGAGCTGCCAAGTCATCCACCTGCGTTTAAATATTGATTTATATTTTATAAAATCATGCTCAGTAAATGCACCGAGTAAAATCTTTTAAAAAACTTACCACATTTAATTCTTGCTTTTTCCTATCGACGAATGCTCTTTGTTCAAGCTGGGCTGGGGTGTAAACTTTTGCTGGTTTTGTAGTACCCAACTCTGTCCCATTTTTTGATTTCTTGAATTTTTTCTTCGTTTTCTTTTTCAATTTTAAATCAATATCATCCAAAGATTTTCCGTGTCTGTAGTAATTTCCAGGTCTGTGGTCTGGAACATTCTCATTTGATTCCTCACTGGAACCTGAGTCCTCGGCTGACCCTGACCCGTTGTCATCTCTTTGTTCAATATCGATGAACCTGAGCGTACCAAAATTGCATATTATACTTCTTATATACGTTTAAACAACTATGCAATTAATTAGATTGAGATCATCATTAAACTAAATCTTTAACTTCATAAAATTCCGAATCAATGAAATAAAATAATTCGTCAACCGGTATGAAAATATCGGTCAGAGGCAACTTTATGTGTACGATCGTGTAGACTAGCATCCTCACTTTGCATTATTTACAGTTATCAATCAAAATTAAAAGTTGGGTAACTCGTTTACAATTGGCAGAAACGAAATGTTAAGAACCGGACTAGTTTCTTCTTCATTGAAGTTGCGAAATGTAAACCAAGACAGTAAATAAACTGGAAATTTATAAAAAATCAATATCTTACTTTTTGAGTCGATTTAAAATGTGATAAAATTCCTTGGTGGTTTCATAGGTTGGTTCCTCCGTTATTGAATTTACTTCGCAAAACGCTTTAGAAATACATGGTCTCAAATCTGAAATTTTAAGCTTATTCTTTGGACCCTTTTTAACACGCTTTTCATAAAGCGGCGGAGATTTTTTCTTTTGCAGTTGCAGAATTTTTTTAATCGGTTTTATTTCCGTTGTGGATTTTTCATTGGGTTCAACTTCCTCCTCCTCCTGTGGAATGACTGATCCATTTGATACTGCAAAGACCAAGATAATTTTTAGTCAGCAATTTTTACTATAATATATCGTTTATAAAATCAAAAAATTTGAAAAAACGACTCACAATGAACAAAAATCACAAAGAGTGCTATAAAGCCCAGGAGAGACTGGGTCTTCATGTCAATTTTATAGTTTCCCTAATTATCACAAGTTTTAATAAACAATACAAAAACCATACAACTCGAGCAAAATGAGACAAAAACACCAAATATATCAACAATCTCTCGGGAAATGGTCCGGATGAATATCAATCAACAACTGTTTACGGCTTGCAAATTCAAAAATTGACTTTAAATCAGGTTTAAACTACGTATGGGTGAAGGATGTGTGTACATACATACAGCCCAACAAACCGTGAATAAAGTTACTATTGCCAATCTTCATAACTGCAATGCAGTTTGAACGGTGTGATTATCTTTATATAAAATGCACCATTGCATTGCTATGTTTTGTTAGATTTAAAAGTTATCATCTTCACATCATTTTTTTTACAGCGTTGGTTGTTTTTCATCGACACAACAAAGTGGTACGTAACTTAACAATAAGGCATCGGCTTGTATTTTATATACGCTAACGAGCATGCAATGGCGAAGAGTAAGTTTCAGTGATGCGAGATATGTTGGAAAGAAAAGAAATTCGCTTCATTTCATTAACAGGTACATAGATGCACTGCAACCGAAAACCAACCAACTGCATGTATGTACATGTGTATGATTTGAGAATTGAGGGCACTCAGTCGCTTGCTCATCTTCGTTTTTAAAAAAAATTGTCAAACCTTCTTTATCCGTATATAAAAATTGCCAACAGCATAAGTAAGTCCTTGAATATATCCTAGACAGTGAGACATGCTTATTTTCTTAACGTTGTTACTGGGCTGACAACGACTTTGTTCAGATCAATAGTTATTATCTGTATAAAACATAATGATGTTAATACTCGTGGTAATCATTTTTTTAAGTTTCTGGTTTTGCAATTCTGCGGTTGCAACAAGTGCATATCATTAAATATCGTAGAAAAAGTACTTTCTATCTACTCGAGAATTCAAAAAAATTGCATGCAAATAATGCTTTAACTAAATTATATGCTCACTTTAATCCAGGATGGGTCAAGTATACTGCTCAATAAAAAAATTATTGATCTCAATGTTTTTTGTACTTATTAAGAAGAAAAAGTGTGAACGAACAAAGATATGATTTTACCGGAGATTCTTGTTTAATTAAACGATATGAGTGCATATAAAGCTGAAACCCCTCGGATTAAATTCTTCACCCACCAGTAAAAATTCAAAATTTAAAAATGCTCCTTTTAAAACATTGCATTCAATCTTCACACGGTTTTAATTCCTCACAGATCTAGTTTAAAAGACGAGATTACGAAAGAAGAAATATTAACTAACCTAATTTGACCTACAACTACATACTTTGGATTACCAAACTTTTGATAAAGTAATTGAAGGCAAATAGAGTAATCTTGAAGGTTAACTAGGCCTACGATCTTACAATGCATGCGATACAACCTCCTCCTTGCATTAATCTCAATTGTGAGATCAATTGTGAGATCAATTAACGTGAAGACAGGGAGAATAAACTGGGTACTACAACCAGTAGGCAATAATCTCTCGCGTGATGTATCATTTAACACGAAAATGATGCCACGAGTATAAAGTAAATCAGTTCAGTAAAGACTTCACCGAAAAAATTACTATAATTTCATTCATTCTCTGCTTTATAAAATCGTTCGAATGTTATTATAAATAAAATATATGGAAAAGTTGCAAAATGCCAATATGATAAGTCGCTGGTCATTTAGCGTTTTTTTTTCTTTTATGTTGCTCTTAAACTCTGCAAACTTACCCATTATCTCACGTTTTCATCAATGCAATCAGTTTGACCTGACAGCAGTTTGTAGAATTTTAAATCGATTTCAGTATGACATTCGGAAATTGTACTTTGTACATTGCGTCGACGGGGTGACGATATTCTATATTCGATATTAACAGATGTCTGGACGGTACTCCAAGAAACAAGAAACGACCTGTACACCGTCGGATTCTCTTTTTCAGAGAAAACCTCAAACTTTGGAATGGCTGAATATTCAATGTAAATGAGAATAATGACGCAAAGAATGAGAATGTATTTTCAGGAATTTTGAGGAAGTTCCAAAATTTCGCGTAATAATCTTTTTTGCAAAAATATTTTGACAATTTGGAATAAAATCATGGCAATTCTTAAATTTCACTGAAATTGAATTTACCATCCAGGAAACATTATATGCAAAAGGTGGACAATTAGGCCACGCACACGTGGATGTGCAGAATGTCTAAGTGACGATAATTAATCCGCAATTATGAAGAAATGAAAAGCGAGAATGAGTGAGGGCGGATGTCAGGCAAAGCTTTCCTTTGAACGGAGGCGTCGTGTGAATAAGAAAATTATCACACGACGACGCATCACAAGTGGTAAGTCAGAACCAAATAATTCTCCTCATACGCTACTCGTAGTCATCATTCATCATGATTAAATTTTCATATGAGACCCACTGCCTGCATTAGTGCAAGGTGGTCTAAATGTTAGAAAGTTTTGTAAAAAATGTGTTGGATTATTGTACGACAAATGACTTGACATTGGATGAGCTTACGAGATCTTCTGCACATTTTACCTGTTTCCTTCCATCCTTGTGGATGATCAACTTTGTGTTGAGTGCATAATTCTTATAATTTGATTGTGGGTTTGAGGCGTGGTTTAAATGTGGTCAATTTTTTAAGGAAAAGAAAGTTCCACGGACTTATCATAAATTATGTTATTTATTATTCAAATGATATAAATAAATAAATACAAATAAATAAATTTCGAGTTATGCAGGCAACCAATAACGAAACGAATAATGTCACCCTTGAAGTGTGATAATTTTTCCAAAAACTGGCGGTACTGGCCTTCGTCGTCTTCTTTTTGTTGTTTTAGAGGTTTTAGACCCTCCGGGAATTCCTAACCTCCGATTAAACTCATTATCAACATGCTCAAATTCGTCTAATTGAATAACATCCGATGCTTGATTTCCAATACTTTGTGTATTTTCAAAAGTTTTCTTAAAACTATTTTCAGGTTCTTTCTTCTTTTTTATTACTTTTGGTTTTTGTGTCGTTGTCGTCGTTAGTTTTCTTGGAGGTACGACGTACGAATTTCCATACGTTTCTCTCAAATATTGAACAAGCATTGGACTTAATGGTTTGGAATAAAACGTATCTTTAGTGGTGGATGGTTTCGGGAGTCGTAAAGTGGGTTTTGCAGTTTTAGGCTTCATTAAACGGGTCATTAACGTGGGTTGAGATTTCCACTTGTAAATTGGTGGGAGTGGTGGATATACGTCGGACGATCCAACAGTGGGCGATGGGGTTGTAGTCTGATTTAATAATTTTGACGATTTTAGTTGGTTCTTTTTACTACCAAGATTTGATCTTTCATTCTTCCCATCATCATCTTCTTCTTCCTCTTCTTCTGACGTTTTGTCTTCTTCCGAAGATTTTCCAACTTCCTCTTCTGACGATTCTTCACCACCAGCTCCATTGTTACTATTTCCAGTTCCGGGTCTATTGTTCCCACCAGGCATCCTATTACCACCCCCAGGATTTGGCAATCGTCCAGGTCCCCTCCCACCTGGTGGAGATCCACCACCAGGCAACCCACCACCAGGCAATCCTCCACCAGGAGAAGCAGCCGCCGGACTGGCCGCATTAGGCACCGCTTTTGTATTCGGTTCAGCAGCGTCGATTACTGTGCTTGCCGTTTTAGTTGGGTCGTTATTACCGTCTTTGATGGTGGGTGGGACCATGGGCACTTTAATCTCGTTAACCTGATTGAAATTGGAAACGGGGGCCAAAGCGGGTGCAGGTAATCTGCCAAAAGTGGAAGTTTGTGATGGAAATTCAGGCTTTGGATATAAAGTTATAACATCATCGCCTAATTCTGGAATATCGTCCTCCGCAGGCACGATTAATGGTTCTTTATTGTCAGCCTCGTCATCTTCATGTTTCTTATTTGGGACTTTTATTTTTTTGTCCTCTTCACTTGAATTGTCTTCATCGTCGATTAATTCTTTGGATAAAACTCCATCCACAACCACGCCCTCTTCAGAGTCATTCTCCGCTTCTTCAGATCCTGCTTTCTCATCACTCTCACCACCAGTGCTCTGCTGAGTAGGCGTGCTTAACGTAGCTTGTGCATTTGGAGATTTGGTAATATTTTTGAAATTAGTCTTTGTTTCGTTCGTATTGATAGGTTTCCAATTAGCGATGGGTGGTGGAGGTGGTGGTGGGATTTCTGGTCTCTTTTCATCATCCGTGCTTTCACCCAAAGATGAAATTGACCCTTTTGTAAATATGTTTTTGACATGATTTGGATCTTCTTCAGACGATTCCTTGCTCTCTGCAGTTTTATCGAGGTGTTCTTTACTGGAACTGGAGTCAGCTTCTATGGATTTTTCCTCATCCTCAACTTCGGTACTGTTTGTATCTTCATACTCTTCGTCGTTATCCTTACGACTGGTGGGCGTAGTCGTCGAGGGTGGTTTAGTTGTTGGAGACTCGGTGCGAGTGCCCGTTGGGTGAGGAAATCGTGGAAGGTTTGGAAATTTGGAGGATTGTGTTTTTAAAGGTTTACTTTTGCTAGGATCTATAATCACGGGTTTGTTTATATCTTTTTTAGATTTTTTAGTTGGTTCTACAGTCGTTGTTGTTCCAAGAGTTGTTGGAGGACTTGTTGACGATGGTAAAAGTGGCGTTGGTTTAATTTCTTCCGATGATTCATCTTCATCTTTTTGAGTTGAACTTGTTTTTTCTTCTTCGTTTTCTTCAGAAGATTTGACAGTTAATTCAGAGCTTTGGTTTTGTGTGTCTGGTTTCTTATGATTTGCGCTGGCGTGAACGTGATGAGATTTTTTCTTATTTCCTCCAAATAAAGAACCAAGTATCCCACCACTTGTCGGTTTCGGTTTTTGTGTAATAATTTGCTCCCCATTTTTGTCGTAATATGAATATTTGATTGGATGCATGGATGGTTTTGGATGTTGTGACTGTTCAATTGAATCTTGTTCTTCTTGTGAATTAGAAACTTTATTATCCGACCCATTCACCTTTTCTTCTGAGCTATCGGCAAATTTATTCCTTTCTTCCGAACTTTTTTCGATTTCTTTCATTTTATTTCGTTCATCTTCATCTTGTTGATTTTCAACTGATTCATCCGAATCTTGAACTTGTTTAAATTCCAATTTATTTTTTGGTCTATTTTTCAATTTATATTTTTCTGGCTGTTTTGAATTTAATCTCAATTTTTCTGCAATTTGTACCTCTTTTGGTTTTTCTTCAGAACCTTCTTCTTCCGAGCTTTTTGTGGGTGCAGACGGTTTTACAGTTTCATCACTCTCCTCAGAATTGGTACGTTTATTTGATTCTTTTGAAGATTCCTCTGAAGATTGGGCAATAACTTGTTTCTTTTTGCTCTGGGTTGGATCCTTCCCTTGCTCTGTGCTAAGAGGTCGATTGCGATATTTATGCTTTATGCTGTACTTTGGACGTGGAAGGCCTATTTTAGTTTTTTGAATTTTATGAGGCAATTTTGTTTTTACTTCGTCCTCTTCTGAAGATATTTCATCACTTTTCTCCTTTAAATTCTCCGTCGGATGGACCTTTTTATTTCCTAATTTTGTCACTTGGGTCTTCATAGTGGATTTAAATTTTGGTGGTATTTTCTTTAAATGTTCTTCGGCGTCTTCTTCTTCAGATGATGTTGCTTGCTCCTGGATTTTTATAACTTTGACATCACTCGATGGTGGGATAATATTTTTATTGTACGTTATGCTTGGATTGTCAAATCCACTTTCATCATCCTCAGGTTCCCTTATACCACCTCCTAAAAACTGTTTTCTAATGTGAGATTTTATTGTAGTGGACGTTTGTCGTGGCCTAATTGTTGTGGTAGTTGTGAGTTTTGGGATTTGTGGGGGTGGAATTTTTGATGGTGGAGAAGGTCTTTGTCCATCCATGTTCTCAGGATTTATGATATAAATTGCCTGCGAAATTGGATTTGGGGTTGTGCGACGAAGCTGTGGTTCAGAATTTTCATACCAAGGAGGCAACGTAGGTTTATTGTTCGTTTCATCTTCTGGTTCCGTTTTATCACCAGTTACCATTCTTTTCATTTGTTTAATTGTGTACGGACACAAGTTGAAGGTGGATGTGCACTGGTCATCTTTACGAGAGTCTGAGGTTTGGCCAATTCGGGCTGCTAATTTCATTTGCTCATCAAATTCATCCGTCTACATGATCCAAAATTTTTTATTAAATAGTTATTTAAAGTTTTTAAAATTTATATGAAAATAAAAACTTACATCCCAAAATGATTTAGACAATCTCGAATTTAATCGTTTATGATCTGTACTCCTTCCAAACCTCAGGAGACTTTTTAGACCCGAGAATAAGCTTGGTGGTTGATATGGACGTTTTGCATTTGATTCTGATTCAATATCCGACATCATTTGGTTTAAAATGGCTTCATCAATTTTTCCATCTTTAAATTTGCTCTTAATTTTCTTTTTCATATCTTTCCAAATAAAATTGAGATATTCTGGGTCGTCCATAATCAACTGTTCCTCCGCCAAATGTTCGAATCTTTGATCTTGCTTCTGTTTTTCGACTTCATCTGAATCACTTTCTGAATTTAAAGCATCTTTTCCTTTGTTTTCAGAAGAATCCTCCAAATGATCGTCACTTTGTAATATCGTTTTTAAATTATTATTACTTTTCATTCTATGATTTAAGACTTATTTTGATGAAAAATTTGACACTTACACCATTGCAAATTTGATCAAATATGCTAAATCATTAAGCGTGGAAGTGGATTCTGAAGGTGCTTTCGATGTCATTCCGCAAAAAAATTTGGGAAGACAGCCCATCGTTTGAAGAGCAGGAGCCAGCATGCTCATCTGCCTCCCAAATCGACGTCTCAACACTCTTGGTCGAACTGTAAGAATTTCCTCTGAAAATTCTTGGGATGACTCAATTTGTGGACGTCGTTTCCCATGTTCCAGAATCGTCGCCCCATTAGAGCTAAGGTAACTTGTGGCTGTGGAGAAATTGAACAGCAATTAGTCAGTTTTCATGATGCTGGTGAAATTTAATATGCAATACCTGAAAATAAAATGACTAGACTCAGCTTAACATCCAATCCCCTGGCCTTATTGACACTAAAAACTCCTTGGACAGGATTCACATTTTGAACAAGTATGAAAATACTACAAACTTTTAATGTTAATGTTAACATTCGCCAACATGCTGAATTTTGGCAAGATTTTAACAAGTTCATAGTTATAACTTATTCCACACTAATGCACCCCCGGGAGCCATTAACGTTAAATAATAATTGTCAGGGTAGGTAAATATATTTATTTAACTTGTGCACTGCGCTGTTCAATTCAAATTATGAAGGTTGTCACTTTTGAAAATGAAACTGAAATGATTTTTTACGAAATCCACAAAACCCACTCCTCGTTTCAAGATTGCAACGCTAATAGTTGTAATCTTTTAAAATCCTGATTTACCAGTTGGGTCAAGATCATCACCAGTTTGGACACATCACTTTTCACGCAAAGATTACTATATGTTTGGGGGTTAAGTTAAGTCTTTGCACATCTTACGTCGACAACATATCGCACTACTGACCGAGTCAAGAAGGGGACGCTAAGAGAAAAAATGGTAAGCACGTTTGAAACCTGTTTCCTGAGCTATACTCACCGAGTGAGTGTGAATATAATTTTGTTCATTCTCATGGGTGGAAGTGGTAACATCCTTATAATTTTCCACCCCAACCTTAATAGTCGTATGCATTTCTAGCTGAATATAATTTGCTACTCTGTCAATATAAGTTTACTAAATGAAGCGTAGAATGGGACAGGACGACTCGATGACGACGACGACTATGAAACCCGGTCAGGAGGATGAGCAAAAGTGAAACTGAATATGTGAGCTTCTAACAAGTATTTTGTATTAAGTACTTTCTAACTATGAGTTAGCATGACTAGATAAGAACATTAACTTATTCCCAGTAGCACTTATTTGTAGTCGATTAAGTTGATATGATATTGTGGTAACAAATTCCTTGCATGACTAATCAATCAGGGTGACGTCTTTTCAGGGCTTTATATAAAAATAAATTTACAAAAATGTAATAAATGTGATTGGGGTTTTATTTAAAAAACTAAACATTAAATATGTAACATTCTATTTTGTAAAATCTGTGAGGTTGCGATACTACACATTTTCCTCAAAGTATATTTAATCTCAATGCTTCCACCTTCCTGTCGTTTAGTCATAAAGGTAAAGGTCTCGGGAGATCGGTATCATATAAAAACAACTTTTTTGGTTTCCTCACATTGTTCATCATTCGTAAGTTCTCATGTCTTGCGATTGGAGATCTTAGTCTGTTGAAAAAATGTTTGTCCACCATCGCAGAAATTCTTTTTAGAGGATTTTGTCGCTTCATGAATCGGTTGGGGTCTCGTTCTTCGTCATAATCGGCACTCTCTGTTTTGTATGCTTTATTTACATCATCAATTTCATCCTCCTCTTCATCCTCTCCTTCGTCTCCATCGTCATCTTCTTCTTCATCTGAATTGTCCGTGTCATGTTGATCCTTTTTAGGCCTAATTTTTTTCAACCTTTCCAATATTTTCGACAATTCTTGATTAGATTTTGGACCAGTCGCCGTAACGCGTTTTATCCCGTCTAGATTGGTTGGAAGAGTGTCGTCATCTTCATCGTCTTCAATTTTGGTCAATGATGCTAAAAGTGTTGCAGTTTTTTGCGGACTGTTAGATTGTTTCTTAGTTTTTCCATTATTTTGCGATTGTAATTTTGTTAAGACTTGTGGATCTGGTTCAGGTAATTTGATATCGTCAGAAACTGTATCATTTTTTGAAGGAATTATGACAGGATTTTGGATTCCAAGATCTATTAAAGTTTGTGAATAAGAGAATGGTTTTCCCTGCTTTTTTCTCTTGATTGTGGCGTTGTTGATTTTCTCAATGGCCAACATTGTTGCTTTTAAACTCTCAATGCTATGAATTGGTGTTGGTGATTTATTTGTGTCGTAATTGTCTTGTTCGTCATCATCAAATATGTCTGAATTATCTCCAGGTTTCCTTTTCACTGAATTATTTAAAGTTGAAATTGTGCCATTTGTCGAGCCTGGTTTCGGTTTTATTCTTCTCGTTGAGTTCAATCCACCTTTTGTCATTTTCAGATTAATTTCGACTTTCTCTCCAGTGGGAAGTTGATGGATGATGCTGGTCACTCCTCCTGCGGCTGAGGATGTGCCCGCATTAAGGTTGATTATATTCTTTGCACCTGATGAAGAAGTGGTCCCTGATGGTTTCTACAGGCAAAAAATGGACAATATTTCATAGAGAAATATATAAATTATATATCTAAAAGTAACTCAAGTTTATACCAAATCAACGACCGTGTCCTTTTGTGGCACATTCAAAGGTTGTCCCAGGATCACTTTTCTAAAATCAGCCACCATGCCCAAAACTTGAGTATAGTTGAATGGACAACTATTAAAGAGCATCCGACACTGTCGCGAACTTTTGACTTTCTGACCAAATTCGGCTGCTATTCGAAATTTCTCGACGGGATCACTTATCTGGTGGAAATAAAATTGGCGTTACAAATTGTTTCCAATTTGGAAGTTTCATACGCACCTCTTTAAGTTCCTTCCTTTTTAAAGCAATGTACTCTTTCCTCCTTTGTCGCTTAATTCTCAACTCTTGAAACAAGGCTTCTTCTACTGGAGTTGCAGGTCTCAAACTTGCCGAATCCACCTCCAACTTTCTCCCTTCCATGCTCCTCTTAAATCCAGCAAAGAATGGATCATCGTCAAATTTATTGTCGCCTCCCTTTCCAGAAAATCCATAGGAGAATTGTGGCATAATTTTGGAAAGGATTGAACCTGGACGCTTTGAAGTTGGTGGTGGCGGTCCACCACCCAATTTTGATAAAATATCATCCAAATCAGCTTCTGACATTTGGTGGAGGTCGCCAATTGGGAGGCCAAGGTCGGGAGGGTGAGCATCTGGTGGAGGAGGTGGTCCCATAGGCTCAGTTGGGGGTCTGCTACTAGGTTTACTAACTTTCATGCTATCATGCATCGCATACGGGATGTAATCTGGATTGTTGTTAAGAATTTCTTCGTTGGCCATGTCATCCATTTCAATTATTTCTTTTCTCCTTTGGTCGTCAATTTCCTCGTCGTCAACTGCTTCCTCTGAAGATTCGTCATCGCCCTGTTTTTTCTTGTCCTTTGTTTTCGTTTTTGATTTGACTGTCTGGGTTTCCTTCTTTTTTGAAGGTTTCTTTTTATTCTTTGTCGTCAACTGGGCAAATTCTGCCTCCAAATCTTTCCCAAGATCGTCATTATCCAAGTCTTCGTCGTCCCTCCTGTAAAATTTTACAATTTTTCAAATGTCACTTTTCTAGAAATATGTGCATAAAAAAGATGAATAAACTCACGAAAAAACAGTTTTTAAAAGGTATGCATAATCATTAAGAAATCCACTCTGAGTTGAAGGCGGAGTTGCACTGATTCCACACAAAGCGGATGGGAGACAATTCAAAGGATCCGAACTTGCTACCTGACGCATTATTCGATATTGTGTGTTCTCATCGATAATATTTTCTTGTGATGGTCGTCGAGTGCGTTTGTCACTCAAATGGGCTGACTCGTTCCTCAGAGCTCTCCTCTTTCGGACAATGAGATCTTGAACTAGACCTTCAGAACTGAGCGTGGGGACGGATATCCCCGTGCTGGGAGATGGGTGCGGAACAAGGCCCAAATTTCGGAGGAAATTTTGACCGTTTTGTTGTTGATTAGCTGGTAATAAAGCAAGTTAGCAATAATTGGATTTTTTTTTGTAAATAAAAATATCTTGTGTTTTACCAGCCATTAGCATCATAAGAAGTCCACCCATCGTCATTTTTCCCATGAGCAGTCCCCCCGTCATAGCCATTAGGACGGACGGAATTATAAAAAGACATTCCACACTATTTTTTGAACTCAGGATAAAAAATACCACAATTAAAACGAAGGACGACGATTTTATATGCTTTAGCTTCATATTTCACGAATAACCATTAAATTAATTCACAATTAGTAAAACAAATTCGAAAAACTTCATTCCACTCAAACGTCACAACTTGCGGAAAGAAACAGAAAGTAAAGCTGCCAGCTAAGCACCAGATTTTAAATTAAAAATTAAATTACGAATACGTAATGAAAGTAAATCACATGCAAGCAGTTAAGTCGATTTTAATTCTTCTGCGCTTTCATAAGAAGTCGAAATGTTAAAATGAAATCGAAATTAGAAAAAAGTAGAACAAAAAAGTTCATCTTGCATCCATTTTTATCTAAACATCAGACTATGATAATATCCCATATATGAAAATTATAGGGTGATGATTAACTACACCAAAGAAGATTTAATACATGTGTCTAAATGCATTTCCACTCTCGACTCATGGCGTGCGTCAAAATGTTTCGGCAGCAGCATAAAGATTATGAATTGACAATGAAAAAGGAATAAATGCGTGCATGTGTGCAGAGTTAAGTTAATAAGTATCGTATGTGTGCAGTCTTTTGTGTAATTAGAAAACCACCAAAGCCAGATATGATATGATGCTCTTAATCCACCTGATATAAATAATTGCCTCGTAGCAATAATCATTTTTGAAGTGGCAAAAGTGTTATTTTTTTACCATCATCTAGAAACCAATTGATAAGAATTGTTTTAAGGCAAGCTTTACGGAACAAGATCGTATTTTTTGCTGCATACAAAAGGCGTTAGGTGATGGTTTTGACGAATTCTCGGGTGAATATCTTTGGCGGGGAGTTGAATTTTGAACTGATTTTTGGTAGGTTGCAAGATAATACTCTCAAAAAGATATCTTTAAAATTTTAGGGTGATAGCTTCACAAATGCACCCTACAGTGCCCCCGGAGTTGGTAGAAGCCAAAAAAACACTTTCCAAACTTAATTGCTTATATAGCATGATAACCAAAGAGGTCAGAGGTGAATGATTGTTAATATAATAACCCTAGATAATCATTGCATGTAATAATAAAAGAATCCGTAATGAATCACACAACGTGGGCCTTCCATCATCGCGGATAGTTTGCCCAAAAAATGATAAATCAGACCGTGCGCGGAAAAATTAACCTGCTGACCTTGAAAGTTGACCCACCGGGTCAAATGCAGCTTGAGGGTAAAGCTGGAAGTGTCCTAAGTAATATTAAAACAAACAGTCAAGATTTTGTGTAAACAGTTTTATAGAAGGACCCGAGCTAATCAGCTGTCGCAGAATCCTAAAAAACTCGTGAACTTATTTGGAAAATTAATGGTCAAATTTTTTCGAAAATAAATTTTAATAATCTTTTGGTGTCCCCTGCTGCAGAACTATTTTATCTACAAGGTACAAGTGACAAAATAATAAAATTATTGCGTTTTGGTTAGTTAAATTATTTCTGAAGTTCGACATCGAAAACGACGGGAACTTTTCCAAAAAGTTTATAAGGTCTGATGAAAACTCAGTCCGTGGGGTGTAACCGCTTATCAAAATTTTGTCAAAAGTACTTACAGTGCAATATACTATATGTACCTTGAATAAAAACCACGTAAAGGATTTTTAGCATCAAAGTCGTAAAATGTGGGGGCCTTAAAAGTGGAAGAGTTGCGTTAAAGAGCGCATTTCATTAGGACAAGTATGAAATTAGACTGTAAAACGGACTTAAAAGATAAGCATGAGGCAAAAGTGGTTTTATATAGTGAAAAGCATGCTAAGTCCCTTAAAAATAGTCGCAAAAACTATTTTTGCATCAGGACCTCAGAAAAAAATATTTTGTTCAACGCCATTTTATAAGAACACTGGTTTGGAAAACTAAAAAAGGACACCTCTCCAAATTTGACCTTGCCTCATTTCGCAGAGTACACAAAATCGGAAGCCAGATATGCTTACCTGGGCTTTCAGATAAAAAAAGTTAGAAATCTCTATGACTAAAATCCATCCCGCAATTAAGGCATGAATTCGTCAAAACCATGTCCTAACGCCTTTTGTATTGAAGCTTGAAAAAATCTATTAAGTCAATACGTCGAATTTATTTAATACCGTTGTTTAATGCATTACTGACCTTTCTGGATGTTTAATTTTACTTTCGCTTTTCTTTAAATCATGTGGTAAGCAATTCGTGTGAGTTAATAGCTAAGCTCAATTTAACCCTTGGATGATTTTGGCAGTTCAATAACCAGGATAATGCGGTGTATCAAAAGTCATAATGCAAGTATTTAGTTTGACTGTTCATTTCATTTATTAACATAGCAAAATTAAAACACAAAATATATTTGTATGTGTAAAATGACCTGTAGTTTAGTAGGAGTAGAATAGTTTGGTATACCCATTCATGATAATCTATGGCACATTTCGTAACAAGCAATAACAAAAATCGGTGAATGGAAAATATTTATGAACCAACGCATCCAGAATTATCACAGTATTTTTACTCCAGTCGATTCCATAACCAAATATTGCACCCCAATTTTCTACATTCTACATGAGTAAAATCTATTTTCTAGATAACTAAAGACACCAATTGCTATACAAAAATTGTACACAAACAAATTTTAAGTACATAAATAATGCTTAATGTCAACTGAAAGTTTTGGAACCACGTTTGTTCGTTTTAACTGAAATTTTTGGTGGTTGAAGTTTTTCGGCTAAAACTCGGCAGGCGAGTGGATCCTGTACCAAAGAACCCAGTGTTTTACTGACCCATGTTGAATATTCTTTATCCGTTCTGTAAGTTCAACAACGTAAAATTAATCATTCGAACGACACACAAATTAATTGAGAAACTGTTGCAATTGCATACTTTAAGTTTGGATTTTGTATATCTTCTCCCCACAAAAGTAATCCATGTCTCGAACTTTTAGGCGTTGACGAATCCAAACAGGAGTCTAAATCAAAGTCAATTACTTTGCCAACTGTCTGCTGGAGATCATTCCACGCTTCGAGCAATTCATCACTTTCATTTGGCGACCGTTTTCTTCTATTTGTTCGCCACACGAAACTCTCATAACCTAAAAAATCAAGTCGTTTAAAATATACATTTTAATCGTCAATTTGTAAAAGAATTGCGAGAAACTCGTACCCATTGCCTTCAACCCCAGCAATACTTTGACAATGACAGCCTTCACCTATAAGTCAAATACTTGTGTTAACATTCACCGTTCCTTGTATGTACATATCTCGGTACATTCACCTTTACTAAAGCCATGATGATCGCCATTCCAGTCGAAACTACAAATATCGAATGATACAGGATTGAGATAACTTGAGATATTCTTAGTTTATTTTGCCTCTTAGTTATGTAATTGCTTACCTGAAATCGGAATTGTGAAGCATTCCACTTCTGGAGTAATAAAGAGAAACAATTCCAGTAAAATAAATATAGTTTGAAGCCACAAGCCGATTTTCATACTTTTCTTCGGTCAATACTCATTTAACCGACGTTTTAGCTTAATTGTCTAATTTCCTGAATGAGAGAAAGAAAGAACCAGGAACGACACGGTATTCACAAGTAAATCACGACGCACAGAACGACGGAAACTGGATGATTTGATGTCTTCTCGGCATGTTATGTAGTTGGATGGAATATTATTGTTATGCACTTTGAGAATGGAGTTGTCAGGAAGTAAGTACAAGAAAATTTGTCTAAAAATCTACAGCATGATTATATTCAAATACAATCAAACAGTAATGCGGATGTCATTACGATTATTATTACTTTTCGTAGTCTCCATTTACTTTGCTTTGTTTGTGGCAGATATAATGTGCTACACAGGTTGAGAGAATTGGTCGTCGAATTACAATGTGATCACTTGTAGGTATATAACTTTACTAACTATGCCTTCGTAGTTAAACTATATTGGCAGTACAAGTCGTCCCATGCATCCACTTTCACCAACAAAATATGCAAAAAATATCTGATGAGGAATCACAGCGAGGATGCGAATAAGGTGCGACTGACGAAGAATAGAGACTTCCCCATTGACAAGGTTGATAAGGATAAGTGACCAGTAGCACCACACACCACACCCTAACGTACACGCAAAATGCACAACGATGCCAATCTTTGCAGCAGCACAGATATTTTAAAATAAAGTTTTAAACACTAGTTTTGCTGATTCTAATCGGAAATATCGTTCGTAACATTTTGTGAGCGTGTACGTATGTTTATTTTTAGAGGCGAAGTCTGTCTTTGACAGACAGACTTTCAAAACGATGTGATATGATATGCGGCACCCCTCACTCGCGTCGAAATAGGAAACCAGTTGAGCCGAACGAGATAAAATTAAGCGAGGCATGCTAAAATAAATAAAATCTAGAGATTTTACCAGCGATTGAAATAATTAGAATTGTTCTGAAAGTTTTGCAGGTAAATATTTTCTTGCTACACTTCATTCTACGTACGTATGAGCAGAGTATAGAGCGCAGAGGTGTAATATTATTTCTTACAATGCAAAAATTCTAAGTTTTCCTTCGACATGTTCAGGTGCAGATTTACTTTGAATGCAGCAGATCTGCAGACACATTAGTGTGAATGTAATGTCTACATGCCATTCATTCATTCACGACAAGTGTGAGTTACATACAATATAATGTACTGTTTCAGGCAGGTAAACAGGTATTTAACCTCTTAATATTTTACTTAGTCGTCGGTTTTGCATCCTTCCTAGCTCTTCTGACCTAGAAACGTATAATGAATGCTGGCTGCATCAGCAGATTAAAATATAACATTTCTTTAAAGATTTTAAATATATGTACATTTGGCTAAAAGAATAGTCTTTTGTCTTCACGGTCTCACTTGCTCATCATCACACTTATTGACATTACACACTACCTGTGCTTGTTAGTCACACTGCTTAAGCTACTTTTGAGAGCATGCTAATTTCAGTTAGAATTGTGACTTAAAATGGTCGCGAATGAACGATTTTTCACAGTAAATTTTACAAAACCGTCAATAATCAATTCATCAAGTTCAAACTTTCATTATTTTATTTCTCTTTCAATCAAAAATCTTACTCCACAAACTTGGGAGGAATATCCAAGTTTTAATAAGTTTAATAAGTTTTACAATGGAATTCATTTATAATGTGCTCTTAAAATTAGTAGTTATATGAAATCCATGATTAAAAATAAAATGACAACGTTGGGGGTAAAATATTTCAAAAAATCAGTCTTTCATTTTTGTTTAAATTAATGCACACATACGCGCATTAATTTCAGTTTTCTTAAATTTTTACTCTAAACGAATTTGCCAAGATGACACCTCATATTTTCCTCTGCAGTGCATATTGGTTGATCTCAACGGAAAAAATGTGGTCACAATGGCTTTCGTCCTGACTAATCTGACTATTAATTATTATTGAGTTTTGATTGAGATTAAATAATTAAAAAACGACGTCCTTTTTACATTTTGATTACATCCATACATCGATTTTTGTGTGGTTCATGACTTACAATATTTTTTAGTCTAAAGTACAAACGGCGAGGTTACTTAATCCTGACTCTTTTCACCATTTGAAGCACCTTAGGGCCAGATAAGGGACACGATGGGTACAAGTTGTGACAGCCGTTGCCTTCGACGTTAGCTAAGAGTTGCCCTTCGAAATAATAATGCCACAGATTAATTAGAATGGATCCAGTTTGGCCGATTACAATCATATAGCAAACTTACCCATATGCGCTGCAAAATGGTATTTGGAGATCACCTCCCCCATCGGATTCATGCTAGTTTCTCTACAAAATCAATGTACGCATGATTAATTTTTGCTTGAATAGCGAAAAGTACTATTGAACACACTTAATGATGGATAAAAGTCCTTGTTCTGCTTCTGATATCCTGCCAGTACGATCTCCAATTCCAGCATGCAATTCACAAACGAGCTTCGGAAGGCACCATTCCTGCATAGTCTTCGTCATTTGACTTCGCATTGCTAACAGTTCCTGTTTTTCATCGTCTGAAAAATACAGTCTTTAAATTAAACACAATTTTTAAATTATACAAATTAAAAAAACAACTACCCGACAAAGAAGCAAAAATGTCGTCTGGATTTATTCGTTTGATTTTGATTGAACGCTCGGACGATTTTAACTTCCGTCTCCCATTAGCAATTGGTGTAAAAAATTTAGCCGGAAGTTCCCCCTCCGCTTCGCCCCCTTCTCCGAGACCATTTAATTGGTCGGGAGTTTTTCCTACATTATTTTTTATCGTTAAGCTTCTCTTTTCCTGTCTTGATTTTATAGTTGGAGAACGTGTCGTCGGCGGGGGTCGATTGTCTCTAGCATGAGCTTGATGCTGTGATCGCCAATTGCTCAAATAGGGTCCCACGGTGGCCGTTGTGGACAGAGCATCGAGCAAATCTTTGATGTCTGAGGTGAGCAGAAATACCAAGAGGATCAGTATGAACAATCGGATCAGTTGATTCTCCATTTTCTAAAATACGAAGATATTTCTGGGCTCCTTTTATAAACGAACAGCAATCCAGTCCCGAATCAAATAAGATCCAATATTGCTCTCTGAAAATGACAAAATATAATTTGCATTAGCATAATTTTTAGTACAATTTGGTAACGTTGCGTGGTGACATGGCATCAATTTGGCTCTTAAATATATCACTATTGTAAAACTGTGCTGGTGAAGCAATGCATGGAACATGTTGCATTGTTAATATTGCGAAGAGATGAAATAGTTGTGCTATGAATGGTACATATGCAACAAAGCTTATGCTGCTGAGTTGTTATTTTATGATTTTATTGTATTGTGACACATGTACGTAGGGTTAATGTCATAAATCCAAAAATCTTAACAACTCAAAACAACCCCATTTAGGCAATTTTGATTAAAAATTGTCTCACTTCCTTATTCCGATGTATAAATTGACATCCATTTGGTTTAATAGGGAAAATATTTTACACTATTTTTACTGAACTTGTTTAAACGATGATTGTTTAAAAAAAATTGTTTAAAAAAATTTTAAAATCAACTTGTTTAATTATTAAAATAACTTAAAATCATTCCACATTACAACTTTATTATACTTACATTTACGCCATTCCCTTCAAGTTTCAAATCCAGATGATTTTAGCCTATCTGGAATTTTTAGATTGACTGGATCTTTTATTGACTGTTGAAATCAATCCGTTTAAAATTCGTATAATTCACAACACGTTAAAATTTCACAATTTATGAACCCTCGAATAAATAATTCCTGTTAAGTATGAGAGTTGGTATTTGTGAATGTGCACATTTTACTCGGGTCGATGAAAACGATCAATAAATTCGAGAGCTGCGTGCGTACACAGTTGACTGAGTCGAAAAATCTTGGTCATTTAAAACGAAAAGCGTGTCTCACACTCTTTGTCCACTTGCAAATACATGCACAACGAGGATCACCACGGTCGTCTAAACTTGCAAGACCAAATAATTAGCCGAAATTAGTCTGATGGAAAAGAATTAAATCATCGCAACGTCCTTTGTGCTTTATTATCTCACATGTGATTGCAAAATCTCAAGTGTTTTAAGTTGTTTATTTAATGGATTGAACTGAAATCAGGTTTTCTCACTGCTCTCAAACGGAACAACTTGCAATATGTGCAACTTGGTGCAATTGCCAAGATTTCCCTTTCGTTTTTGATGAAGGGAAGAAGGGAATGCAAAATAGCAGGCGTTTATTTTTGTTCTCAATTCCTCTCACTATCCCATTTCGCCAATCCACCACCACCACCTTCAGACACTCCTGACACAGTAAAGTACAACTGCATAATATTTTTTGCAGAAAGAGAGAGTGGTCACAAGCCCCTAAGGCTTTTGCAGTACAAAAAGTTCCTTGAGAGTGCAGTACATCAATGATTCTACTCCTAATTCTAGCAGAATTTGAGTTTAATGCTGTTGTGGGAATGCAAATACGGAAATTACGTGTCATACGCATCAACCATTATCAGCCTTAATAACGATGCCTGTTTCTCGTCATTATGTACTCGCACTGCGTTGCACATGTAGTAATACTCGTCCTCGTAACGAAAGATAAAAGCTAATTGATCTTTATGAGAAGCAATAAGCTGGGTTAAAGATATATTGTGCACAGCTCATGTCACGTTGCATATTGTTCGTGGCATTTATTTCCCTAATGCACAAGTATTTGTAGGAACGTGTGTAGCCAAGTTACTACAAGCAGATTGAGACACTGTATCTGTTCTTAATGAGATATTATTGACGGGCACGCTGATGACTAAATTATATAAATACGTATGTTGGAGTATTGTAATTTAAATAAATATGTAGGATATTATACAAAGAAGATTTGGTAGTGAATACATTTTCATATATCTACGTATATACTTGGTTTTATTACTAGATTTTCATGGAACACAAATTTATTTACGCTTGGGCACGAACATTCTTCTTCTTGGCACATCTATCGTACGGAACATATTCTACCAAGTTATCTGGATACCTTTGATTAGGAACCGTAATCGATTGTCCCGTCTTTTCACTAATACAGAAAGCTTGATGTCCCCCAAACTGTCTCTTTTGTGTGTATTCAGCCTGAAATTCCGACGTCCAATTAAACTTGAAACTTATGGAGTCGTCATAATCGCCGACAAGACTTTCTGGAGCGGTGATGACATATTTCGGGATTCCACTCGAAGTTTCTCGCCGATATCCAGTGACTCCAAAATCAGACATGTGGGAGCGAATTTCGGTGTGCGATATGCAGTGATCAAAGCTATTTTTGGGATAATACCAGATAAAGCTTTCGCACATTTCGTCGATCGTTGTCATTCCACCGGAAACGATGCTACCATTTTTCCATGTTGAATCGTAGGTGCATTCTGTTGTAATAATAGATTTAGTATTATGATGAATTAATTACGATCATAGTAGCTGCAAAATGTTTACCGTAAGTTATTTGATCTCCGGGAAGAATTCTAACTTCTGTTGAAAGATGTTTGTTTTGTTGGTAGTCAAAGTCGTAATGTTCCTATAGGTTAAATTAACCTGGTCAATGACAATTATTACTCGACGTGATTATTTCTCGTGAAAATAATACCTCATTATCGATCCATGGGAGTTCAATGTTTCCACGAAAATGTCTTAGACGCAAAACCCTTCCTAAAAATAGATTTAAAAAATTGTAATGCGTGTATTTCCCTTAAAAATATTCATAACTTTACTGCCAAACCTGCCAAATGAGAGTGCAGTAAAGCGTTGAAAATGGTGACTCCAGCCAAGGGAAGCAGAAGCGTGCATGTTGGACTGCAGTGACCAACCACGACGTAGTCCTGGGTATTTGGTGGCACGGTGAGCGACACGTCCACCTGATGACCAATTGTCATCAAACCTGCGTCAATCGGTCTGTCGAAATGACAATAATATAATTTCAACTGCATTTCCTCTAATTTTCGAGCTAACCTCAAATTGTCCGTATAATAAACGCGTGTTCCAGTTTTGAAGCTGGGTCCGCTGAGTTCATCAACGTTATCGTAATGAATTTCCAGCATGTAGTACTGATGAATACCTGCATCAGAACCTTCAGAAATGGGATAACCCACATTTTCTGGAAATACCATCATCTACAATGTCAAAAATGGAAATTATGAAAATTACACACAGATGAGTTAACAAAGGCTTCAATCACTTCACCTTTCCCCCCTTTGCCCACACAAAAAGGTACTCTTTGCAATACTGGTTAGGGATTTGCGAGGATCCTGGTCCATAGCATTCATTTCCGTTGTGACCCACATCCACAGTGTAATTTCCAAATACTTCGTCCGCCGTGGAATTTGAGCCCGCAGGAACATAGCAATTGTACAAAATGTAGTGATGAGTATGTGTCAAAGCCATTTCATTGTCCAAGACAGCGTCAAACTGGGTAAAAAATAATTTTAGATTCTGAACTTAAGAAATTTAGGAAATTAATTATTTTTAAAATTCTACCGCGACGATGTGATGCTTGTAATCGAGAATGGGTCCTTTATGAAAGCTGCACCAGTAGATTGTACTTTGCGCCGGCATAGCCATATCCACTGTCATATCCCAATACATCATTCTAAACATATGAAACAGTAACCAAAAAGAAAACCTTGTAGAAAATATAAAAAAAACGTAAATACGATCTTTAATTAAACTCAATCTTATGTACTGGTCAAGGTTGATGTCTGGCGTTGGAGCACCCAATAAACTGATGGACCGAGCACCTCGTCGCTCAGAAGTATGATATTCAATTGCGTCAGAAGATCCCATTGCCCAAATTAAACGGTTTGTGTCCATCTGGAATTTATAATCAAAATATTATTTTAAGTGTAGACGAAAAAAGTGAAATGAAAATTTACTGTGATTGGATAATCCTCATCATCGCAAGTATCAAGCAGTCTTGAAAACTTTAAATATGTTAGTCCGTTAGTCTCACTGGAATTAAGCAAAATCCAGTCTTGGTTATCGTCAATTTTTGGGGTCGTAAATCCCACTCCAATTCTATCCTAGTATTTATTTTACAAACAATATTTCGAATTATGCATGTTAAGTAGGTTTCTATACTGTAAAAATAAACAAAATTACAGAAAAGTAGGGCTGCCCATCATTTCCCACTCCAGCTATGAAAATGTCAGCCCCTGTCATGCTTCCTTGCGGAGATATCCCAAAGCCCACATAGCCCGTGGTATTGGCTTCAATTTCGAATGTGATCTCCTCCCTTTGTAGATTTGCCTCCCAGGCCAACGTGATCCTCCCAGCATCGTCCAGCACAAGCACATTTGGCAACGTCAGGCGACTCTCTGGGCGTTGTTGTGGGACTGCCAAGATCGAAACTGCAAGGATCAAGACAAAAATAGTTTTGAACTCCATTTTTTGACTGTATTTAGTGCGACTAATTTCACATTCTGAATTCGGTTCAGTTTTATACAGGGTAGAAGCAAAAAAAACAATTGATTGATTAGTGTGACAGAGATAATAACTGGATTACGTTTTATATACGCAATTCACTAATTATGCAAACAATGCTATGTGTATGTATTTGTTTCTGATAACTTCAACACCTGTCGAAGATACGATTAAAATTTTGTAATGAAAATGAACACGTTCTGAGCAGACTTGCATTGCATTATGTGTTGGTTCCAAAAATAGTTGTACATTATTGATAAAATCACATCCAAAGCATTTGAAAAAATTTATGACAATGTTAGTGACACTGAATTCTTAAATTTGTTACTCATTTCTAAATACAAATTCTAATTTAACTCAATTTCTATATTTTTTTATAAAAATAAGAAAGTTTCTAATAAACCTTTTGCATTCATAATATTATGTACGAGTAAAATATTCATGACCAAGATGCAGCCGGATCTCGAAGATATAAAAGTAGTCCATTTTAGTCATCACTTATTAGAACCCAAAGGATCAAGGGGGTGCCAAATCAGACTACAAATTGTATCGCCTATAATACTAATAAATAGACTTATTATTATTACCCGCACGTTTCATCATGAACAAAAGTTTGCAATGACAGAAATCGATTATTTTCATGTTTTGCACGCTCATGTACTAAAATCTCTAATAATTTTCAATTCCACGTAGTCCTACATACAAATATATTTTTATCTCACCTTCACATATTAAAAATCTGGTAACGTACTTGTGATAAGACTTAAGTGCGGTGTTTACACAGAAACAATTACAAATGATGTATTTCCGGAGACTTTGAGCTTGAAAACAAATAATAAGAAACGCCGCTTTCTGAACAATTAGGAAGCGCAATTATGCTTTAAACAAGCCACAAAAACTTTGGAAAGGAAATGTATAAACGTATAAAGCAGCATGTCAGGCTGATAATATCTTTGAAACAACTCAATAATCACTTCTCTTCTTCATAATTTGACAAGTGTTTGATATTTTATGGAATATCCGAAAAGGAATTATAATTATATTAATGAGCTGTGCAAACAGATAACAATTGAATTTCTCTTTTCTAAATTTATGAATCCGGTTTGAGAAAAAATCATCCATGGTCCCAAGTGAGGGATCAAATATTGAAGTATTTTAAATGGGCAAAGTTTCGTATTATCATAAGAGTTTTTCACACAATTCTTTAATTGCAAACACCAGGATTAATCGCAATAGGTGAAGTGAATTGAGTATTTAATGGCTAAAGACTACATAAACGATGTTAATTATCCCCTTAATTATACGTCCCATATATGTTTGTATGTGCATGTTGATGGACAAGAATCTGCATGTACAACGTAACCGGATGGTGTAAGATCTTTAGAAAATTAATAGTTTTGTTCGTCAAATAGTAGGTACACAGGTCTGTCAAATTCTTACCACAACCACCAGATTACCAGCGCAGTAGTAGTAGTGGAAATACCACACAAAGTGCTGTTAAATAAGTACACGGCAGACCTTTGAATCAGTTTTGTTGGTTTACCAAAGTTGGTCCAAGTGAAATTCGTCGTCTGCAAAATAGATTTGCAAAACAAAGGTGAGTCTGCCTGTTTGTAAGGTTCGACGATATTGCACGATGCAGGTTGATGGGTTATATCCACACGCTAATGAAATGATCTGAGATTGAAATTGAAATCCTTTCCTCAGAATGATGAGCAGTAATAACGCGTACGAACGGTGGTTGTAGTAGTAGTCGTGGGACGCTGATGATGAAGAAGTATGCATCAGCAAGAGTGAAAGTTCTACTCTTTGTTAAGTTTATGCTCATCTAACTAACCAACCAACTAAACGGCGTGGTTTCTCTGTGTGCATGCTTTGCTGTAAATTATGTAGCGTTGGACGTAACCAAATGATGCACCAATAATATTTACAAGACGCTTCTTGGCTATAACAGTTTTAAAAGAGAATACTGAATAAAAGCAAATTGAAGAACGTAATGCTTGCTAAGAAAGTATGTAAGTGTAATCTGCACCTGTTTTTCAAATGCAGACTTGGCTAGTTAGTTAATTCATTCAAGTCATTGAGAGTGAGTCGTGCAGGTAATACTTTGATTTGTGGTTGTGTCACAATATCTCCCCAACTACGGAACTTGCAATAAGAAATGTAGTGCATATTTAGATGTGTATATAAGATTCACCAGTGCTACTACCCCTCACCGACCCTGACATTGTTCTAGGGTCATTTTATTAGAATCGTCAGCGGTATGCAATTGCACCACCACCTGGTCGACGATAGAATGATTTTTATCGATATTCACACCTCTGTTTTGATTTATACAAGTGCAGTTGAATTGCTAACCTTAGTGCAATTTTAGATTTTGCGACTACACAAGATTCATCCTATTTGCATAGCTCGAATAGAAACCGGAGAGAATATAGAAATGCATATAGTTTTTGTGTAAGCTGTTTATTAAGCTTAAAATAATACGTGTGGTGGGAAATAAAGTGATTACTACAATTCCTAAAAACTTTTCATAATGAATCTCAACAAAATTTTAATAACTTCTTTCCTAATTCTCATGATATCTACGTATCAGACGGATTCTGGAATAATTTTCAGTTTACTACTAAAAGTACTGTTACTTAAAGGTGCTCTATTTATGACGATGCCACTGTCCATCGGTGCTTTCATGATGGGACAAGGCATGGGATTCTTTGCAGGAAATATGGCTGGTGGTTACATGTAAGATTAATAAATTATTCATATGCTTAATCATGCAAAACACGATTTTGGCCATTAAAAAAATACACATAAATGTATGCAAAAATGAGCATCAAATAAGACCATTTCTTATAATGTGTGCTTCCAGGATGCTTCGAGCAGCAAATCGCTACCATTATAAGGAAAAGTCAAAATGGACAACTGGTGATTATGGTGGTGGTGGCGGTGGTGGAAGCGTTGGTGGCTACGGTCACCATCACGGTGGGTGGGGCGGATGGAACTCGCACAAGTTTCATAATGCCTACGACAAGGGTAAAGACATTGGAAGCGCACTCCATGCCCTCGCCGCCCACAAAACTAAACTTGCCTCAGCTTTTGATAAGGTGAAAACGTTGTTGGGAAGGCACAAGGCACCCCCAAAAGGGTGGGGTTGGGGTCACGGTGGTTATTCGCACTCTCCAGCGTCGTATGGTGGTGAGGATGACCATGACTCTGGGTACCAATATGCCTCCCATTCCAAGTATAAACCAGTTACAACCAAATACGGTAGCCACACCAACTTTGACCCTTACGGACATTTGAAAAGTGGGGGTCCAACCTATCGTCCCAAAGGGTATGGAAGCAGTGGTGGATACCCATCCTCAAGTAGTGATTATGATGAAACAATTCAAAAAGGAAATTTGAATTATCAAAATTTCTACCCGGCTGTTGCTGTGCATGAAGGATCGGGATCCTCCAGTTACAGCCAAACCAGCCAAGATCCTTCAAATACGTATTACACATCTGCATACGACGGACCTGGACATGAATACACTGGTAAGTAAATATGATCATCTTAAAAACATGTACTAGTTTTTGCACATTTGGTTGATGCCATCATCTCAAAATTATTATGACTTTCCATTTATTTTTTGAAAACCTTTGATTGTAACGTAATAATCTCGTTTGTAGTTCATAAAGTTCATGGTTCGGTTAATTTTTCATCTTCTCTGAGCCACGCGCACGCAATAATAAAACGCTTCAGTTTGTTTTGATGAGACGATAACGAACGAGTGGAAGTAGGCCCATTTTTATTTACTTTGAAAGAATACCTCAATATACATATCAAATTGTGCCATATATGGCTCACCTTCATCTTTACAGCTTATCTAATCGTAATTTCATAAAAGCTACTGTCGGTCTTAACAATATGCACTTACTTAGTTATTAAGTCTTAACTTTTTCATCATCCCTGTGGATGTGGATGAATTAATTTTTTTATAAGTATTCCAATTACTTTGTCCAATAGGTATGCTCACTAATGCTGAGATGTTGGACACTTATCTGCAATCTGCTCAAGAGAAATCTTCTTCAGAAGATGAAGTCTATGTCACTCCAAAACCAACAATCCCCTCTATCAATGAAGCATCGACAATACCACCCAACCCAATTTTAGAAAAATATTTAGAGCAGCGTCTCCAAGAGGAGGCAGCTAAGCAGAAAAGTACAGAACAGCAGTACGAAGCTCAGCAATTGATTCAAATGTTGAGAAAGGCTTATCTGAAACAATTGGTGGATTCTTTAAAAGAGGAAGAAAAAGTGGCGGTACCAACGTCCGCAGAAAATTCTAGAGGTTCCAGATCAATTGAAGATTCTGGCATGAAAAACGACATTATTCAACGACTTTTATCCTACAAATTCTCAAAAACTGGATCAAGTCAAGAGGATAAAATTGAGCGTGCAGATCACAACATTTTCGATGAGAATGGAATTGAGTCAAGCAGCAGGTCGATAAATGACACACAAGATTCAACGACAACTAGTACTGAGGCACCAAGTACAAGTTCTGAGAGTTCCGCAATTATTAGCAGTACAAATAAAATCCTTGATGATGAGGATACCAATGGTCAAGAGGAGGCCAGTGATCCGACAGAAGAAAACAATGTTTCAAGCACTGAAAAGTCCATCAATGACTTTTTTGGTATGAATGACTTTGTCCAAATGCCAGCCATGTGGGTTAAAGTAGAAAATACGTTCATTGACGAAACCCAGCCGTTTGCTATCAGAGTTCGAAGGGGGGCGGAATCATCTCTAAATAAAGCTACACCCCAGGTCACTGAATCCGCAAAAGTTCCATCCATGGCTGACTCCGAGGCACAAGTCGCTTCCTTTGTGGACGACATAAAGAAATTTTTCACCCTATTAACAGTTTTAGACCAGGATCAATGTTTGGTAAGTGCTACGGGTTTTAAACGGCAACATTGACAATCTAACGTGATTGACCAATTTCTATTTCCAGCAAAAACTAGTCTGTGACGTTCACACAAATCAGAAGGACGCATCAACCTTGACACAATACGAACAAAATATTCTAACCACTTTTAGGTAATTATTTATTGATTCTAAAAGTTTTCTAAAAAATTAGCATCTCGATATTACATTTGTGCTAAAGAATCACATACTAATTTCCAAAGTTATTGATCTGATGAGTATTCAAGACGCGTAGGCACCTGTAATTATAGGTTTGTTTGTATATGCACATGTATTATCCATTCATTTAACAGATCTATTTAGTACACGGAATTCATCTGTTTTCCAAATATTGACAACAAATTGCAGGTTTTACATTTCTCATGAACAAATTTAAAGTAAAAACGGAAAGGTTGTAAAGTTCAGAGAATTTTGCAAAGTCGTAACTATCACGCAATCACGCCAACCATATAAAGTCACGTTGTATGACGCATGTATTTAGGTGTTTGTAAAATTGTTTGTAAAATTATTTAATTACTGTATCACCCAAGAACGGATTTTATAAAACAAGACCAAAAAATCGATGCAGAGTTTATGGGGAAACACGTCAACATTTAAAATGTTGGAGAGTTCAAATGGGATAATAACGCAAAGCCACAAAAAATCAAAAGTGGTTAGACAAGTTCAACCCAATTTTTACTTTCGTTTGTCTTTCTTTTTCAGGACAAAAAGTTGATTTGATTAAGATTGGTTTTTAACTTGACGTAAATTTTTGACATAACGTTGAAACCTTGTCGCCATATCGTGAACACTCATGTGAATGACATGAGTCAAACTCAATTCGCTTTCGCCTTACCATCATGACGATGTAGACAGCTTATGAAACCTTGGCGTGAACAAGATCATGTTCATTTCTAGCAAACTCATTCAATGGCAATGCTACATAGCTTAAATTTTTAGATTTTTAGGCGTAGTTTACGTGGATGAGAAAAATGTGCACTTGGAATCATACCAACTAGTGACTAATAATAATGACTACTTAATAACGCCAATTTGGAATAGGACACGGAATTGAATTTAAGCACGAGTCAGTTTCATTTGTGTGTGCGAAATGACAATATCTTTTGTGAAATTATAATTTTTAATATGAATATGGATCGCATACCGGTATTTGTAAGCCCGACGGACGCTGGCTCATTGTCATAATGCATTTTGGCAATGCGCTTACTTTCTAGATTTTCTAATCTACATTTTTATTGCTTGATTGCTCTACGTTATAGACGACGTTTCCCTTGCATTGTGTTTAGAATTGTGACGGTAAATAAGTCCTAGAAGAGAAATGTTTACTTATTGATGTGCGTACTTTGCAGGTTGATGAAGGCCCTGATGCCGGAGGGGGATGAGGACAGCACGACCAAGTATCGGCGTGCAGCGTTGATTGGAGAAACAGGTCAGTCGTTGGAACTCTGTCAGCAGACGTACAACGGATGTGGATTCTCCTCCAGCCAAATCATCAGTTTGGGGAGTGAGGCGGAAGCCACGGCGTCGGACTGGGCGGACGCGGGCGCAATGGCGGCACGGTCAGACTACGTGACGATGCCTCGAGTCAGGAGAAACCTCCGCTCATTCTATTTATAGTTTTATTCAAGTCTAAACTAGTTTTCGTATTTATGCTTTATTGATAATATTATATTTTTTTACGGAGTAGTTAATTTAGTCATAAAGATATGTATACAAGGCCATAAACTAAAACGGGAACAATGCGAGCTTGTGTGGTAGTTTTACAGATAAATAAGATGTGAAATACTTTTAGCCCATGCCATTAATTTACTTCTTTAATAACAATCTTCCGAATTTATTCCAGTACACATTATCCGATATGTTGTATTATTTTGCTATAGAGTTGCATATATGTAGAAACATTAAGAAGTATATCGCCTCGTTGGTTGATTTGTGACTTCGTTTCACGTCACACAAATTAAATGTGATCTTTACCATGTTCACTACTGAAAAATTGTTAAGAAATAAATTATTTGTATAGTTTATGTACATCATATTCTTTTAAACCTGACATTCATTCCAATCAATAATGTTTAGTGGCATATGATACATCAGAAAACCTAGAAATAATTTCACATGATTTATCAAAGTTTACATTTTGTACATAAAGTTTTATGCTCATCCAAAATTTGCACGGTTTACTTTTACCCACATTTAAACAATATACTTAATAGCAGAGCAAATACGTCCATGTGTCACTTGCCAGCACAATTTAGCAAATTTCGTTTTGCCTGTCAAATCCCTCAATCTAGGCTGGCTGTTGTTAACAAGTCCGTCGAAGTGGTAAATATAGCACCTTACGTATGCACCAAGATAAATAATTGCTGAAACCGAGAGCAATAGTCAACTGGATCAAACTCTATTCAAAATTTGGCCATATAAATGGAGAGACATTTTACTCAGAAATCATTCCACTCTCAGCTTCTCATTCATCCATCACACAGCAAAATATACATTTTTCGGGAACCTTGCAATGATTTCTGGTAAGAATTGATCTGAATCTTTCAATCTTGCAACAATAACTTGATAATTCTCATCCCGAAATTCAGGATACAACAAGATGTTGATGGCCATCCTTTTGGCATCAATCTACCCTGGCTCCCTTGGCGATGCTCCCGTCCACTCCTCCCCCTCCGTCGGCAGTGCTGGTTATCCAAGCTATTACAGCGTCGAGACTGACACCTCGCATCATGGATATGCACCCTCTCAAGGCTACGAATCCCCACCATCTCCGCCATCCGTAGCGTATGGAACTCCTAAATCGCCCGTGGTGTATGGGCCCCCTGGGCCTTACGATGCCAGTCAGCATGACCAAGCCTACAGTCTCAAGGAGGAATCACCATTCATCCAACAACGCTTATTCAATACCGCTGTGGCCCTAACAGTTCCTCTCTTTTCGTTCCAACTTCCTCGAAGAGCTCCCACTCACGGGGGCGTGGACTTGGCCAACCAAGTAATTCAACGACTTCTTCTGCCTCTAATTTATTTGGTGGGGTCAATTTTACCATGTAATTTTTATTCTTAAGGCCATATTCGGTGTATTTGTTTTGTTCGTGGTCGCGCTCGTCTTTGCCGTCCCCATCTTGTTCACCGAACCAACTGGTGATCTCCACACAGGACGCAGCAGTGATCGTGATGGAATTCTTAACCATTTGATGGCAAACAATAAAGTGTTTAATTTCATGGGAGCAGATTTAAGCAACAAAATCGGACTCGATACTACGAAATGTTTACAAAAGAGCATTTGTGAAGCTCATCGTACTCCAAAAAAATATGGAATGATTGCTACACCCTTCCAAATGTTCTTTCCGTAAGGTTTTTAAGACTATGAAAAGCTAAATTAAGATTATAAACTTTTTGAAATTGTGCATGTAGACCACCAGTGAATGGAACCGATGCCACTTCGACCATCTTCCAACTCGCTGCTAAAGATGGAAAATTCACAAAGAAAGACTGTGGGAAAAAGTATCAATGTTTCTTTGACACTTTGGACTTGGCAGCGTATGCAGTCGATTGGTGGAAACATGCTGGTGATCCAAACTACGTCCTACAACTATAATACATCAGCGACATTAACGTTGCAAGAACAATTGAACAAAAAAGAGAAAGACCATTTAGGCGGTGTAACCTTTAGGGAAAATATTTATTCTGACCACAATTCCAATTTATTTAAATGTTATTTATTTGAGAGGCAAATAAACCGTGTGTATCCAGAAAAAAAGATTCCTTTACAACAAATGAGCAGTAGGCCAAACCAATTTGCACCTCATTCATAAGACTCGCGGAAGACATAAAATTATTAATAAAGTAATGAATATGCAACCAATCACGCAAGTCCGTTTACATGCATATTAACAAAAAGTTTTTGTTGTTTGTCTACCCTCAACGCGACACACAGTTTGCAGGAACTTGTTAAAATAAAAGTATTTACCTGTTGGAAATTTGGATCTCTCTTTTTTTCGGAAACTAGGTTAAACCATGAAAGGTAAAGTAAATCTAACATTAAATACTTGCAGAAATGTCCTAAAATATGTTTTAAATAGGTTGGTTTTATTTGACATTGGAGCTTGTCATCCTTTCCCTTTCCAAATTAAAATGTGCGGAATCCGAGAAATTTTCCATGCCCGATTATCCAAGCGGTGACATGTTGGGTGACCCATTTTCCAATGGCTTTGATGAAAATGATGAGAGCAGAACTTTTGATAGTTTTGGCTCGGCTGGGGATTCATTCGTCAAAAAACGTCTATACAACACATCAATTGCTTTGACTGCAAGCATGTTCACTTACTATTTGCCATCTCAGACAGAGGCTGGAACGATAACAGATTTAGTAAATCAAGCGGTAAGTCAACATTGTCAATTGTTTTTATTTTATATACAAAAGTATACATTACTATTTGTAAATATTTAGGTTTATGGGCTCTTTGGGACTTTGGCAGTGAGTCTCATTTTTGCAGTACCAGTACTTTTGACTGGAGTCATGTACAAGCCTGACACATCTTCTCGCAGTATTAATGGTGCTGAGGGGACAGAAAGCAGTTGGGCTACGAGTCCCATTATGAAAATTGAAAATGTGCGACAAATATTTAACGAAGAATTTAGAGATGCAATTGGTCTGGATTATGAGAAATGTCTCAAAAAAACTATTTGCGAAGCGCATCGTTCCCCAAAAAATAAGAAATATGGATTGCTTGCTCTTCCCTTCCAAATGTTTTATCCGTAATATTGAGATTATTATAAGAAATTATTTATTAGCAATTAAAGCTTAAAAACGTTTATTGATTTCTATTACTTTCAGACCAAATAAGAAAGGTAGTTCCACATCACGAGCGACTTCGTATCAACTGGCTGCTGCTGAGGGTGCTTATTCCAAATCAGATTGTTCTAAACGTTATCAGTGTTTTTTTGACACTTTGGATCTTGCAACATTTCTCATTGACTGGTACAGGCTCAACAATGATCCCGAATACACACCAAAAGAAACTGACTTTGACTGATTTTGCATTTAAAATATATTTTCCTATTTACCATTTGTACTCTTGTAAAATAAAATATAAATTGATACCAAAATTTAAATTGCTTAGTATACACACATTAGTAACGATTCCGAATTTAGATCACAAACTAAATGGTTTCATGTTTAATTCATTAAACTAAGAAACCAATGAAATGAGATGACCAGAATACAAAAAAAACTCTATGAAAACTGCACAGAAAATGCATTCCCCAACATGCTTACAAATATAATTACAAATGTTTAATTGATAATATTTTGGGCTTATCAGAATGATGGCCATACTAAGAAATACGAACAAATGTTAAGCATCCTATCGTGTATGTAATTATTACGACTTCAAATTATTCTGTTTTTATAAGCTGTTAAATAACCCATGAATAATTTAGAACAACGGTTCTTATTCTTGACCGAGAAACTTCTTCACACCAAACTAGTTCACATTAACTCTGCAAATTTTCAGACATTTTCGCATAAGAGACAAGTCCCAGAGTAAAACCGAAGACGATATTTTAATAAACTTAACATGAAATCAGGTAAGTAATTAATCTAAAAATTTCTTAAACCCTAAATTATTATATAATTGTTTAATATTTATTAGCAAAGTTATCATGGATCACGATAGTTTGCATATCATTTGTCATTCAAAAAGAAACAGTCCTAGTTCACTCGACCTCTTTAACTGACGGCTTGACCTCCATGTTGAGCTCTTCTTTTGTGTCATCCTTATCCAGAAGATTAAAATCGGATGCTGAAGAATCAAGAAAGTCGTCACTGACAAAGGATGAGGATGGTGAAAACTTTGGCTCATTTCGACAATTGAGTCTCGCTAGCACTCAGTCCTTCATTCAACGGCGATTGTTCAACACTTCCGTCGCCCTCACGGTCCCCTTGTTCTCATTCACACTCCCTCAAAGGGCTTCACAAGGGTCCACCGTCGACTTGGCCAATCAAGCAATTTTTGGTCTTTTCGCTTTGCTTGTAACAATGCTTGTTTTCACGGTACCCGTCCTATTCACTGGGGTCAGACCGACAGTCGTCAATGGACGAAATGCTGAAGGTGGAACTCAAGGAATTTTGAATCATTTGATGTCATCAACTCCAATTTTCAACTTGATGGGTGCAGATCTTCAGCATAAAATTGGTCTCGATAGCACTAAATGCTTACAAAAAACGATTTGCGAAGCTCATCGTTCACCAAGAAATAAGCATTATGGTCTTTTGGCTTTACCATTCCAAATTTTCTTTCCGTGAGTTCATTTGAATTTCTTATGGCAAATGTGTCCAATTAAACTGCAATAATAATTATTTCAATTTGCAGACCACCAGCGAAAACGGTATCTGAATCAAGGTCTTCAGCATTTCAATTAGCTGCAAAAGATGGGAAATACTCTACAGTTGATTGTGCAGAAAAATTCAGGTAATTTTGAAAAATCAAAGCACACATTAAAATTGTAATTAATTCAATTAATTGCTATGTTAGGTGCTTTTTTGATTTATTGGATCTCGCCATATATTTAGTGGATTGGTACAAGTATAATTCTGACGTGGATGGAAATAATACCGAATAAATAAATATCGCACTTACAAATTCAAATAAAAAGATAGAATAATAAGTATTTATTTTTATCCTGCGGAAGTACTTATGATGAGGTGCGTGCTTTTATTTTTTGGGCTCATAAATTATCGACAGTTCATATATCATATTATCTTGAGCGTTGTTTTCTGAAATTTAAAGCTAGAAATAAGGAAGAGCATTATTAATGCCACACGAGTAGAGGTTTAACAAATCAGGTCAATTTTAGGCAAAAATGATCTCATTAGCAATTAAATTACTAAACAAACCCAGCAAACTCACAGACATATTTGCAAATTGGTTCATTCACTAATAATCATCATCAACATATCATCATTAGTGGACGATTTAAGAAACACAAACTTTAAAATGTTGAAATTTCTAAACATTTTTGCTATCTCACTAATTTGTACTGCGATAGTAAATTCACAATTGGTCGACCAACAATTTTCAGAATTTGGAGATTTTAACATTGACGATCATTCAATTGAAAAGAGAAATATTTTTGAAACATTTCGGGATTTCACGTCCGGTTCCTCAGATAGTTCCTCAGACCCAAGCAAATTACTTGTTAATCGACGAATCTATAATTCCTCAATTGCCCTCACAATCCCGTTCTTTTCCTTCAAAGTTCCCAATCTACCAGATGCAGGATTCATTGCTAAACAGGTAATTGGAAATGTGTAGTATGTAACTTTATCAAAAAAATTATTACGAAATACTATGTATAATTTTAGTCAATTTTTGGGGCATTTGCCTGGGGAATTGTCGCGCTACCTTTTTTCTTATCATTCATCTTCACCGGATCCGTACCAAGTGATGCACAAAGTCGAAGTTTTCAAAGATTATCAGATAAGGCTAAAAAGTCTAGTTTCAACTTCTTGGGTCCAGATTTCTCCAAAAGTTTTGGCATGGATGGAGGGTAATTATTTCAGTAGCATCGTATTTATGTATATATTTCTCAAAGATATAGTTATGTAATTCACTTGCTCTACAGACAATGCATTCAAAAAGTTATTTGTCAATCGCATCGTGTGAAAGAGGGACGCAAATATGGAATTCTGGCTACCTCGTTAAGAACACTTTTTCCGTGAGTGCAAAGACTACTACTTTAACCGCATCTCCTATAATTCATATTTTTTGTTTTACCAGAATTCCTGAAAAGAACATGACCATTGGCTCTGACACGTCCCTCTTCCAGTCGGCCGCCCTTGCAGGGAAGTATGGCGGGGGGAAGGACTGCGACAACCTCTTTGACTGTATTTTGGACCCTCTCGGATCACTGCGCTACCTCATCCACTGGTACAGCCACAAGAACCAAAATGCTCAATTCCTTCTGAAAATGATCGACTATGACGCCCCAAAGACAGCCAATAGTACCATCACCACTGTCAGAAATGAGACATTATAGCGTCAAATATTTCTGCACAAAAAACATGCTTAAATTATAAATATATATTATTGAGGCGAAAATTTCGGAAATGGAGTCTGAATAAAAATTGCTAGTTGTTTTGCAAGTGAGATTTCGAATTGTGCCCCAGTTTCAATTGTGATTTCCTATACTGCATACTGCGTGCTGCGATTGATATGCTGTCCGAATCTCTCTCTCTCTCTCTTTCCCCCTTGGTAGCTGATCATCCAACCCTTCCACTTGCCATCGCAGCAGACGATTTGCTATTGTTGTTGTTGTTTTGTATGCTGTAAGAAGAGCCAAGTGAGAGGAGAACACAGCAAATAATAAACCTACATAATAAATAATACTATCGTTTTTCTTTGTAAATCGTTAAAAACCAAACCCAACTGAACGTATTGAAACCCAAAACTTGGCTGGATGTGCAAAGTATTGGTAGAGGAATTTCCTTTCCTGGGATCGTTAGTAAAATAGTAACGATTCGTTTAGATGGAAGAAAGCTGTTCTTTATCATTGTTCATTGTTAGTTACATTACTCTTTTATCTTGTTTTGAATTTTCTGACACTTGTACTAATTTTGTGCAATCTGATTTATATGACAATCTGACAGGACAGATGCCATGGGCAGGTTGAATGTGAAAAGGGTCGTCGGAGGGCCTACTAACCCTTTGTCGTGAGAGGAATGACCTCGTTCGTGTATAATGAAAAGTAAAAACAACTCATTCTATCCCAAACGGAAATCAAGCCCCCCAAAATTGGATAAACGTTTTAAGGCTCCCTTCCTTCATTTCAATCCCCCAATTATCAACGATATTCATCCAAGTACCAGTTATCAGCCCCACCACCAGGTCAACAACGGCCTCAGCGACTCCTCCCTCCTCCTCAGTCTGCCATGTTATGTGGGTTTGGACATGATGGAAAAATTGCAGGTTGAATACCAACAACAGCGACATCATCAGCAAGAGCATCAACCTTATCAATCTCAAGAAGGTCCTAGTTCCAATGGAAATGATAAGTCAGAATGTCCTCGATGTTTGAAACGTATGGAAGTTCCAAGAAATATGAAACGACATGTGGAAAGTCATGATGGGAACGGTAGGCTGCATCCGTGTTCAATGTGTGACAAGTCCTTCAAACAAACTAGCCACGCCAAAGCCCACTTATCTGTTCATGGAGATGGAGTGTCCGGAAGTGCTGGAGACATGATGGCGTGTCCAGTGTGTTTCACAGAGTTCAAGCATGGACGCAACTTCAAAAGGCATATGTTAATCCATGAGGTATGTATGTTAATGTATAATATGTATAATATGTTTGTATAATATGTATAATATGTATAATGTTAATCCATGAGGGTGTGAAAAATTTCTCTTGTGACCTTTGCGGGAGGAGATTTAGACAAGCGATCCATTTAAAGACACATCTTACGAGTAAGACAGCTTAATTACTATACAAATATAGTAAAAGCTTTTACGAAAGCTAAATTTCCGTCTTATTGTTTAGGTCATGATGGTTTAAAACCGCACACGTGCCACTGTGGTAAATCCTTCTCGAGGGTCGACAACTTAAGAAGACATCAATTGCTACATGCAGGGCTCAAACCATTTGCTTGTGGGTGTGGAAAGTCGTATACTCAATCTCATCATTTAAAAAGTCACGTCGCTAAATGTAATTTGTAACTTTAGGCTTACTTTTGAACAAAATAAATACGTATGTTTTTTATAATAATAACTTAACTACATGTTTTGTATGAATTTTTATTTATTATTATATCTGGATATTCGTGTGAACAATGCTCACACAACGTAAAAAACTTTTTATAATAGGAGGGACACATAAATATAATACATATCCATGCTTATGTTTAGCTAGTGTTAAGTTAGTCGACCAAATTCTCAACATATCCTGTTCCAGTGAGTGGATTGCAGAGGAAAATATTGACCAATGGAGCATCCTTTTGAGAAACGGCTTTGACAACTTCTTGAGCCAATACTCCCCCGGTGATAGCAGAAGAGGGACCAAGTTCGCCAAACACGGTTCTAACAAGCAATTAACCAGAGCACATTTACAACACGCAATATAATAATGAATGAATGATGCATATAAAAAAGTATTTGCAGGTACTCGAAAAAGTCGTCAGGAATTCGATCCTTTGCAATTCCATTCTTTTCAATGAATTCGTCTCGCAATTTGAGTAATTCAGCCAAATCTTCATCTCTTGAGCTAGGCAATGGTTTCCGTTTCTTTTGCTCAAAAAATTCCAAAAGAACTATTATAGACAAGAATTTTATGAAAAAATTATGAAATTCAACATTCACTGATTGGGGATAGGTTGGTAAAGTAAAATAGTGTTTAGTATTTATTATCATCATTACCAAAGAGTCCGAATAATCCTGGCCTGGTTTTCTTGGCTCGAGCAGCAAACTCTTCAAGATTCCAGTCAATACTTATGGCATCCAAAAAACTTATGTAGCGACTGAGACCATCAATCACGTTTACATCACCTTTCTTCGCCGCCATATTAACCACTTCCCTAATTATGCAAAAATAGTTAAAATTACTAAATTCTAAAATATGTTTGAATTAATTTACGTCTTGTAACGATGCTCTCCCAAATCAAGGAATATGAATCCAAAGAATCCAAAAACATCTGATATCAGGAACTTGATATCATTCTCTCGAGTAACTTTATTCAGCCGCATGATTTGCGTTTTTGTGCAATTTGTGGCGATAATGATGCTGAATGATGTGAAAAACGAGTCAGGTTTGTCGTCAATTGACGCACCGTCTGCCGTGACTTCGACCATTGGATTAAGCTGTTGAGCTCTTCCCTTGGACGCCTCAGCCCTCTAAAAAACATAAGTAGAATTATATTTTAAACATTGATTTTGCTCTCCTATTTGTAATAATTCGCCTTCATACATTTTGTCCAATGGACTCCCTTGGTGCTAGGAATTGGCACACATTGTCAAGTTCAGAAACATCATCAGCATCCAATAGCGTCACGCTTTTTACTCCTCCGAGAATAATGTTTTTCGCCACTTCAGCTCCCACTCCACCCATTCCAATTATCAAAATCTTTGACGAGTTAATTCTGGAAACGAAACAAATTTCAAATTTGTTGTACTAAATAATTCTTATTATTTTATGCTACCTTTTTTGAGCATCCACACCCCAGAGACGGATTTGCCGGTCATACAGCGCCGCCTCATCGTCAGTAAATGTCTTGTTGTCGTTCTTAACGTCACCATTTTCGCTCACCATTTTGTTCTTGAAAATTACTGAAAATTGCCCGGACAGATTGAAATTATTTTATGCAAGATAATTTTTAATGACTGTTTAAAACAAGTTTAACTCACATGAATTCTCCTCCTGCTTAATTAATTTCGTTGTTACTTATATAATTCGTAGAAAAGAAAAATAATTAAAAATCAATGAATGAAAAATGTGCCGGACTGCAAACGAGAAACGTGAAATTGAATATTGAATATTGTTCGCTCGCTCCACTCACGATTTCTCTCAATCCCCACAAAAAGTTTGAATGTCTTCCTTGGCCACTCTCATGCCCAGGTTTCAAATTACCACAAATAACTTTGTTATCACTAAATAATTAGAAAATTTAAATGCATAACTTCAAAGCCAGTGTCAAACAGCACCTAAAAAATAACTAATTTGGACTCTAGCTTTAACAATAGTGTGGACTTTTTTTATGGGGAAACTCGGCCCCGTTTGTCTCCACACTTTTCTGACATCGGTAGGCGGAGAGTTGGATTGAATGGGTATCGCTTCTCGGCCTTTTGGCTAAGATCAAAGTGTAGTATCTGTTCTTATCAGCTTAATATCTGATACGAAGGTCATTGACCTTCCAGTATATTAAACTGATTTTTGGAACTGGGATGGGGTCGTGAAGCTTGCTTCCGCCCGTCCACGGGTCGGCCTGGCATTGCAGTACAGTCAGGATCGGCCCACCTTAAAACAATCTAAAGAAAAACTTCTCTAATCTAAATCATTGCAGTGAAATCGTCACTTCATAATTTCACTTGTTCATGTCCATTCTCAAAGACATCGAAAATCTCCACGTAAATTAAAATAAAAATATGATGAACACATCCAAGTTCATTGAATTAGTCTGGCAAATTGTATGCAAAACTTTATTTCTGCTCATAACTCGATGTTAAATTACGTATTCTCCACAAATTGAAACTTTCACACTCATCCACCATTCTCCGTGTACCATCGAATGAGCACATATTTATATCGCACCACACTAATTAATTCCTACAAAATAGTATGATCATATCGCTAACTTCTTGTAATTTCAAACTATTAATACGTAGAATATATACGTATTTGGAACTTTATTCTGGTAGCTGTACGGCACGCTTTACGCCGAATTGGACATGCTGAACTGCAACAAAACGACCAAGTACGTTGAAATGACGCTGAGAATCTGAAAAGTTAGAGAACGAAGAGATTATGTAGATATTAAAAGATTCAATTTAGAAATCGACATACGGAAGTCACCGTCCCCCGATTGACTTGAAAGTATCCGAGGGCTGAGATGGCGAAGGGGTGTGCCAAGGCCAACCTCTGCATCGTTCTCCGCCTCCCTCCAGACAGCCCTTTCCTCTTCCTCCTCAAAATGCAGCAGTGGAACAGAATTTTTGTGGCTAAGAGACTCACTTTTCCTTCCTGAATGGACACATAAACGTTACTCAATTTTACAAATATAAATTGCAAAAGCCCCATTTGAAATACCTCAGTTTCCAAATAATGCACAGCATTCGTCAGAGTAATCAACTTTGCACAGGCAATTATCGTCCGCGCCGTGAAACCAAGGGGGACCGGCTTCAGAAACCCTTGATCACTTGCGGCAGTTATCGCAAAGAAAGAGTCGAAAATTAGAATAGTTGTCAACATAAAGAAAGCGACCAGGGATAAAATTCCAATGTAGAACTCCACATTTTGTAAATGTTTTAAAAATTCAGTATGCATATGAAGAAGCTGATTTTCAAAACTTTTTGAGCTGTCTTCAACTTTACTGTGCAATAAAGTAGGAGTAAATGTGTATTCACTGAAATATGGTCCGAAAGGAGATATTACGCCTGTCAAATCGTGTTTAATATTTAACATTTTAATATGTTCTTGTTCTTCGACTTGTTTCAGTTCTTGGAGAATTTCGTCCAATTTTGAATTGATAAAAATTAATCCTCCTTCAAAGTATTTAATTACGCCAATGAACACAAAACAAAGTGTGTCTAAGACTATCAAGTTTGTTAGGAAAATATCCAATACGGCAAAAACAGAATCATCATGTCCACGAGTTTTCGCGTGGGTGTTGTCACTCATAGATGAAGGAAACCAGTAAACTATGAGTATCGCAAGGCGTTGGATAAAATCTACGGCGTAAACGACCAAAAAGCACGTCTCATTTCGAGAAAAACTCTCAATCCCTGTGGCCACAATGTGAGACCAAGATTCTGTACAATGTATGAAATATTTTACGGCACGAGTCAATTTGTGTGCAAAAAAATTGCGAATAACCACCGCTCTAAATACCAGGAGACAAATATGTACAAATACTTGATAGGCGGCTAAGGCCACGTTAATCAGTAGGCCTACTTTATCCTTGGCAAACGCACCAGATTTCACACCTCTGTAAGCGAATGACGAAACCTCGTAAATTTGCTGGATTGAAAGTGCCGTCAACAAGATGGACCAAACTTGTGCACATTTTCGTGCAATTATTGAAGAAAATAGGGAGTCGGGGTATAATCCTAAAAATATTAGGAAACTTTTTAAAATCACACATTTTACAGCCATCTTAAACTAACAAACGATCTGCATAGTTTAGTTATTAGTTCGCAACAAAATAGGAGCTATTTAGAAGTATTACATGGGTGAAAGTCGTAAAGGTTGTGGGTGTTGACACACTTGAGTTCGATCCATACGACCCATTACTCGAATTATGCACTTATGCAAATCTATCAATGTATCTAACACTTTACTTTTCTAAAGAACATTTAAAAGGATTTGCTCGATAACCAAGAACGAGCCTCGTAAATGGGTCTCCAATGGTTCAAGGCATTCTAAATATCAAATACATAATTCAGTTATTTATTCAAGCTTTTTTACCCTCTGTTGTACAATGTGTACAAATTGCTTTTTAGAGTTTTTTTGTGTATACCAATAAATTGAATACTATTTTATTATATTTTTACCAGAAATATTGGATTTCATAATGTCGATCTCGTTATGTAAAGCGCACAAGTCACTCGCTCGATATGCTGCTTGCTTACTTGTACATACATACATATGCCTTAATAACTATTCATCCTCAGTGACACATCACACATTTCTATCAATTTAATATATAAAGTGTTTCCTTATTAAAGTTATCACATAATCTGCTAAATACAAAGACGTATTACGGCAGCATGTATTTTGCAACCGTAAAAGTGTATTTATTGTTATTTATTCATGCAGTGGTTTGGTTTGGTTTGGTTTTGTATATGTACGTAGTAATTTTCATCTCGAACAACACGATCTAGAATTGCCTTTAGACCCTGCTTCCCTAAGATTAACTTGGTTTCTATCTGGAGACAGTTGTGGGACACCTTGGTTGTGAATTTTGTTTAAAATCACTCTGGCCAAATATTGAAATGCTTCTTCCACATTAAAGTTGGCTTTGGCTGATGTTTCAAAGAAGAGCATGTCATTTTCTTGAGCAATCTACAAAACAAAATTGGCAAAATTCAATTTCAGTTTCATATGCAATGTCTGTCGTAAATACATAACTAATGTTAACTTACAGCTTTGGCTTCTTCTTGGGAAACTTGTCGGCTATTTTCCATTTCGCATTTATTCCCAATCAATATTTTCTCAACTCCTTCCGTGGCATGCTAAGGAGTTAGAATCGAATATCAAAACTGATTTATAAAACGTCCCAGATAACACTAACCTCTCGTATCTCCTGAAGCCAATTTGTCACATTTTCAAAGGTGCGTTTGCTTGTGATGTCATAAACCAACATGATTCCCATTGCTCCTCTGTAGTACGATTTCGTAATTGTGCGAAACCTTTCTTGACCTGAAAATACATAACTATGTGCAGTTGGTTTATGTTTTTATGTATATTTCTATTCTAGTTATGATTTTATCCAGTTACCAGCCGTGTCCCTTCAAAAAATAATTGCGTCAAAAGTTAATACAGCAAATTAAATTAAAACTAATAGTTTATAGCCTTTTACCATATTTGAAGCTTCACACGTCTGCCATCAAGTTCAATAGTTTTGATTTTGAAATCAATGCCTGAAATTGATATAATTTTTGAGGGAGGTTAATTACTCGTATTTTATAAAACTTATGACTGAATACCTGTTGTAGAAATATAGTTATTGGTAAATGCATCATCACTAAATCTGAAGAGTAGCGAAGACTTCCCAACTCCCGAGTCTCCCATAAGCAGTAATTTGAACAAATAATCAAAGCCTGATTTGTCCATCATATTGTTAAAGAATATTAAGTACGAAGACCAATAATTTCAACAATTGATCTAAAATACGGTATGAAATACACTTGTCTTAATTTAAAAAAATTCAGTAAATACGGGTTGCAGTCCCAAATTCGTGCAGGTACGAGCTATGGTATTACTCGCATTATGGGATCCTCGTCAGCAGAAGCACACATAGAATAAGTAAGTGCCCACAATTTAATATGATAAGCATTAAAAAATTGATACTTATTTACTCTAAAATAGGATGACACAGACATGTACATCGAGATTCGAGACCCAACATACGACGATATCATCACTCTGTACCATCTGTATCATTTATTATCACTGTATGTTCTGATTAAGTATCAACAATTTCTTCTTGGTTTGAACAACTATGCATTCATATATATAAATATTTACAGAATGTGTATATGCGTTGTTTGGAATAGAATGAGACAATCAAAATGAAAATAATCAACAAAAATATCTGAATGCAAATATTTTATTATTATTGGAAACCTTAAAACAATATGATGTACGCAATTTACTGACTACAGTCTCCACCCCATGGAGTCATGCAAGATTGGATAGAAAATCTGAACCATAGTTGTGACTGGCAATTGTGAACGCTGATGACATTCCCGTTCTCACACAAGTAGTATTTGTAACAATCTCCAGGATATGGCATAAAAATGGAAGGATTTTCGGGACAAGTGAGACCTCCGGATGGGGTTGTGGTCGTGGGTCGTGTCGTCGTGAGCACTGTAGTAGTCGTAGCAAGGGTTGTTGTAGGAGGCGTTGTTATTCCTGTCACCACGGTCCCTTCTGATTCTGGACTTTCTGGCGTGGTCTGTGGTCATATATCCAGAAATCATCAAATGCATCAATTTGATTCTTTAGATTTTGTAGCAAATTTCAGAGATAAAATGAAATATTGCTATACCGTCGGTGGAGTTGTAGTGGTTGAAGTCGTAGTTGTTGAAGTTGTCGTTGGTCCTACAGTTGTGGAGGTAGGTGGCCTAGTACCTGAGTTTCCAAATTAAGTTCATTATATGAATTTGGAGTTACCAATTTTGACTTGAATGACTGACCGTCAACACATTCAGGAACATTGGCAGGATAATCGCAAGCACTTTCTCTAACATTGAAATAGAGGCCAGAAGGACATTCTCTCAAATTAGGGGTACCGTTATCACACAAGTAATAAAACTGACAAAACACAGCGTGTGGAACCAATCCTGTGAATCCATCAGGACATTGTCCAGAATTGTCCTCCTCCTTAATCGCATTTTCCTGCAAATTTTTTACAATCGCAATTTATTTACAATCCTCAAATTGTGTTTATAAAATTTTCAAGCTTACAAATTTCCCAATTTTTGCGGAATGCACTCCAAAAATGCAAATAGCTAGAATGACATATCCTGAAGAAATCATTTTGACCTGGACGACCAATTTAGATGTGTGTATTCGAAGGAAGAAGTTCAACACGCCATAAAGTTTTATATAATAATTGCTAACTGATTGGTTAATATGTTATTTAAGTCTTGACTTGATTGAATAATCATGACAGATTTATCTGGATAAGCCAGAAATGTGCCTGCATTATCAGCATATTCAATCATTCTACCTACAGCAATTTAGAAGGCATTAATCCAATTTTCTACTGTTACCAGTATTAGATTCGCTCGTGTGCTTGTGGGCGTGTCAGAATCGTATGCAGTAATACAGTGACGTTTGTAAAAAAAATTAAAAGAGTTATGATAGGATTTAGTTTTGACACGTTAGATTCGACATAAATCATATTTCATATTCTAATTCCGGAGATGATATCATTGCAAAGCTATTGCATTTGTCGTCGTCACTTCAACGAATGTATTTTATGCATTTATCATGAAAATTAACCTCTGAATAAGTATAGGCAATTCACATGACAAAAGCTCAAAATGAATTGGATCTTGATACAAACGATGTGAAAAATCTAGATAAGTACAAAGCTATATAAATATATCAAAAAACATAATTGGATAATATGCTACATATATTTAGCAATTTATTCCACACTGTGCAGCAAATAACGGTTAGAAAACTCTCGTTAACAATGAAACAAATATTTTTCTTAAATTGTAACTTTTTTTCAGATTGTGTGTACTGACCGAAAAGACGTTTTTTTCTTATTATTATCATTTCAACTTGCGCTACTTATTTATTTGTGTTCCACGTTCCCAATGTGGTTTTCTTTATCACATCCATTAAAAATGATGCGTTTGACAAAAATTTAAATTGTTCTCGCATATTTTGACACATTGTCAGTCAAATATGGAGACATTGATTTTAATTGCGCCCACATCGTGTCACTTTGTTGGGGGACATTTTACTTTAAACCAGAACATTAGTCTACATCGGTTAAGCAGTATAAGGACCGTTACTTGTAAATAGTGCTATTCGCATCAGCGTTGCGTAACGTAGCGGAGAAACAGTTGCGTATTCAAGTTTAATTCATCCACCCATGATTTCCTACACGGGAGAGAACACCACTTTTTGCATTCGCAGACTATTCCACAAATTTCTACGTTTTTGCGAATGGTTAATGAAATTGTGTTTTTGAAGAACCCTAACCTATTTAAGGTTTGGGCAATAAGTAACTGAACTGTTTTAATTTTGGGTTGATTTTGAAACAGGAGGTCTCAAAAAGCCAACCAAGTTTTTGAAATATGTATCAATATATGGGGTTTGGTCATTCAACAATCCTAGGACCAATTTTCCGCACAAGCGAGATATACCTCAAATTTTCCCCAACTTTGCTGTCACACATTTAATGACCAAAAATATGCGTAATCCATGGATGTTATTAGTCGTGGGTGCGCTCTTATATTTTAGGTATAAGATAATTTTAAGGCATAAGATATTGATTATTTTGGGGGTCGATGGGGTCTCAGGGCGAAAATTAAATAATTTTCTCCAAAGGTTGGTCCTTTATAATTTGCATTCATATGAATGAGTAAATTGATGTTTTAAACTTTCCCCTGCGGTCTTAGGGTTGTTGAAGGACCAAAATCCCCATATAATTTATAATTCTGGAGTGTACCGTAAACACATTTCAAAAACTTATTTCGCTTTGAGACCCCCCTTTCAAAATAAACCCTAAATTCAAACAGTCCAATTACTTGATGGTCGAACCTTACATATTTCATATATTTCATATATGTGCTTGCTTTAAAATAGATCATCTTGATGTGTTTATTTTTATTGTGAGAACAAGCGAGATATTATTTTATTAGTGCAGGATGAACTTTAATGCTTGAGATATACGTACAATATATTTATCAAGGTTACTATTAAATACGTATTACGTGGGGAGTAATACTGAATGATTGACTTGAAGTTTGCACTTTACTTATTGACTGACTGGCAGGTGTACCTTGAAAATAATTGATTCGTGCATTACGATTATACAAGAAGTACTTTTTCTGATTATTAAATCCATGTAGTTCCTACACTAATTACTGATAATACCAAACAAATTATTGTTCCTTGGTTCGAACTAACTTAGATATTTCATGTGAATTTCAAGATGCATTAACGCTGGGGTGAGATAAAAGCATATAATGAGTCATTTCCTCCTGATGGAGTAATTTAGTCCGGATTAAGTAAAATGACGCATTAACAATTTGAACGACAGGTGAACCTGTAAAAAATACCGGAACCGGATAAATGAACCCCAGCCAGACAATCCGTTATCACTTTATCCATCCTTTCCCACCCCTCTTTTCCAGATTCTGTTCATTAGTATGCATGTATTTACTATTGTACACATGTGGGAACAACTTTCACACAATACCAGCACTAACTACGACATAAGCATCTGTCACAACCACATTTTACTCATTCACAAACAAATACCATAAACACCATCGTTCTTAATAAAACCGCATAAGTGAGATGATGATTCATCATTTTGTCAATAACGATTTCATACAAACTGTACATACAACAGATTAAAAAGGTCAATTTTGTAATAGTTCTATCGCTACCATCTTTTTTGATTAAATTAGTATTATTATGTATGAACGACTCATGACGCCAAGTGCTTGCCTCACTGCTTGAGGATTTAATTTCACGGGAATTGACCATAACAAGAACAAAAACAAATTGATATCGGTGTCAACCAAAGAGAAATGTTGTTGACATTATTCTGTTAATTCATTCTGCGTATGTAATAATAAAATTATGTTCATCGAAGATGTTGCTTGACACGAAACTTGTCGACAAACTAACTACATGAAAAATGAATATGTACCACGATACATATTCGGATTTCCCTAAAACCCATTGTAATAAATACATGTCATACTACTAAATACCCCGCAGGGTCTTATTCCCTTTCCCGTCGTCATCATCGTTGTCGGCCCTACAGCGTTTTTTTGTCTTTATAGCCTCAGCAGGAATGGTTTGCTTGTACGTATGCATACATTTCGCTCGTGCCTAACTTATGACGAAGAGACTGACAAAAAGTGAGAAGCATAATATTGTTAAAAGCCGTGAGCCAGCTCTTTAGCAGTCGAGAAACTGAGACCCATCATGCAACGATGCTGAGGTACTCGCGTCGCTCGTTCGTGAGATATGTAGTTGGTCATCACATCGTCAAGACCGTATTATAAAGTTGCTTATTAGTATTATTATTGTTGTGGTGGAGGAGGATTGGCAAAATTTCTAAACGAATCTCACCACTATAAACCAAGTAACCAGCAGCCGAGATAGTCGCAGTAGTAGCAGTGCTCATTTAACTCACTCATATTATTCACTGATTCAATTGTTGCAGCCAGTTTTATTCACTGTTGTTTTTACCCTTGAAGCAGAAGAATTGAAACGAAGGTGTGTATCATGGGAATAAAATCAAAATCTAGTTCACCTGCTGCGTCTTAAGCGGACGCTTGCTACTACTCACTCTTCTGAATTTAATTCCGTGGAGCTTATCTCATGTGAAATTACGTATGGATATTCGTGTCCATTTTTAATAGAGCACATTTGATCCCCTCGTCGTAGCGTAACAAAAGTAAAAGAAGATTGAAATTAAGCATAGCGAAATATTTGCATTTGTTGTAATACTGTGAGACGATTAAGGTTTCAGTTTCGTTCGTTATAAAATTGAATTAAATTGAGTCGTGCATGTGCTGACTATAAATAATCGCTGTGGGGTTGAAAATGCCGTGGAGAGCATCTCTGAGAGATTTGCGAGTGCAAGTTATCCAAGAATCGAGGAGGTTCACGCTGAGATCTGGAAACGTGTTGAGTTCGCAATGGAACAAAGTGAGAAGATTTGTACGAAGCAAATCGTCCTCTACACAAACCACCAGCAACTCTCATCAGCAAGGAATTATTAGTGGGGATCAATCAAAAGGGTATGATTATAATCATGATTATTCGAGATCAGGTCAATTTCCTCGTGATTCTGTGATTGCACCCACAGCCAAGAATGATAAAAATGCTCCTTTGTTATTGTGAGATTATTGCGAAATACGATGATCAAGATGAAGAAATTAAATATTTTGAGCAACGTCTTATTAGCGAATTATAAGTATCTGATAATTTCATCTCTCACTATGATGCCAACTTTCAGCATGTAAACATGGCCTTCGAAAAATTAACATAGTTTGGTTATTTTATTACATGAGCATAAATATTTAATCAGGATCAATTTCAATCAATCGTACCGTGTTCTAATTCCCAAACCAAAATATGTATGTATCTGTCTGTTTATAATTTATTTTGCAAACATTTTTTTGTCGTTAACCCTCTTCAAAATTACCTGGCAAATGCATGTTAATTGCTAATAACTTGAGTTTATGCTCTATAAACAAAAATGATCGTGCATGACTTGACTGAATGGTAGATACACTTTGTTCCGTCCAATGTGATTATTTTTGAACATTTTCATTCCGTTCAGCAGCTTGGAATTAAATACAGTTGTGGTTACTGGTACAGAATAACTAAAGTCGTGATCGTGCGTCTTAGGAAATTTTGTGCGTCTCTTTCTTCAACTCGATTTTTCCTCTTCTGTTGCCTGGTATATAATGGTGGATGTGGTGAAAATGTCAAAATTTCTTAAAAGGAATAACTCCGAGGAGGAGGCTGTCAGGGTTGGGTAAAAAAAATCAAACATCTTTTTCACGCTGCGAGATAAAATTTCACATATCTCCAAATTAAATAGTCGCTCATGCTTATTTTCTTATTAGGTGTGTGTCCATTAATTGAGCTTCTTCATACATACATAAATGTGTAGTGAAACTAATCCGTTTACATGCACCTACATATATGTATGTAGCATCTACATGCTTTATATGTAAGGGAGACTTGCACTGCATCACAAAAGCCGTCAAGTTGATTGTGGTTAATGTTTAATGTCCCAGAAACCTGAATACCATTCATCCATGCTTGCACTACTATTGAATAAGTTGATGGACTGCATAGCACAACATCATCTCTTTTTTCGCCGAGTGAAGACATTAACATTTCATTCCTTCAACCTTCTCTTTTCCTTTCATTATTGCAGAGCCTTTTCGAAATCCTGTGGATAGGGATGCAAATCTCTCTAATCTTCCACCACAGCTCATCTTTCTACTGTTCATGTGACCATAAATCTCGTATTATTATGATCCGAATGCACAATAAGTAATCTAGTGATTGAGACTGGTATCATCGTGATTAATGATGTCGTGAGTTTTAAATTTAATTAAATCTGCAAAATTAAGTTCTACTCCGTTGTGCATACATGTTAAACGAATTGTAAATTTTTATATGTAGGGCGGATGATACATAAGCAATTAATTTTGTTGAAAAGGTTTTGCATAATATGTACATTAGAAGATCTGAGTATCTATGTGAAGCACATCAAAGGTCATTCTTCATTTAAACGCGTAAAAAATTCTTAGCCTCACTATTAACACTACTTAATTGCTAATTTAGTTTCATGTGAGTGATGTTTTATGACTTCAAATATTAGACATGAGATATAATTTTACTTTTAGAGCTTCCTGTCACCCATCCGATTCTGCTTGTTTTATGCAAACTAGAGTAAAATGTGTGTATTAAGATTCAGCACTTGTCATTTGTCATACAATAGATATTACTCGTAAGAGGTGACATTCACTTTTCTTTCAACTTAACGCATTCTATTGTTGTGTATACATATTGTCGCATGCGTGGAGACAATATGGATCACTGACATTCAAATGACGACAAAAAACTTTCTCAGTAGATCACGTCCGTCCGATTTATTTTAAGTGAAGCACAAACTGTATACATACGTAACTGCATACATAAATATGTGTATTGCAACAACGCCCATGTACTTTTCCTTATCTGTCTAACCTTGGATAACACATTAGTATTATAATAGTTCAAACATCGTTATGAATTTAAACTAAGATTCACGCTTTACGACGAGTATAAGTTCTTTTGGCGATCTTTATATTAGCACCTTATGATTATGGTTATTATTTTTATGACCTTATTTTGCCAAAAAAAACAAGGCGATCGTGATATACTTTGTTGCACGACCAACATTTGTCACAATCATATCGAGTTATGTATGACGAGACCATGAGAAAAGTATCTTTATGCACACAGATCCAGAGATTTATTTGCTGTAATTACATACACTCTGACTGACACTATCATTACCCATTTCACTTATGATTTGTCATCAGCATAGTGTGAAATCCGTGAAATGACACTCATTCAGTTTTTGCTCATTTATTTTTACAACCCGAAATTGAAGCTAAATAATTAGTGTTACATTTCAATTTGAGAGGAAAAGGTTTCATCTAAGCGTCCAAGTAGCACCATGTGAGAAAATTAAATTTGTAGCAATGGGCGTTGTCATTAAGTTTTATTTATACAAGTGATTGATAATTTGTCGTACATGTCATATTATAATCTGAATGCGTCTTTTCTTCTAATTCTAGGTCACAGCCAATTTCTCCACCACAACTTTACAAAATAATCATGGTTGGATCGGGCGGGGTTGGAAAAAGTGCTCTAACACTTGTACGACCGTACTTTACTTTTAATTTTTATTGACCGAGGAATTAAATACGATAAATTATTATGTACTCTCGCAGCAATTCATGTATGACGAGTTTGTAGCAGACTATGAGCCCACCAAAGCCGATTCCTATCGAAAAAAGGTATGTTCAAGGAGTATGCAAGACATTACATATTTCTCGATTGAATAATAAATAATCCATTGTTCACGCCAACAATGATTTATGTCGATGACTGGCATCTATTCTGTGATGGTGCACTAAAAATGTCAATTGAATGTCTGATCTAATGATTGGTATCATTGTCCTCTGATTGAAATTGAAAGGTAATTTTGGACGGTGAAGAGATTCAAGTTGACATTCTCGACACCGCAGGACAAGAAGATTACGCAGCCATCAGAGACAACTATTTTAGATCTGGGGAAGGATTCCTTTGCGTGTACAGCATTACAGAAGAAGTTGGAGGGTTGGAAAACTGTGAAGAACTGAGGTACACATTTATTCCTGATTACGCAAATTCATTCAAGTTATGGGAAAGTTGGCAATAATTGTTAATCTTGCAGGGATCAGATAATCCGTGTTAAAGATAACGACGATCGCATTCCATTAATTTTGATTGGAAATAAATCGGATCTTGAGGACAGGCGGAAAGTGTCGCGTTCCGTGGGCGAGAACAGAGCAAAAAACTGGGGTGTCCCTTTAATTGAGACGTCTGCAAAAACAAGGGAAAATGTGGACAAGGCATTTTTCGATTTGTTGCGCATAATTAGGGAAGACAAGCGAAGAAAGTGTGGCAAATCACAACACAAATCGGACGGGCGTAGCTTTGTTCCGAGACTCAGCGTGGGAAAAAACACGGCAGGAGTTTCTTCAAGTGGTCACAACGACATGGACAAGGATTCAACGTCGCCAGCAAGACCGATGACGAGAAAGGGTTGGTTGTCCTGCTGCTGCTGCAGGTGTTGCTGAACAGTCGACAAAGATAAGGACTTAATTTCAAGAAAATGTTTGCTATTTTTAAATAAATATTCTTTTCTCAACCAACTTTTTTTTATATATATGTAACGTAACTGTACAAAAATGTATGTATGTCTAATGAAATGATGACAGAAGCAACAATAAATTATTATTACAACAATAAAATCAATTTATTATCAGCCAGTAAAATTCGACCACAAAACAATAATTGTAACAATTCCAACGATCTATTAACCATTACAGGAATTAATTTTAGCGATGAATGTAAGTATTCGTAAATTTGTGCGAGGTAAACAATTTAATCTAAATAACTAATCTTAACTAAGAATATCATACGATATTGTGTATCATACGATACGTTGCTCTTTAAACGCGATAACTCATCCCCAATAGATGCTTGAAAACCTGGATTTAAAGAAAGGGTTTAAAGAAAGACAGCAAGATCAAGATTAATAATTAATGATTTTTAACCAAGTATCGAGTGGTAATTAAAATATTATCATTATTATTGGCACTGCGCTCTTTGGATCAATATTTATCGTATGACCCTTCGTATCTGCGATTGATGTTATTTGGTGGAAGTTGCTTCGATCTTGGTGGGGGATCGTTAGGTCCTGGTCTGTACGATTTCCATTCTTCTTTTGAAATAGGAGGAGCTATTCTACTGCTGCTTGTTGAAACAGTGCTGCCTTGATAGGGCGAAAGACCACCAATTGTTGGAGGGGGAGGAACCATTGGTCGGCCGCTGCCATAATACGAACTATCTCCTCCTCCCGAGCTCATGGCACCACCACCGCCTCCTCCTCCTCGTCTAGGTCCATATGAAGAACCTCCGCCCCCAGTAGCACCAGAGTCCCAACTGCAAATTAGGGAGTATTTATTAGCATAAGCGAATATACGAAAAATGAATTTAATTTAGTTTAGATGTTTATACCGATTGTTTTCAGACTGATCATTCCAACCTCTTCCACCACCACCTGCTCCACGATCATAGTTGTGGTGAGGTTTATGAGAACGTCTTGGATCACCGGATTGACTCCTAGGATCCCCAGGAGCTCTCTCTCCCCTTTCTCCTCGATAAGAATGATTTTGAAAGGAATCATGTGGATATGATGTAGGACCGTTTTGCATGCCAGAGGAGGAAGCATACTTATTTCCTCTGCCACTACTGCTACCAGTATTACTGAAGGAAGATCCAGGAGGACAGAGGGCGAATTCTTCATGCTCATGCATCATTGAGGCATTATTTTCATGTCGAGATCTGTTGATATCACGATCCCTAGGGTCCCGTGATTTTTTCCGTTCTTTCTCTTCGCGATATTCTTTATAAGATGTATTTTTCTTGTGAAAATCGCCTTGCGAAGAATTCGAGTTTTCGTGAAAATTGGGCTGATTGTTTTCCTCCCTCTTGTCTCCTCGACGCTGTTTAGGCTTCTTGTTCTTCTTTTCCTTTTCTTTCCGTTCACCTTTCTTTGAACTTTTCTCTTTATGTGGTTTATCCCCTTTCGAATACTCTTTCTCCTTTTTGACAGCCCTCTTATAAACACGGTGGAGTTGTCTGGCATCAAACTCGGTAAATTTGGATACAAAATACCACAAATAACTGAAAATAGAAATATTATTATTAGTGTCATTATTTGTCATGCATACAAGTAATCCTACTGCATGGCAGAAGAATGCATTTTCTGTATTTTTGCTACCTTTTCCACATTTTTGCCTGTTCTGAATCAGCATAGGTATTCAAACATTCTTCGATCCTCTGTCCGATTTCTATCAAACAGGTTCTTGTCTGCTGGATTTGATCTTTTTCGGATAGATCTTTATCAGGATTATCGAGGGATTTTAGAGCTTTCTTCACCTGTTGTAAATGTAATGAAGTTAGTTTCCTCAATATTCCATACGTATATTGCATAAGCTACCCATGTGTATTACTATTTATTATTTACTCACCGGTCTCATTTTCTCTTTGCATTCGTTAAAAATGACAGGGTCCATTTCACCAAGGAATGCAATTGGTGTTGGTTCTGCTTGAGCAGCGAAATGCATGGGACCCGCATCTTTTTTCTTTTTCGGTTCTCGCTTTGATTTAGTTTTTTGCTTGCCTTTCTTGCCATCTTTTTTTGCAGCAGCACCATTTTCATTCCCATGAGTGGTCGATGAGACGCCATCAGTGGTTGAAGAAACTCCTCCATCTTCCTTTTTGACCTTTGCCTCTCTCTTTTTCTTTGGTTTTGGCTGCTTTGATTTAACAAGGGCTTGATGCTTTTTGAGAACTCTGAGAAGATAATCTGCTCGAGTGGCAACGTTTTTAAACAAGGGCTTCTTGTCTCCTTCAAGGAATATTTTTTCTTTGAGAACTGGATCCGCCTCTCTGATCTTATCCCATGCGCCCATTCCAAACTCCCAAATTCCAATCAATAACCTAGTGTCTTCATCTGCCCCCCATTCCACATCAAAGCCAGAATTTTTTGTTCTGACTTCAAATTTCCAATTCTTCCTGGCAGACTCGTCGACTGGGACAGACTGGCCCAAGGCTTGCAACTCCTCGATAGCAAGGGACATGGTTCGAGCATTAATTGCAACACCACAGACTTTAAAAATTGGACCCTTCTCTCTTGGTTTGGTAGAGGTTTTCTTGGTAGTGTCCAGGCCACTTTCACCTTCGGCTGGAGTCGATAGTGGTTCCTCTTTGATCATGAGACGAGGATGAGCTTTTTGTTCAGCTATTGCACCCTTTATAAAGCAAATAATATTGTAAAAAAAATTATTAGATGAATCCATTCAAAGAGGGAGAAATAAATGTCACTGGATTATCTATGGTTATTATATGGTTATCTTGGTTACCTCACATCCTCGCAACAACATTTCAGCCAACTTTTTCAAGTCTGCGTGACTTCTTTCAACCAAACCACAATCGTCAGCAATTTTGTCAATTCTTTGAAGTGGAGCTGGGAATTTCTTGAGGCTTGACAAATAAAGAAAGTATTATTAAAAACTGACCAAATGTAAATGCATTACATTACTCTACCAATACATTTGAGTGGAAAGGTACCTTTTCAGGAACTTTCGAATTTGCCCATCAGTAAATCCCTTGAGCCCATCCTTGCCATGTTTTGGTCGTCCACGTTTTTTAGGAGTCTCCTCATCATCGGACTCTGACTCTTCACTTTCCTTATCCGCACCACGTTTCCGTTTTTTGCTCTTGGCCTTTCTATTTAAAGCTTCATTTCCTAATGACTGGCCCTTTGCCGTGGCGGCAGTGGCATTGTTTCGGCTAGAACGAGGTGGAAGAAACAAGTCGGCCATCTCTTTTTCTTTTTCCTCTGCTTCTACCTTCTTTCTCAAGTCTTCTGGAATAATTTGTTCCCACTCCATGTTTTGAGAATCCTGAGTATTTGAACTGCTTGGGGTTTCTGGTACTTCTTCATCCTCGTTGACAGAGAATGATGCTACCTTAAAGGCGGACAAAAGTTCGTCACCTGGTCGTGCAGCTTCTTCATGGGTTTCTGCCCGTCTTAAAATTTCATCGATATCACAGTTATCATCCCCCTCGTTTTCATCTTCCTTAAATAACTCTTCAGCACCAAACTTTAAGATGGCAGTAAGTTCATCCTGAATAAAATAAAAAGCAATATGTATATTTTTAGTCAAAACTGTTCACCAAAAATAGTACTATTAATAGTTATCTACCTTGTTAAATGGATTATTAGCTTTCGAGCCTTTATCTAAAACGGTTCTTCCCGTAGTGTCCATTCTTTGGATGACAAGATGATCCAAAACCATTTTTCTCTTGGCTCTTTCCACAATATCTTCCTCGACAGAGTTTTTAGTTACCAAACGATAAATCATGACTTGATTTTTTTGACCGATACGATGAGCACGGGCTTGAGCCTGCAAATAATAAGATTTATACTATGATGTCTTTAATTTCAACCCAGATTAGACTAGTTATTCGCTCAATATACGATATAAATCTCGTCGGTATTTAAAGTTCTTTTTAATGGAATAAACACCGACGGGATTTTTAACTTAAGAAAAATACTGAAGTGGAAATGCAATTTTTTGTGTGATAACGTACTTGTAAGTCGTTTTGGGGGTTCCAATCACTGCAAGCCAACGAGAAGACAAATATTAACAAGAACCATACCATCACCTGAGTATATGTAATTACTTACCTGTCAAAGATGATGACTGTATCAGCGGTGGCGAGGTTAATTCCTAATCCTCCAGCTCGAGTAGAAAGTAAGAAACAAAAATCTTGAGATCCTTCTGCGTTAAAATGCTCCAGTGCCTGTTTCCTCATATCCCCTTTGATAGATCCATCAAGTCTTTGAAAAGGGAATCTTCGCATTTGGAGGTATTCGGCAATTATATCAAGCATCATGACCATTTGAGAAAATATTAGAACGCGATGTCCAGTATCCCTAAGACGAACGAGGAGCTTGTCCAACAGCATCAATTTTCCACTGCCTTTGATAAGTTGTGACACAGAGTCTCCCCCACCTTGTTCGAATGGCTTGATTAAGGTGGCATGATTGCAGCACTTTTTCAATTCCATTACAACGTTTATAAAAGATCCAACGTTGCCCTTCGCTCCTTTTCTGAGAGCAGTGTAATTCTTGGTTAGAATCCATTTGTAGTACTGCTTTTGCATGATGGTCATCTCAACTCTAAGGATCTGCTCTACTTTTGCAGGCAAAGACTTTTCTACATCTTTCTTCACTCGCCTCAAAATATAGGGTTCTAATTGTTTGTGAAGTCTGGTATATCCTTTTGTGGCAGAGTGATCATGCTCCTTTTGAAAGTAATCCCAGTCATCAAACTTGTGAGGCATGATAAAATGCAGGAGAGACCAGAGTTCTTTTAACGAATTTTGAAGAGGCGTTCCAGTAATTAGTAATCTGAATTATATTAGATTAGACTCGATTATTATAATGAACTGCCAAGATACATTTAATGTATATAAAAAATGTACAAAAATCCAACCTATGATTAGAATCAAAATCAACTAATGCCTTGTATAAAAGTGCATCCTGATTTTTCAGTCGATGAGCTTCGTCCACCATAAGTGCTGCCCATGAAACTTCACTGAGAAACTGTTTGTCCTTCAGTACAATTTCATATGTAGTTAAGATTGCATTGAACTTGAGTTTACGAGTTCCTTTAAAAAACCACTCAAATTCTTGAATCTGCAGATACACCATTACACATTATTATGATTTAATGGTCATCATATTTGTATAGCTGAGTAATATGATAATAAATAACAATAGCTTACAATTGCTCTAGAAGGAATATCCCCCAAATATGTCACTACCTGCATCAGAAATAAACAAGTTAAGCCAATAAGTTACAAATTGATTTGGGGGATTTGAAGTAGAAGTTGATTTGATGGATTAAAATTTGTTGTTATTAGAAAGAATTTATTTACATTTATTTGAGGTGCCCACTGGGAAAACTCTTTCTGCCAGGCTGTCATCGTTGACAGAGGAACGACTAGAAGGAAGGGGCCGTACAAATTATAATGCTCGAATAAATAGGCCAGGAAACAAATGGTTTGAATAGTTTTTCCAAGTCCCCTAAAATTGAAATATATAATGTATAAACTCTCCTAGACTAGACATTTATAGTCCTTGGTCTGCATTTTCAAATTAAATTAATGTGTATGTGAATAAATCGTACATCTCATCTGCCAAGATTACTGAATTTTCTTTGCACCAAGAATGAACTAACCAGTTCAACCCATCCATTTGATAATCTCGGAGAACCAAATCCTATATAAAATGCAATATGAAAATTGTATAAATTGATCATATATAATAATTAAAGTATCCACACATCAAGTAGAATCTTATAATATTCTAATTAAAAATGTACCAAAGTTTCTCCGGATAAATAATCTGGCTGAGACTTAATTTGGGAGAATTTGGGTCGAGTTCGAAGAAATTTCGACGACGATGTTGGGGTCCTGTTTGATGCTTCTCGTCGTTTAAAATCCTTAATGGCTTCTGGATTTCTCTTTTTAATTAAATCAGCACTTTCCCAAGTAGCGTCAGAGTATGGAAGACTCTCCCATTTTACATAATACTCTTTAATTCCTTCGGCATTAGTTTGTTCAGCTATAATACCAACAATGAAACATGAAACAATAAATCTTATCCGAAAAGCATTATCCGTTATCAAAAAAGTTATGGTAAATGAATTAAAGGAATTTACCAATGACTCTCTCAGCATAAACATAGCTTTTAACTAGTTCTTGTTGCAACTCCAATTGACATTCTACATACTCTACATCTTCCGGAGTGGCTCTAGATTTCCACCAATTGTGATCATCTTCTTTCTATTAAAATGTAGAGACACGACGACAAGAGGCATGTTATTAAAGTATAGATTATGGATAATCCACCTCAATAGCTACTACATACATTATGTATGCTTCAAATTTTATATACCTTGCAGAAATTGTCCAATTTTTTCAGCCCCTTGACTTTTAATTCTGTTAGCGTATCTATTGATTCCCATGTATTGTGTAAGTGGGACCATCCAGTCCACTTTATAAAGAATTGCTTTTCCAATTCAGATTTCGGCGTTGCAGGATCATTAGGATCTCCTTTTTCAGCAACCGAGTAAATAGTTGTGATACTACCAGTGACTAAACAAGGTTAAAATTGGAAATCAGAATTATATTTCTCCACACATGTAAATCAGCATTAATTACAGAATGCTGTCCTACAAAATCTACAGTTTGGCCTGCTGTCTTTCTAATTACCTCCACGTTTTCCCATTCTAGAATCCATAACCCTTTCAATAGTTTCTACATGTTCTTCCGGCTCTTGTTCTCCATTTTGCTGTTGAGTATCATCGGATTCTTCGTTGTCAGTCAACAAATCTCCCTCATCCTCACTCTCTGCTTCTTTATAACTAACTGACGCCTTGGTATTTCTTTTTCGTACAGTTCTAGCAAATAAATTGAACAAGAAGATAAAATAAGTACAATCGCCATTAAATATAATGTCATTGCGACATGAAATAGAAATACATTAGCTTGTTTGATTCAATAATATTGTTTGTATTTTGGTGTTTTATTCAAATATGTATATATATTTTTACTAACCTGGAGTGATCTTCATCTGAAGTTTCATCTTCATCTGAGGACATTTTTCGCTTTTTCGCTTTACCTGCACCATGTTTCTTTCCAGAAGGTGATCCCCGTTTACTCCCAGCTTGTGATTGTAATTTGGGGGGTTTGGGTTCAACACGTGGTCGATGTGATCTCCTTATTCCGTAAAATTCAGGATCATCCTCCCAAAACTTTTCTGCCTCTTTCTTTCTCTTGGCAATGTCGCTGTATTGTCGTGAAAGGATGGGAAGGTAAAATAATAGTATAAATAAATATGTACAAAATAAAGGGTGCTTATTCATGATATGATGCCATGATATTATTTGCATGCAAATGGTCATGAAAATGCATGAAAAAATGACGCTATCGTAATATTTCTGCACACCTGTCACTTAAATGAGATCCTGAGCGACTTGAACTTGACGACGATCTGGAGCCAGACCTCGACCTACTTCTTGACCTGGACCCTTCTGACTCTGACCTGGACCCTGCAGAGGACCTCGATCTGGACGACTTTACTTCATCATCTTCTTCATCGTCACTCTGTTCTCTGGACTTGTTGACGTCGTCGTCGTCATCCTCGTCAACTTTGTCTACGTCTTCCTCATCACTGACTTGTTCTGACCCTGACGCCGAAGAACCGGAAGAGCTGTCACTCCCACTATCGTCGTCTTCATCGTCATCCTTAGAATTATCAGATGTCGAACTATTTTCAGACTCGTTATTTTCCACTCCACTATCACCCTTGCTATGTTTTTCCTTCTCTACATCCCCACCACCAGTGGGGGGACTCATTGTGTTGAGACACAGGTTGAACTATGGTCACTGGGTGTCAATTGTTAAGGTCAAATATATTATCTTGCTGATGGATTTAATATATTGGGAGAAAGAGAGGAGAAGACGACCATTACTCTGCTGCTACTACTCGTATTGCTGTTGGTGACGGTGGAGTTGAGTGGTGGTGCTACGGCTAAACTGGGTTACGCAGCAGTAGTGAGTCGACTCTCGCTTCAACCTGTCGCCGCTTGGCCAGCATGGATGGGATGGATACAGAACGTGTTAGAAATTCTAAGCTCTCTCGTGGCTTTCTGTGCAATGGGCTGGGTTTCGTAGCCAGAACATGAAGCTCAACAAACTGCTAAAATGGTGGATGCAATTCTCTCCTCTCTTCTCTTCACAAGACGACAAATTCTGCTGCTCTTGTCCTTCACATGAACTCGGGGCTCGAGGCATGATAGCGCCGTATTATTGCGGGTCAAAATTTGGAAAAATTAGCTTGAAATGGAGAAACTATCAGTCGCATAACATTTCAAGTTCAAGAGAAGAGGAAGGAATTGCATGACATGTAAAAATCAGAGATGGAGGGTATAAAATGGGTGGATTTTGAAGTAATTTAGCCTATTTATCACCACTACGTCCCTAGTGGAATCCGCCATGATGAAAACTTTCGAAATTATTTTGAAAATCTTGAAAAATTATGTAAAAATGGGAAAAGGCTTGCAGAAATTGAAATAAATTGAAAGGGTATGTGAAAATGTGTAAACAGCTTGGAAATTTGCATTGTTCACTTGTGAAATTGAGGAAAATGGCTGCTTTTCCATGATCTACTCAATCCCATATACCATGCAAAAGTAGGGAAGAGGCTACATGAATTACTGTCGATAAGTAATGCAAGAAAAGTATTCATCTCTGCTTATAATTTGCCTTATTGTGTGTATATCTATTACTCATCATGCAATTATTTTCACTGATGATGAATGGAGAATTTCATTGTCCAATATTTCTCCTCCCTCCACCCACATTATTAATTAATTATAGTATAATAAACGCAAATTATTCAATCTCTTAAAATTAATATGAAAACATAAAAGCCAGTATTTTGGTCCCTTCATTTATGCAAACTTAGTAATATTAAAATTAACTTGCTATTAAAATTATTAACCGTTTTGCCAGATTGCCTTTGCCATTTATCAATAGATAATTGTTATACAATACTACTGAATTTGTATTACTTTGGGTTGATGAGCAACCTCTTTGCATTTATTTGACTTTTGTAGGATATGATTCATTATCATCATCATAGTATAAAAATATTAAATAAATATTATTATCACTTTGGGCGCTCAAGTTATTTAAACACTATTACTGAATAAAACTGTGCCCTTTCTTAATATTATTGTTGTAATGTAAACAATGAGTCAAATGACACTCAAATCTTTTGTTATGTTATATATCATTATCATATATGATAACTAAATTCTATTGCAGTCGTTTTAAATGTAACAAACAATAGTTGAATCGCAACATACCTTATAAACTCATATACTTGGGTGACTGATGATGACTTCAAAACTGTTCCAGTAGTAACGTGATGCTTTCTTGCTGTCTGTGTTTCCACTCTTCATTTTCGTTCCCAAGATTATCCGCATATTCTCGGACGATATCTTTAATGGTGTCCATTGAACCTTTCCTTAGTTGAATGATTTGGGCTAATCGGTCCTTCACCCTGGGATTAGACACTGCCGTTTCGAGTATGATGTAGTCAACAAGCTGAAGAGTGAACAATCCATTGTCCAGCCTCCGAAGGTACACTTCATCTTCATCAGGTGCTTCTCCTCCTTTCTTGAGTTCTTCGACAATGTCATTGTCTACTTGGTTGACTTTTGATAAATATTTGAAATGCAGCTCACCAAGTCGTTCCACTTTTTCAAAGTCATTTTCTTCAAATTTTAGCAGGACTCGGTTTCGTGTAGGACCCATCACGTGCTGAATAATTCCAGCGATGACTGAAACACAATGCTCTTCATGCTCCAATGCGGATATCCCCTTCCTTTTGGATTTCTTGGGAGTTTTCATAAACAAAGGAAATAGTGTTCGTAGTCCCAAGATTTCGACGACTTTGTTGGCGTTGGAGGTGCCATCAGGTCCAGATACTGCATGATTAAGGACTTTAAGCGCTCCGCTACGGGACTGTCGTTTCTCCCTGTAAGTCACACACAATACAGTACTTAATTACAGCCCTAATTAATTATGTGGTGATGGAGTATTGAATATGTGTGTAGGAGGAGGAGACGAAGTTGGGTAAGTCATTATTCTGTAGCTAAAAATGAAAAGTATAAGCTTTCGAATAATAAGTGTACAAGCACAAGCTTAAAAACGCTAAAGGAGTAGATAGTGATATCTTAACTTGTGGCGCAAGTGGGAGTATCACAAGTAGGTATGTATAATTTAATTAAGAGATAGGCGAATTTAAACCAATAGTCTTTACTTACCTAAGCATTAAGTTCATGAGTTGTGGACCTTCTCCTTTTAAAAATTTGTCCCGATTAGGACCGTGCAGCAAGGCAGAACAGAGACAGTTGAAGAGATTTTCCATGTATTCTCCTTCCTCGTTGGAACTAGGATCATGTCTCTTGAAGGTAGCCAGTTGTTGCAGCAATATGTCAATGCCCTCCACGTTCCCAAGTGATGCTCTGTTTTCTACGTTGTCCTGCAGTAGGATGGCCAACATCTCTCCAGCGTAAAGTTTGTTCCCATCAAATGGCATTCGAGATCTTATTCGTTTAAGGAGCCACGTCAGCAGGCCCTGTAATTAACAACAATGCATATTTCATGTAAATTGAAAACATTATTTTGGGATAAGGTGTGTTATACTTTACTAGTTAGCAACTTGCGCGAATGTCGTGTTTAACTATGGCGCAAGTTACCACTGAGTATGTACAAATGCAGCGTTTTATATTATTAATAGAAGCGGACTGGCGAACGACGTCTTTCCTTTCCACTAATTAATCTAATCACAATCCTCTATCTAATATTTCTGTAATGTTACGTGATACGTCAACTAAGTGCGGCGGTGACGGCGGCATTCGCTCACCAACCGGTTGCATATTACAGTTAGCTACTGCCACGGTCAAAAACCACGCCACGTTTTCTATTTCGCAATAACTATGATAATAGGATAAATAAGTGATCTGTCTTTTACTCACGTTTTGTCCAGCCGTTGAGCACAGTTCGGGCCTAATTTCAAAGAGGTTTTCAAAAATGGCCAATGTATTATGGACCCCATCCGCCTCGTCCTTGTTGGATTCATCCAGTCTGTCCAAATTCTGTGTTAAGAGACCGATAGCTTGGAGATCAATCAGGTTATCAATTAAAAGCCCTGTCGATTCTTCTGCTTCGTTGATTGTGTCAACATCGGTAAGCTCTTGAAGTACATCGAGGACAGCACAGGATATGTCAGCATTCTCGTGAGCGAGGCAGCCGAGTAAAATTGATAGCAGATTGAGATCCACGGCTAATGAATAAAGATCTGGGACCGTAGCCAATGCGTGGAGTTCTTGGACGGACTCGTGCAACTCCAGCTCTGAATCCATGAATCTGCAATCAAAATAACAAAGCGTGTTACAATTCGGCTTAGCAATTAGCATTGCTTCGGCTATTGATACTGAAATATTATTTTGCAAGCGCTAATCATATCAGTTCAGTCGTAGAATAATGTTAGTGTTAGTTCAACGAACTATTTGGCTCTAATTAATGTGTAAAACAACGATCGGTAAGACAACAATACACGCCTAACCCTAACCCTGATCACAGAAAACGATCAACTAAACAAGATATCTTGAAGGCGAAATTGCTGAATACTTTAATAATTGATTTTTAAAGCTGCATAAATATAGCCAAAATCTAGACTAAGACTGAAACCAGCAGTTTCGTTTTACTATCATCAAAATTAATATGTTATACTACTCGAAGTCTACCGTTTCTTTTTGTTGCGATTCCTCAATAGATATTTAGTTTTCTTTATATGGTTAAAAACGCTTAATGATCAAGTGAATTTCTTAAGATGTAGCAAGATGATTTGTACAACAACCATCGAACCAAACAATTCGTGGAAAAGAGGTAATAATCACAATAAACGACTTTCGAACGGTTACTATTTAGTCGAAGACATGAAAAGACACCCACAGAAACATGTTCTAGACCAGTGCGATCGGTTTTCCGATTATCGGAAAGAATGCCCTTAGTTATAGCGCGTTCGTGATCGTGACCAAAGTTTTAGTAACAATAATCGATAACATTGGAGGCTAATTTGACCCGTTATCCACAACAAACAAGTTTCATAAAAAATAAAATCTGCCTGTAATGGTTTTATACTTTTGTATCACAATATTCCTGCCAATCTGATAGCTTTAGATTTTTTACTCGATTTAGACTAGTCGTTTTTAGATGTTAGATAATTCTGACACTAGGACAAAACGTTGAACGTTTCATATCTTCAAACAACATTGGTCGTTTTCAAGTATCTAGATTAGAAGAAATCGAACAGATCAACATAAACATTTGCTTCATTTATCGAAAAATGAACAATCGGGTTTGTTTTCTTCGACAGAAAGTTTTAATGATTCATTATGTAACTTCAATGAATCACATTTATGGACGTCAATTAGACCTCCCTCGCTACCAACTTCGATGACCAAACTTGCAAGACGGTTCTCTTGTGCACATCTAGAAATCCTCAAGTGTATTTTAGTGTATCGTAATTCAGAATCATTTTGAACAATAGAATTTATTGCGTGTCATCAAGGATTCTTCTAAGTTGAAGTACGTTTATAGATTATCACTCGTCGTCATCTATCGCCATGATCAAAATTATAGACACTATATTCGAGTTCGTTGTAAAATGCTTCTTAAAAGTATTACAGACTGCTTTGTAAACAAATCTATTATGATTCTAAACCTTAGACTCTAAAGCCATGAGAATCAATATACTTCAAACAATTAGTAGTTTGTCGTCGTATTGTTCTAAATTGCGTTAAAGAAAATGTAAACGATCGGTCAAGAGAAGACCGAAGTTTATCTATAATTTAAGCTCCCAAGTTTCAAAGTAACTACGAATACGGCACTGACTTAAACCAGCCCACTACCAGCACCATGCTAATTTTAGAGTCGACGCCCAATGCCGAACGAACGCCGAATTGGGCGTTGGCCGGCCAGTTAATTTTGTCGTTAGCGACTAAGCAAATCGCCGAATTGGTCAAGAACAATGCTTCACTGTAATTTGTATGCAGTACGCCACAAACATGCCTATGACTTGGTGCTCATACTCAGCATTACTTACATAATAATTCAAGGACAGTCCCCTTATCAAACAATAAAGTTCCTATTTCTTCTGTTCCAAAGCTAAACTCTATGTACGTCTCTTCCCTTTCTTCCCTACATTGAAGAATAAACGAACTGGCCTTATGAACAATCGCAATGGGAAATTCTTAGCCAAGCAAAATTATAATTTCCCAAAAATCCCCCATTTTCCCCCTTTCCCCAAGCATAAATGAAGCACTAGATAAATGAAATGAAACAATTTTCTACTTACTTTTCAGGCTGGTCGGGAAACTTGATTCGCATTTCTTGATTCCGAGCAATTCTCTTCTCGAGTACGGAAATGACCCTCTTTAGTTCTTGGCTTGTAAATGGCGTCACCTAGTCAATAGTGAAACAGAGAAATTATTGTTAATTCTTCGAAATTCGATATCTCTCTCAATTCTTAACCAATTTCGACCAATCTTTCACGTACCTCGGGCTCATCCTCGACCATTTGAATAATCCGAAGGCGCTCCTCCTCAGTCATCTCAGGACCCAGTACTGCCCCCTCAATCGGGTCACCTCCGCCCCGTGCAGTTGTAATGGCATCATCTCTCCCACTGCTCGTCGAATCTGGGAGGAGAGGGGCGATGCTTGGCTTCTTGAGAATGCCAGCCTCCTCCCTCGTCGTCACCGCGATCCGTTTCCGGCCTCGATCCCCTCCTCGATCCCCTCCAGGGGGTGCGGCTGAGGACGAATCTCGCTGCGGAGTCGAGTCAGGTTTGAAGGAGAGGAGCTCTTTCACGTCCATCGTCTCTCCAAATAACGTAGCGTGCTCGGAGAGGACGGGAACTTGTGGGGGGAATGGTTGTCAAAATTTCTGGAAATTGTACTTACATTTCCTGAAATAATTCTTTATCCGCCAGGGTCGTGCGGAGTGGTGCTGTGGTCGTGGCAGGGTTGGGACGAAGAGTGCATTGTAGAGCAGAGTCAGACTGACTGAAGTTGGTAATTTCACTGGTGGTGGAGCAGAGAGATTTGGATTGGGCTCGTGGTGGTGGTGGTCACTTCTTCCTCAAAGTTTGCAATGCTCATGTGCAATGGATTTCGTGTGCTTGTGTGGGATTGCTTATGTACGACCGTTGTAGGATGAGAGAAATGTGAGAATAATCCAAGTAGAGGAGAACCTCGTATTCTGCGTGTTTTTTAGCACAGTGAAGCGATAATGCGCTGTAGTTTTTTGCAAATGTAGGTAGTCGAATGAACTAGATCTTTTTTTTGGGTTGGAAAAGTTTGCAAATTTTAAAAACTAAATATAGTACACTGATGGATTTGAGTGATTCGCTTGTGTAGCAGGTTAGAAAATCAAGGATGGAGGCAAATTGAGAAACTTGATGAGCAATATGAATTTATGTTATATTTCCATTGTGATGATAGAAAATTTACTGCATTGAGCTAAAAATTTCTTGTTATTCTTATGTGTACCTATTGTATTTTGTATTACAATTTGTAATTTACAAACTTGATTAAAGTTTTGGTTGCAGGGAAAATGATACTTTCGCAAGTTTCCCTGTTTTTCAAGGAATAGAGAAGTCTCATCTTTGCTCATTTCTCAGTTCTATGATAGAATTTCTATCCATGAAAATCGATCAAACTTGCATGCATTCACGTCCATCAATCTTATCTCAACTCGTGCTCACGCCCTTTGTAATTTTAATTTCTGATTTTGATTTTTGATTTCTCAAGGAAAACAAATCTCTGTGGCTACAAAAGAGAAGTCTCATAACTTTATCAAGGTAAAATCAAGCAATTCTCATACAGATGAGAAACTTTTGAACAATTTGAATGTATCTGGAAGCTATAATTTTTATTAGCAGCAGACTTTTTACGCTTGGACAAGTTACAGTTGTCGTATCTGCATATAAATTCTCATTTTCAATGGCAGATCCCGAAGCAGTCGACGTGCCCCCATCCGGGGGAGATGAAGATGGCGACGATGTAGATGATGATGACGAATCGTCCTCTTCGTCAGATGAAGACGACTGGGATGAAGAGGACGAAGAAGAAATGATGCATGCAATGGCTGAACAAGCAAAGGAAGACGTTCGGCGACAGCTAAGAGAACTCAAGGCTGTGTATCGCTCAATTAAACAAAGGTGTGTAACTGCCAAAAATAAATATGCACATACACTTTAGTTAGATTTGTATCTTACAATTTTCCACAGGAATATTGAAATTCCTGAACGATTCCGGATTAAAGACTCAGATCTTAAGCTACCTCAACAAATCTACGCCCATATTTATCAAAAGATTGAAAAGGAATGTGACGAAGTCTTTCGAGTTCATGAGTATGAGTCAGCAGAAACGATAATCCAGTTGGACAAGATTCGGAAATTTTACTTTGACCCTATTGAAACTCCCCATATTGTGGTAAAAGATATTAGCCACGAGTTGCAAGTTCATACCATTCGAAATAAAAAGACCACGATAGAGTTTGAGAATCTGGTGGCAAACAACAACGCCATCGTGGAGGAAGAGAATCGACGCCGCATGGAACAAGTCGTCTACACAGAGTCGGAAGTGAAACAAGAGCTGGAACCGATCAAACAAGTCTTTGCCCATGAACTCATCGGCGATTATGAAGACAATTTCGACTTGTACAGTGTCGAAACTGCTCATAATATCCGACATTTGGAAAAACGACTTGCTCAAAAATATGAGAGGGAGTGTGCTGTAATGAAAAAACTTTGTTTGTTATCTGAATTCTTTACTATGCATTCAAAATCATGTTATGTACATACATATATAGGTCATAAACTTATCAATATGCTCAACTTTTATCTATAGTGGCAAGAGCTAATGGCCAAGAAAATCCCTGCAGATTATATTCCACCAGAGGATATGGAAGTTCTTGCCCAAGCGAAAAATAATACTGGGGCTTATCAATTGCAAACATCGGAATCTTACCCCGGGGAGCAGATTTCAATTGCAGAACGTCGCCAGCGAATCATCAACATTAAACTTTCGGTATAATATTTAGTTGATAGTATTATCGAATTTCATTTATGAGTATACAGTTTACTGATGCTACATTTGCAATGATGTGTGGATATGTAGATGCGAGAACAAGTACAGAAATTTAACAAGTTAGTAATTGAAGCTCGAGACGAGAAACCTCGCGTAGTCCAAGAATGTCATCGACTTGAGCGAGAAATTCGGAAAGTACACGTCCTTCTGCCTGAGGAACATCGAAGGAAAATTCCACCCATTTTCGATATGGAACCTGACGAAACTCAAGAAGGTCTGTTTGACATTAGTCCGTCGGAGGTTGAGGCGGAAGAACAGTCTTTATTGGCTGCTGCAGGACTTCAAAACATTATGGACGATATTGTATGTAATTACATGCTTATAAATAGTCAATATAAAAAATCTAGTAACGTGCGTATTTATTGCTGTAATTTCATAAGATGGAAGATTTTTATGGGGTCAAGAAACCAGAAAAGGACATTTACGAAGACGACGATCGAACTGGCTCTTTTGTCCCACCCCCGGCGGGCGCAAGGGCAGCTAGACAAGCCAAAACCGTTGACCTCGAATTTGAAAGCGTTGCAAGTAATCGTTGTCGAAAAGTGCAATTCAATGGTCAAAGTGAAGCTGAAAGAAAAAGGTTTGAAGTCCAGTTTTATCCACGACTGTATCGCCAAGAACTATTATTCAAAGAACTTCTCCGTGTTATCAACTATTTCCACGAACGGATTAAATATATTCATGACATACGAGTAAAGCTGGAGATCGAGTCTAAAGTCAAAACAATTTGCTTGCTCAGCATGATCAGTGAACTTGAGATCGCTAAAGACTTTGACAACCAGGAGAAAACCATAGGAGAGATCCTCCTCGTGCAGAAAGCTGAGAGTAAAAATGCAAAGCATCACGTATGTGAAAATAGCCTAATAATTATAGTTCATGAGTAGAACAAACACGTTTATTATTGGATAATTAAAATCACTAGATGGATAAAATAAAGAAAAAGTTGGTAGCTGTCAACGGGGATATGAAAAAGTGCGAAGATGAATTAACAGCAATCAATAAAGATGTGGACCGAGCGATTGGGGAAAAGAGCAGATTTCATGACTATTTGTGGAGAGTTTTCCGGAAAAAAATAAAACTGGAAGTTGATGATGACACTGACAATGAAGAAGAACAAGAAGAAGAGGATGATGAAGAAGAAGAAAATGAAGGCGACGACGAAAATGGTTATTCAATAATTGTATTATTAAATACGTATCGCAGGTATAATGTTGAAAATAAAGTAACAATTTTAACTTTGTGAACCGAAGGTGGAGAAGAGGAAGTCAACCTCCCTCTGAATCCTGAGAATGACGGCCGCGCATCGAATGCATTTTGGCCAGACAAGTCCAAAACGCGTCTCGATATTGACATCTGTCCAGATCACTTGGACCGAGCAATCTACGATCACGTTCTTGACTTGAGACTAAAACGAGTAATGGTTGAACAAGAGATGGAAAAAAATAAAAAGCTTGGAGAAATTGTGTCTGCCGAATATGTAGATATTGAAACAAGTCAGTACATTCGGTATTTTCAGAGTACATTCGATAAGCTAAAAACATTATATATTTGGTATTTAGATTATCAAAGGTACCAAGACCGCTTAACAGAAATGGGAGAAGAAATACGAATCATGCAACGCCGTCGTCAAAAGAAAATGAATGATTTGAAACTTATGATTATTCTTCGAGCTGACCAAATTCAGTAATTTCTCATAATTTGGCTGCGAATACTTGTGCATATCTAACTCAAGACGGTACTATAAGGGAAACTAATTTTTATTAGGTGCATGGATATTGACGAGCTTTCAGAAATGGATGGTGAACTGCTGGATAAGCTGGCTCAAAGTTTTCCTGGAACAGGAAATGTAGTAATTTTTCCAAAGGACGGAGCAGGAAAACTTGATGCTCGAGCGGCCGAATTACTAAAAAAAGGAAAAATAGAATTGGAAAAATTCAAGTATGTACACTTGCATATAAGAAGACTCTGCTAACAAACGACTCAAATTTTAATATGCAAGTTTTTATGTGTTAGGCGTGGCAAAAATATGTTGGTCCGTCTGCACGAAGAATTTCGCAAAGCTGAAAATGAAGTTAAATTGCTTAAAGAACAAGTCAAGCGAGAAATGACTTTCAAGTTTGGCCAGGAAGTAGATTTGGATAAAATATGCGCATCTGTAATTAATTTGACTCTCATGCGTCAAGAAATGTTGCTGGAGAAGACCAAAATGGACAATTATAAGGAAAGAGCTAAAATCAATCAGGAACTGTTGGAAGTGAAATATCAGCTAACGGGAAAAATTGAGGACAACTCAAAGTTAAATAGGTTACAGGCCGTGATGCTTGAAAGACGACGGGATTTAGAGTATTATATTTGGAAAAATGAAAAATCGACAGCAAATGATGAGGAAGGAGGGCCTGGGGGAGATGTGTCGAAAGATTTGGTAAAAAAATATGAAATGGTAGTTACTAATTCGATATTTACAATCTACTCCAATTCAATGTTCACAGTTACCAAAACTAACGTCGAGCTGCCTGACCCCGTCTAATTCAAGTATTTACAATTTTGACTACACTAAACTGGAGAAAGATATTGAAAATGCAAAAAAACTACTTGACAAGCAAAATAAGAGAATCACAGAATTAAAAGGCGTATTAACTAAATGTAGAACAAAGGCAGGTATGCCACCTCTCCTAAAGATGAGCATGAATGCAGATGACACGATACCAAATTTTACACGGACAGCAAATGAGATGCCAACTCTAAACGAATATTGTCCACAAATTCAAATACCAACATCAGACAAATGTAAGATTCCACCCAAAAAGGATTTGTATTTGGGTGAAAGGTCCAACCCGAATTTGGGCGATTACGATTTCTTTGCCGAGTTGGAGATACGTGACATGCATGGAAATGAAGTAAGGTATGGCGAAAGTTCTGAAGATGAAGATCGCACTGAACGATCCGAGGAAGCTGTCATTGCCACCCAAGATAAAACCATGACGGACGACTCAGAATTTGACAAATTGGGTCAACAATTTGAAGAAGGTTAGCATGTGTACCCATAGATCTAAAGCTTGATATTTTGTTATTAAAGTAAATCCACATTGAATTTTAGACGAACTGGAAATTGATGAGGACGACGAGGAGTTTTCGCCCCAAATGCCCGATGATGACCTCAGTAATGTAACCGAAGAAGGAAAAGAAAAGAAGCACCTGACGTTAAATCCTGAATCTGCCATGTCTGGTAGTGGGGGTGGTGGGAAAAGCAGTGAGGGTTCCTCAGAAAAGAAACGTAGAGCAAAAGCCAAAAGGGCAAGTCGGAAATCGGTTCTTCAAATTGCTGAGGACGCCAAGCAAGTCACCGAATCGGATGTAATGAACAGGATTCACAGGTACAGCTTGGCCGTGAAATTGGCTGATGAGACAAATGAGGAAGAGATGAACGAGGACTTTCTTCACCTTGGCGGCGTGGATTCAACCAGCCAACAAAAGTAGCCAGAGGAAGCCATCGTCAAGAGACCGGAAGTAACATCATCCGCCCATTTAAATATGTGCAGATTCTAACAATTTCACATAGTTTTATTCGATCACAGATAGAATAAGCCTCGCCGTGAGACGAGGGAATAAAAAATAAATAAACATTTGTACATTGGGAACAATATCATATTCATAGACTAGTGTGCCATACACTGTAAGGAATCATGCACAGAAATACAGAGTCATGTTTGTGAGATCATAAATAAATAGGTAATGTTTAACGATCCACTCGAGAGATTGCCCAATTATTATGATAAAATACAATGATTATGAAGATGATTCTCTTTGTGATTTATGACCAGAATAGTCAGGATATGAAACACAGACTTGATTAGTTAAATTTAGTACAGACTAGTTTTCTTCATAATTCTGAAAAACTCGTTTTCATTTACAGCACCATCATTGTCCATGTCAGCTTCGTCAATCATTTCCTATTAAAAATACAAAATATATAAAAGAAATGCATTTCTATACGCAGTGGCGTCAATTTTTAAGAAATTTAATGCTTACTCTAATCTCTTCATCATTTAATCCCTCTCCTAGTTCTACTGCGATTTGCCTCAAGTTTTCAAAGGTGATGAAACCCGTATGATCTTTGTCGAAGAGTTTGAAAGCCTTCAAGATTTCATCTCGACTGTCCTTCTCAGCTAATTTGAGATTGATTACTTCCATAAAGTCAGTGAAGCACAATTTACCCGTATTATTCTTGTCAACTTTCTCCACAATTTTCTTGATTTCATTTTTTCGAGGTTCGAATCCCAATGCCCTTAACGCAATCTGCATGCATGCACAATTCAATTAGTATGCTTTATTATTACTGCCGCTAAAAACAGAAGCTGTAATTCAAATGCTAAATCACTGACTTTCAAATCATGGGTACTCATGTAACCCGAACCATCGACATCCAGGGCGACAAAGGCTTCTTTAATTTCTTGCTTTTGTTTCGGCGTTAATTCAACCTTGATCCCTGACAATGGCTTCACTTCGTTCTCCTTTCTATTATACATACATGCAGATTATATTATATGTCGCATAACAAAATTTAATACGTTCTACGTACTTTCCCCCAGCAATGGCTTTCGTTGATGGAGAAACCTTGGACGTCATTTCTCCCACGACGGCCGATTTCGCATCCTTGATCTTGAGATCTTTTATGTCCCCTGCTTCAAAAACTTTAGCCTTGAACTCATCAAGCGTAGGCATGCTGGGTTCCTTTGGTTGTTGAGATTCACTGTTCTCCTAAAAATAAAGTTTTCAAAGATAACTTGATATATGACAAAGTGAATTAGTTATGTACCATCATGCTTACCATTATAGTGAAAATGCTCAGTAGTGTCTCTGGCTGACTTCTTGTAGTTTATAGTTTCTCAGTTGTAACGCTCCTCAAAAATTTTGAGTCAAAATTGGTACATGTCGTTTGACAACTATTTAATACTGGAGGCAGGATATCCCTAACAACTGATTTTATTATTCAGAAACACTTTCACCTTGCCACTCTTGTTGGGTGGGTGTGGTTGGACAAAAGAGATGTTTGAAGCAAAATTACACAAATGAATAATGTAAAAACCTGTCGAACCACACACCTACACATTAAATGACATTTTGCAAACACCCGGGGAGGAAATCCTTTCGGATGAACTCGTTTCCCACATCCAATGCATATATGAATCTGGACAAAGGAATTTCACATCTCTGAAATTTGTTGCATGCATAATATGTAAGCTACATATTATGTAAGTAATAAGTATGCATGTGTTATTCCATTGTAGTATTGACGTCGTATTAATTCTCCTCAGTTTGACTCATGAATTTTGGTTGAAGAAAGGTCAGAAAATAAGAATTTTTATTGCACATTGATTAATCGTTTAACTATGTATAACCTTACAGAGTAATTCAGTGCACACTCTAAATAAATTCTAGTATCAACGTCTAAATTAAGTTTCAATTTCATTAAATGATTCAAATAGCTGCTGAATGCATACATTAAGAATTAGAATAAAACTCGATATTTAATTAATACGCATTAATAGATTTACAATACAGAAAGTTCCCGACAAGTAGGAAATGAAACATGGGAAACCTAAGCGGGGTCAGATCTGTTGGAATTAAATGTACACACAAGGGCCCCATCAGCCAGGACTAAATGGTCAAAGTCAGACCTGATTTGGAGGAGAGCTTCATTATTTGCCCCCCTCAGATTTAGATGCCCTTTGGATATGTTGTGGTGGTTCCCCATGAGTGAACAAGAACCCCCGAGTGGTTTGATGCTTTGGCCACATTTTAGCCCGCCGCACCCACTCAAAGGAGCCAGAAACACATACATAACATAACATATAGTGGTTAGGAATTTTGATAAGAAATAATATTTTGAAATTGAATGTGCCCAGGTAATATGATATTGAAAATGCGGGATTATTATTGTAGTTATTAGTACATTATCGTAATCAAATACTACTCAACACTTGATGTTTACTAGAATTAACTATTGTAACAATAGTATTGTTATTACCCGTCGCTTATATATATTACATACATAATACATAACTTAAAGTCTGTTTTATGAATAACTCCATGTAACGTAATCTCCTATCAATAAAAGAAACGATGATCCAAATGTACACCTCGAGTATGAATTGCGAGAAACTGCTGAAAATAATTTAGGTTTGCAAAACTGTGGACAACTCTTCACGGATATTTGTCAAATCTCGAATCTTTTGTGTCAACTGAGAATTCAACGTTTCCAAAACTTTTCTCTGAGATTCCTGAGTTCCAGTTACAGTCTCAAGTTGTTCCTGAACTTGTTGCAGAGTTGCTCTCAAAATATCGTTTTCCTGATCAAAATTAAATTCAACATTGTATATCTGATTACTTATCAACCAAAATGACAACCCATAAAATCGTATCTTACTTTCACTGAGTCATTATTGTTAAATTCCTTGCTGGAATCTTTCAACATTTTAATCTCTTCCTCTTTTCCCTTCAACGTTTGTACATAAAAATCCACTTTCTCCCTCATTGACCCAATTTCTTTGCGAATTTCTGCTGCGGCGGATGAGTCGCCTATAAAGTAGACACCAATTTATTAAAAAAATCTACTCAAAATAACTTGCTTTATATGAATTACTTAAAAGTGGGTACGTACCTCTCGCTGCTTCTGCTTCCAACGTGGCCTGTTTCAATCGCTGATTTTCCTCCTTGTACGCCTGCAGTTGGCGTTTCCACTCCTCCACTGCATGAACAAATAAGTGTAAAATAGTGTAACATTCCATGCATTTTTCTGGTCCTAACAAAATTAAGTTGAAATAGCCCCTTTTCATGATATAACATACCATTTGCGGTACTTTCCTGAAGAGCTGCCGTTAATCTGGTATTGTTGCTTTTCAGCGTCGATAATTCCACCTCCCACTTTTTTGCGTTGGCAGAGCTGCATTCAAAAAAGTTACTTAATATATGTAGTTCATTAAATGCTATAGATATGCATGCAATGTGATAATTCATATAAAAACACGCTTTATACGTAGGTCTAATAATAGGTCTTGAAAGGTAAAGTTTTTGTATGCAATTTTGAGTATAGGGAAGATTTGTGCACCATCATAATGCATTTGTGTGGTAGTGGGTGGGAGGATAGTTTGGAGAAAGTAAAGTAATATAAATGCCGTAAACCTGGACATGAAACAAGGGAAGGTTATTAAGGAACCATGTACTTTTGTACACATATGTATGTACTAACTACAGAAAGAGGGGAGCATGAATGACACCTTTGCACTCACAGATTTTCATGCCCTTTTGGAATTTTTGTACATTATGAAAATAGTAGAATTCTCATGTGTTTTACTTCATGAGCTCTATTTCGCACTGTATATTAGGAATGTAAACGCAAAAAAACCTGTTCTGTAAAACGGTCGCCAAAAATTCTATTTTTAAGATTTCAAAAATTCTTGCATTATGAAGGTCCTTGGTAATCCCTGTATAAATCATTTTATCCCATTTCAATTCTTTCAGGACAATCAATTTTCGATTAAATTCATGGATACCATAGAGCATGACTCTCAGGTATCATGAAACTGTAAGGATTTTCAAAATCTGAACGAAATTGAATTTTTTGTGAAAGTTGGAATATGGGAAGGACATCAAAACCTGTGAGTGGAAAGGTGAGATGTTCGCTTCCTAAGTCGAAGCAACTTTACATTCCCATTAGCACCACCACATCAACCCACGCGCAAACTGGGTTGGATAAGGCCATCAAGACAGGAATAAACATAAAGCTTTCTCCTCGTGGCGCTGGCAAACTACATGTGTGTACAATTTTGGAACAACTATTAACAAGATACAATGAAGGAGCGTCCTATGTGTATAAATCTCACTGGTCGCACCAACAACTTCCAATCTGTGTGTGTCCGTAATCTTTTTTGTCAAAGGTACAAGTGGTCATTTGTTTATTTATTAGCTGCTCCTTTCTACTTCTGCTGCTGGACTTTCTTTACCTCTGAGCGAGAGCAAGTCTCAGTCGTTCATTCTCATATTTGAGTTGGGCCTCTGGGGACTTGTCTCCTTGTCGGAGAGTTCCATGTTTCGGACTGTCCATGCAATTTCCTCCCCCGATACCTGGACATTTTGAGAGCAGAGGTGAACCCATTTTCAGTAAAGAGTTGGCGTTCGCATCACTCATGTGACTCCCATCCGCATCACAACCATCTGGGCCTATTTAACCAATTCCTTATTACATAACCTTTTCCCACAAGCAAAACTAGAAATATTTATAATTTACGAACCATGATTCTGATGACCATTCTGTAGCTGAGAAGCTGCAGATAGCAATGCGCTTTGAGTTTGGAGTCCTTGCAAAATCTGATTTCTTTGGAGGAGAGGACTTGCCGTTAAACTTGGTGGCTAAATCAGCACAAGAGACAAGTTAATTCTCCTCCTACATCCCCGTTGTTTGTTTTTTACTAACCGGGATCGTTGCATTTGTGATATTTGAGAGGACTGAGGACTGATGTTGCTTTCCTCCCGATCTCAAACACGCCTCCTTAATCTCCTGGAACTGTTCAAAGAACTGCAAGAAACATTAACGAGAGATTTTCAGTTTTATCCGATTGTATGTACAATAATAGCTTGCAAAGCACTGTGCACATAATCATATCATCACCAAGATTCTGTTATCTGTGCATGTTGGGTATTCAACCCGTAGTATAATTTTCCCTAAAAAAATTCACTCCTCCTCACCCAAGACACGCATTTTTGACACGTTGTTATTTTAATGGAATGTGCTTAATCTTTGTCTTGTAAGAAAAATAACACTAACTCTTGCAAGATAAGGTTTCAAAACATAAAACGTAAAGTAGAAGAGAGAGATTCTCTTGCTGGCAGACCGTGAAGCAAAGACAGATTTTTTTGTGTTTCATAAAATCGTTGTTAGCACTTTTATCGTTCCTCTGCGGTGGTGGATTGCTTGGACGGACGAAGAAAAAGCTACGGGAAGAACTTCGTACAACGAGTCTTGCTTGGCCGTCGTCGTACTAGTGGCAGTAGTGGCATCCACTTATCTCAAAGTTAACTTATGGTTCATATATAAGATGATGAAGTGAGGTCTGAGAAAAATCGGTAAACTTTCTCCGCATCATGTATAAGCAAGCGGTTGTGAGAGCAACTGCACAAAGATAAAAACGAGAAACCATTTTACTGCATTTCATTTTGTCTCACTTTCTCTGCTGCTGCTCGAGCTAACGTGAAGCCATTTCTTTTAAAAAACACTTTTTGTAGAGAAGATGCCATTTAGAAAAACATTAAACTTGGAAATCAGTTCAGGTCTAATGCAGTTTGGATAGAAGGAGAAGCTCTACTAAATTTTGGAAAACATACGTACTCCATGAATCTGCATTTGGCCCCTTCACCCTCAGTTTTACTTATTTACAACCGTCTTATTCCTTCCACTACCCTCCCTTCTGCAGTCTAAAAAATAGAAGTGGATAGGTAATGCAAATTGTCCTACTCAGGATGCGTATATATATTTAGCAAACGAGGGGAGAGCGTAGGAAAATAACAAACGCTTTAAAACAACTCTTATCCACTCTGTACGACAAAGATTGAAGATTTTGTCCATTAAGAACGATAATGGTGTGTGTGCGACATTGGGAAATGGCTGAAAACTGGTGGACAGAACAAGGGTTCTCTTCGCATGGCAAGATTTACAACAGATAGGGATGAGAAGTAGCAGTTATATGTTTCTCGGCTGTTACTGCTGGACGTTGTCGTCTGGGGACAGTACACACACGGCTGCACATCTGCATTTTATGCTTGGGGTGGGACGATATCGTTTCGAATTTGTAATCCTTGATGATGATGATTCTCTACTTTCTCCACTTTCTCCCACGCAGGAAGACGAGCTCACATCGCTTACTCGCGTCGTTCTCTGCCTAGTTCCCAAAATGAATATCTCGTTATGCCACATGACTAACTCGAGGATTGCTTATTGTATGAAAAAAATTATGTATTTGTTTCCGTTGGATTTGATTCGCCTAATTTGAATACATTAACTATGATCATGTCTCACGAATGAAGGAGTTTCAGAACGATTGAAAATAATGTTGGAGGCGAAGGGGAAAAAAGACGCAAATATGAAATACAGAGCTGGATTTCGAATGTCCATTCAAATTTGAATTGGAAATTCCAACAAGTGTACAAAATCTCAATTCAAAGTAGTCGAGTGGCGCATACATATTTATTTTCACTTCTCTTTTATTCGACTACTACCGCAACGAGTAATGCAAATACAACTCAACTCACTCCTCATGTGAAAGGGATAAGCCTACCATTTTCATTTTCCCGTCCAGACATGAACCGTCATGTCAGATCGGATAGAGTGGATTTTGAAGTAGAAGTGTAAGGATTGCTTATTTTAAATATTTGCGTTATTTGAATAAGAATTGTGTGATTTACATGGATAGATATCTGATTCATGTATTTACTACTTGTTCAGCCATCGTAGCAAGGATCTTGTTATTGATTCTGATTTGTCGTCGGTGTTAGTTGTATGATATAATCTAGCCTAGAATTAAGGCTAGAACTAATCTAGCCTTGAATTTTATTTATTTAGAGAAGACAACGATTTGTCCTCACTTTGTATGTTTACGTAGGCCTCCTGACACAATACTTGGTTATAGAGTAAAAAAACCGTCATATTTTTATGTCCGAAGCTATCTGTGATACATTTTTATTACGGAATGCACAATAAGTCCCATAATAACCTCAGCAAAATAGCACATAAACAATAAAACACATTGTGGGTTGCAATGAAAAGTGATAAATGGCGAGCATTCTTTGTTGCAAAATAAATCTGCTGAGAACAATTTATAGATGCTTAAATAGAAGGATTTATATATCTTCGTGCAGCCCAGAGAAGGAAACGTGCGAGTGAAAGTCCAGTTGGGATGTTGCGTGGCGTTGGGTGGGTGCAGCTCTTTCTGGGCAACAACATGGGAAGCAAAAGTATTTTGTGAAGCAAATAATAATGGGCTTAACCACTGCCCTTCGTCGTCGTCATCACCAACAACCAGAGATGATACTATCTGCTTAACAGTTGAGGTCTAAAAATCTACAATTATGTACCATTCATACCAGCCAACGCCCTGTATGTACATACGCAATCCACAAGAATTATTGCCCAGTTCTGTGCATAACAACTTTTATTAAATAATCATTGTTTAGATGATGTTGGTTTCAATGCTGAAATTGATAATGTCTCTAAACTTGGGGAAATCTGAATTTATCTGAATATGTGTCAGAGAGAAAAGGATGCTCATCCATTATTTGGAATGTCGCAGAGTGAAAGGAACGAGTGATACAGATAAATGACCGCCGTCGTGGCGGAACTCTGATGGATCATGGACACTCACCAAATTCAACTCGTTCTCTGATGGAAATCTGCAAAGAAATGAAATTTGGTTACGCATGCAAGCTTATACAACTGGCAAATAAATATGTATGTATGTGTTATGTAATTGTGGAATTGCATACCCCAATCCATACACCGTGTTTGCCCGAACATCTGACCACTGTCCAAATTTTTGCGATGTTTTGGTAAAGTTCATCCCTTGCGTGACAGTGCTATTGATGACGGCCTGGAAATAAAATAATGAAAAGCATTCAGATCAGAGCGTAGAAAGCATTGGAGTCATTTCCATTCGAAACCCGACCAAAGGGATCATTAATATTCGTTTGTTTGCAAAAGGCACCCTGCTGGGGTTTGCTTTCAGGATCAACTTTCCTCGGATGACGGATGAAAACCACGAAATGAAATGTGAGTTCATTTCACCAAATACCAAGTTTTCTCCGCAGTAAGTAGGAATACGTACGTATGTAGTTGGCAGAGCGTAGTCAGATAGGTAGAGCTTGTCTTACGAAAATGAAAGGAAATCAAGGCCTCTTAATCATAATGTTGCTCCACTTCTTGAATACACACACAACTGGTGTTCATATCAAAATGGATGAGGTATGGGCAGGAACATATTAATTGAGTAAAAAGCCCGAGGAAATGAACTCAAGATCCCGTAAAAGTGTACAATTCGCTAATATGAAAATCATGAGTTGCAATGTCATGCGGATTGATTGAATGAATTCAATCGATATCTGGCTGTAGAGTCAAGACGTACGTACGTGGGGAGCAGAATTTACTTTGACCGTCCGTACAGTGGTGGATGCTTGCATTGCAAAAGTGTCAGTCCAATTGGACACTGGACACGGCAAAGATTGGTAATTTGGCACACAATGGAAACCGTCCTTTGTCGTGTCACCACTACTGAAATGGGAATCCTCGTCGTTTGCCCCACTTTGTCCCTCCTGCTGTCCTCACGTCCTACTGCCAGGTTTGTTATCAAATGTCTCAAAGGAGACGTCTGAGTGGGCGAGAAATGAATAAACGTTCATTCAGGTGCAGAAGACGGAGCAGATTTGTTTTATCCATAGTCTCATTTTCCCAATTAATATGGTTAACTTATTGCACGATCTCATGTTTTCCCATTACATTAGAATTTCGAATTTAGAGAGTTAGTGTTGCTCATTTTACAACATTGCGTACATACCGAATTGCTGACGCAGATTGCCAAATTATGAGAAATCATGATCCTTTTTCCTGCATTAATGGCAAGTCATAAGAATGGGTATTTATCTATACATATCTGATAAAATTCAACCAATACGTTCACCCATTAGCTTCATACATATTCGATATGATGCATTTGATCTAGGATATTGGCATTTAATCAAGCTGATAGCAGAATGTTGGTGATAAGCGCATGATATCACGTACACATGTATGTATGTACATACGATATGCATAATTGGGTATGACAAGAAATTGTGAAAATTAATAAATTGTACACCATTAACCATAAATATTATTATTGAGCATTCTTCTGCAAATAATTATTTTATTTCGAAGGTCAAATATGATCTACTTTCCAAACAGAGTAGAGAAATTTTATTTCATTGCGATTGTAACTGTACTTTTCAGTGCACAAATTGGTAAGTTTGTTAAAAATAAAATAAATACAATCAAAACATCAAATTTATTTAATTCATTTCTGATTCAAGTTTCATCGCAAGTTCAAGGATGGGATTGTTACAAATGCAGCAGCACTACGGACGAACTTTGTCTAACAAACCCAGAGGCTATTTCGAGTGGGGACGTTACAGTCAGTAATTGTACCGGATATTGCACCATTCTCCGAACGGAATTCACAGATATTCCAGGTTAGATCTAACAAAGTGGCAAACTGTAAAACCTCCTATCCTATCTTAATCTATAAATAGCTAAGCGAATTCGTCCTTACAGGGAAAGTGATTTCTTTGGTGAGAGATTGTGAAAAAGTGCCGCTGGTAATCAACGAAATTAGAACGGACGCCCACTACACTAAATATTACAGATCATGCACAACTGGAAAATGCAACAGCGGAGATGGAATTATTCGTATGTGCCATCTTATTTAGAGATTTAGATAGTAGATTAATGCATATTTGAATAATTATTACTTCAATTATTTACTTCTACCATTAAACAGGTGGTGGAGGAGGAAATGGGAACGTACCTTCCGAAATTATTCAGGTTCCTGAAAGATCAACTGGAAGCAAATTCCAAACTTTCAATTTACCACTTTTGATCCAATTGTCAGTTTTGTTAAAATTTCTCTTGTGTTGAAGCAATATTTTCTATTAAAATCATTCTAAAATAACCTCACACTGAGCAAAACTGAATAATATTTAATATGATTTCATGCAACGGTTTTAACGCTAACGACATGAATATCTTGGTAGACGTGGAGTTGACGCCTGTACACTTTAAACAGCGCGTTGTTCTGCATAAAGTAAATTTTCGTGTCATATTTATCAATTGAAGTGAAACCAATATCATACCGGGAACTATTTTGAGGTTCATTTCCTGTCATGCATGACACGCAACAAACAACGTTTGTCACTTAACCTCGGCCAAAGTTTTAGTGAGCCTGCAAGTAATGTTCCCCTTCAATTTCAAACCAAATACTAAAATGTATGGCCAAGTTGGTTGCGCATGAAAGACTTTTACCTCCAATTTCACCTCTAATTTTTTGAGTAAATATGTCACCGAGATGAAAGTGAAGAAAAAATTGATGGCTTTATTACGACTCATAAACCGAGTAAAGTCAAAAGGCCACCTGAGTACTTCGATCATCATCGTAATCCTCGTCGTCGTTGTGGAGTACACAGTGTCGACACTTCGCTTTCACGTATAAAGTGATAACTCCACCATCTAGCCAATAATGTCCATTAAGCCGAGACTATCCTGCCATACACCGCTTATTCAGCTGCATTGTAAGCATTTACTTTTATTTCCGAGATCCTTTTAACTTAAGAAGTTTCTCTACCTACGTATAAAAAATATGAAATGCGATAATAAATGCTTTAAGAATATCTTCCTCCTAAAAACTTTCACCACGAGCAAGGAATTAAATTTTTTACATTCCTGCCACCTGTCCTGGTCGATTTCATTCCCTACTTTTTATTGGGCTACAGTTTAGCTCCCCCTTCTCAGAAAGGTTTTGTAACTTTGTGACAAATTACTGCAAGATACGAAGCCAAACCCAAACCTTCCTAGGCCATTTCCGTTTTTTCCTCTTTGGAGAGCAGCAAAAAAGTTCATGTACAGCTCGAGGGGCAGATTTTAATTTACTTTCTGCACCACCTCCACCACCAGCAGCCTAACCTAACACTCAAACCGTCCAACACACCAACCGTCGTCCAACTTTCACCGTACTGCCAACGGACACAAGTGAAAAAGTGTGTGGATGTGGAAGTGAAAGTTGCTCAACTCGGGAGCGGAAGGATTAAGTGGAATGATTGCGAAGAATTGGTGGCATCAGGAAGTCGGAGGTAAAGAGGAGAGGTGAGTGCAAAACAAAGCCGTTGGTGTGCAGGAGTCAAATAAGATTAAGGGCTCCGAGAAAAGTTACAAATATCGTTCGACTTTTTCTCCATTCGAAGAGATTCCTAGAGAAAAACGGGCGACCGGTTCATTGTTAGTAGTTGGTGATTATATGCTGACGTTACTTCTGACTCTTGACGCCTTAAGTCCATACATCGGGAGTTGAGCAGTCCCCAGAAATCCTAATTTTTCTCTGTGACTTTCGTACACGTCAGAACTTTAATGTTTGTGTGGTTAAAAGAAGTGAGGAGGAATATGCAACGATTTGAAGTCACAAACCAATCCACTTAGGAGAGTTTACATAATAAATTCAATTAACAAGCCACATTTTCACAGTTTGCAGACACTCTTGAAGGGTTAGGGTTTGCTGCGGGAGGAATGAATCAAATTAAAAGATGATTGAATAGCTTTAAGAAGAATCTCAATCAAAAGTTGAGCCTAAAATTCAATATGACACCAAAATGATAATCCTGCTTTCACTGATAGTTTTAGTTTAAATTGAATTTCTGTTCATTACTTGATTGCTCGAGTTGTGCCATCACGGACGGGGTTTACATATACTTTGTAAAATTAGTGTGGATAAGTTTACAATAAGAATACAAACTTATTCCCATTCTACTTTGCCTCGCTGTCTTCATAATCCTGTAAATTGGGCTTGTATAAGGCAAATCTGCCACCAATTTAATTTGCATAATCAAATTGCATTATTATTACTCATAACTTTTGCCGTAAAACTTGCAAAAAGACTTTGTTATTAGTAGACACAGAGATATTTACGTAATCATGTTCCATCCTTATCAAATATTGCAATGGGGACCCAAAGATGACATTGGTATCAAGGTATGTGTAGGGCACTCCTCCAGAAGAAGATTTTTTTCTATCACTAGAATGTAGGCACATTTCGATATGTTATTGTATGCGTTTGGTTGGATGGGTGAGTGAAAGTGGTTGGTGTCATTCGGTCGGTCGGTGTATTTAGTCCCACACTCAACTAAAACCTCTTTGGCCTGTCTCCTAATAAAAGTCTGCTGCTCGTGCTGTTGAAGTATTGGCCTTTCAGTCTCTCTCGCTGGCAGAATTTGCAAGGGGGCACCAGCCGGAAAAGGAAATTGAACTTTGGCAAATGGCACGAATGCTGCTGCTTTTTCATTTTTCTCACTTTCTCCACGACCACACTGCTCCTTCCCCACGATGGAACTCCCTTCGGTTTCCTTTGTGGGATGGATGCGGTGGGATAAATCTGGATGAAAGTGGAAATCTCAACCGACCACCATTAGCAAATACAAATCGTGTCTCTCTCTCTCTCTCCTCTCCCACGAACGGAAACTGTGCGGTTTCTCATCTACTTTGGAAGAACGTCTAGCTTTTTATAGAATTGCTTTGAAGTCTAAATTTGTCAGTATTTTGGAGGTTGGACCAACTCTCTCATACTTTCTTTTCAATAGAATTAAATACGAAGGAGCTTGGCTAGCATGGAAGTAGGTTGCATTTTACAAGATGCCCATTTTGATGAATTTTGTGGAATAGCGTTTCTCTCAAGTTAATAGAATTTGTGGCCAAGGAGGTTCATCTACTTTGCAACTTTTTTCGAATTCTAATATGATTTAAACCAGTTATTTTATCCGGGAGGAAACACCTACCGTCGAGTTTTGGGTGCTTAAATTTTACGACCAATACTTGACATACATAATGACAATCTTTTAGATCTTACAAATGCTGACGGAGCAGAAAGGACAAGCATAACGATTACGACTTACGTAATACTGTTCGTTATATGTATGTACCAGACTATCTGCATGTACATGGATTATACTTAATATATATTTGCTTTTCTCCTTGTATATTTAATCTACCGCATTGTCCTCACTTCGTGAGCAAATAAAACGTCAAAATTTCTTTGGCAATGTCCTTCTTCATCCAAGAACAAGAGATGCATAGTGCATTGTATGTGCAGGATGTTATGGCTGGCAAAATAATTCCCTGAGGACTAACTTTCCCTCAAATAAGGCAAGTCATTCTCTGCTGCTTCTTTCTATCCACGTTTGAGTCAGAAGTACGTACCAGCGCCCACAATAAGCAAACCAACTAAAGACTCGACTTGAGTTTGAGTTGGATGGAAAGTGTGAGGAAAAAGCGAATGCTATCAACGCTTGAGTGAAGATGAGCCCATCAAGATGAAAATGAAGATTTTTTCTTCCTTGTTTCCCTCAATTTTAGTCAAGGAGAAAGTGAGTGAGATTAAAGTACTGATGAAAATCTACAAGATTGATCCTTTACGCGACCAAGAATGGATAATCCTATGCACAAGTACTACACTACAAAATAAGTGCAGTCCATAACTTTGATAGATTCGTGAAGATATGCACGTAGACCACCGAAACATTCTCATCAAATCAAATATGCATTCCTCCACTCAAATTACAAGAATTGTTTTCGACTAAATAAACCCAAAGTGAGGTCGACTCTGATTAATACCAGGAGTGATTGTGGAGAGAAAGTTGGTCCTGTTGTTCAAACTGAGGAGGAGAATTGGGAGAGAAACGAGAAAAGAAAACAAGGCCTTTCTTAATACATCTGAAAATGAAAACAATCATTTTTCTCCCTCAACTTCGTTTCCTTTCCTCATTTTCTTGAATCAACGTCTTAATTAACTTAAGCACGTAACCTGGTTTCCTCTATTTTTCTTGCCTTCCTTGCACAAAAAGATAAGTTGGACTTGATAAGTCATGTGCATGGAATGGAGACTGGCTGGAGTTGAGATGTTTCCCGAAGACTGCGTTTCGACTGACCGAGTAAATATAAAACTTTGGAGAAAAGGAAACCACCAAACGCGACTGACAACTCTTTTTTTACGTTCCATCCACCAACCAACATGTATTTAGCTCATTGATATGGGTATAAGAAGTACATTAGTTTTGGCGCATTTGCCTTGTTTCGTACCTTACTCCCTTCAACTGAGATAATCCGATACAATCCTCTCGCAGAGTCGTAGAAGAATGAAACGGCGACGGCTGTAGCGCTGGCTGGGACCCAGGACCTCTTCGTCATCGGATCAATATGAAATACATGGGCCTTGCAGGTGAACATTGGCTGCTCCCTGAAATTCAGAAGAACAAGAATCATATTTTATGTGAGACACATCCAAAGCAGAAGATGCCAATACAGTATACACACCAGGAAAGCATATTTAAGAGTGGAAGACGGGCAAGACATATGGTCCGCTGCAAGTGGATGAGGATCTCGATGAGGCATATATATAACCTAAGATCTCGCTAAATTGAATCAAAAGGAGCGAGATCAAAACATCTCCAACAACATCCATCTTATTTTTTGAAAGAAAAACGATGGGCGATTTAGTATATCAAAGAAATAATAATGCTGGCGAAAAACACGTTTTGGTTTTTGTTGGCGAGTTATCTTTTTTTACCTGTCTGTCTCAAACGAAAACTGTTTTCTTTTCTTCAGAAAAGTTATTACGTAGCAAATAAGAAAATCTATTATTTCAGAGCACGTACAGATTGTTGTTTTTTAATTTTAGGGTTTCAGCAACCATAATGTGAATGAACTGTTCAATTGTGTTGAACTATAAGGCAAATGAAAATAATTGAATACATTTTCATGTTGATTTTCTCAGAATTTAGCCAAGGGCAATTTTAAAATCTTATATGTTGAAAATAAAAATATATGCTTGGAATTGTATATATTCCTCATAAGAGGTACCATAATAATGATGAAAAAAATTTATTTGCGCTGCCACGAAATTTATATTTTAAGACATTTAGTAACAAGATAAATAGCAATATTTCGGTGAAAGACAAAACCTTACACTTTCTTTTCTTCATTTACACCAGTAAACTTAAAGTCTAAACCAAACCCATTAAAAATAAAACATTACACGCTTTCTCTTTTGAACTTTCTCTTTTCTTGGAGCTCGTATGTAATATGTAAATAATTTATAAGTTGGTTATTAAAGTGATATATGCATATCTACTGATATTAATGGCAAAGTTCCCTTTTGCTTCCCAAGTTCCCAAATGGTTTTTACATAATAAGACACACCAATTCTACTACATACATGAACACTATTTCATGATTTAGCATGGCCTAACAGTGTATATGTGTGCACTTAATCTGACGCTTAATTATTTTCGAGTTTGTTTAGTGCTAAAAGCTTTTGTGCATGATACCGCAAAGATAATAATAAAAATCCACATTTTCTCAGTGGTCATGATAGGACAAGAAAAATGGGCTGGATTTCATGACAGAAGATACTTTCACCTGCACCGCTTGTAAACAGGCAGTAAATCTCGGATTAATTTCAAGCCATTAGTTTAATGCATTCCGAGACCGGTGAGTCTAAGTCAATAAGCAGCAGTCTTTTAGAATCATTTTAACAACATCCCCCGATTCTATGGGGCAACTGGGAAGCATCAAAACTTAATTAAGGATCTTAATGTTCCCATCTCGCGTACTATTTTATCTTCATCAGCCCCATTTACACACATAACCGAGTGCGTGGCACGCACAACACGAGCTTAACTTACGATCAGTCTTTCTTATCATTAAACCGCCGTGGGTAATTATGACCGTCTACGAGAAGGAATTTCTCGATCCGATTAATTCCCTGCTGTGAACAGTGAACTCCTTCTACGTACATGGATTCAGTTTTAAGTTATAATAAACGAACACAACTACTACAATTAGGACGTGAATAGTGGTGGGAGGAGAAAGTCCTGAAGGAAACTGGTGGTAGATATTTGTAAGATTACTTATGAGTGGGGATCATTTTGCTAAATTAGTGAATCCTGCATATCTGATTCCTACGGCTAGAAACAGGGATTCTTACACATGAAATGGGGGTTGGAAATTAAACATATGATAATATTCTATTCTCAACGCCTGGCATATACATATTTCAAGTAAGCATGGACTTTAATAGATTTGTGGTTCTCATTTGTTACACTTAGAGTTGAGGGAAACGTTCCTCTTGCCGGATGAGTAGGATTCAACTGGTGAAAGTGGAGCGCTACAAATTGCATTGCAGTAAATTCATGATGCTAAAAGCAATTTATCATTCATTCATTTCTTGTTTCAACTTCTCGTTTGTCGGAACCTGAAGCCTGGAATTGTGTTCATTCAACACAATTCACAAAACAAATAGTGCCATAATGCAATTGCAGTGAATTACGCAAGGAACAGTTCCTGTACTGCGGAAAAGACTGAGGAGTTGCATATGTACATGAGTGTAGGTACATGTGCATGCATTCTACAGCATATGCTTAAGCTGAAACACATCGTACATTCAATTTCATGCATTTAAAATGAGCGTTTGTAGTGTGTCTGTGAAATTGTGAGTCCTGAATCCACTATTTCAAAATGATTTTTTATCACTCTGCAGTAGTGGCATTTCTCGGGTTATATTTTGTTCTTACAGTTTGAGCCATGTATTCATTCATTTATTCCGTTTCCATTTCTTTTTCCCATTGAGGGAGGTAGGGAGGACAACTCTGCATCGTAGTAAACACAAATTGGCCCCTATCCACTGCTTAGACTGGTTTATAAATTCTCTAATATACAGGTACAAAGTTTCTGGGAGAAAGTCGTGTTTCGCGTATTTCATTGCTACATCCAGCTCGTCACTTCTCAATCTTGCTGAATTTTCAATAAATCGAGCCAGGCACAACCTTTACACCCCTGCTGCTGAAAAATGGAGAATTGAAAAGGTTCAGTCAGCCCTTTATTGAAAAGGTGGAAAGTTTTCTTATTTTCTCCTATATTTTCAAAAAATAGCGAACCTTGCTCTTTTGAATTAACACCTTTTATTCAGAGGTGTGGATATGTACATGTAGCAGAGGGCTTATATGCATCTCGGCTCAGGACTGCTATGCATGTACACGTTTCGTGTTGATAACTGAGTTGCGAAAAACAAAGACTGCTTGCGACTCAGAAAAGTCAAGTCAAGCTGCTACACAGAGAAACAAGCAGAATTTGCGAATTTGAATTCATTGTTTTGCACCATCAGGGTTAGAGGTAGCGAATAATTTATGAGATCTCCCTCGATCACATGCATCCAAATATATCTCTGAGAACCGTATGTAGCCAGAGAAAACACCAGCAGAATGAGCTTCTCGTATTGAGGGCAGTTGTGTTGTTGGTGTATTTTCACATCTCCAGACATTTTACAGGAAACGAAAACACAGAAAATATGAAAACTTGCTCAGCCCACAGATGAAACGCTGGTTTGTTTACTTAGCCGCAATATACAGGCGAAGTTTTGTAATGCAATGTAACTTAATTGAGCCAATTCTCGTGCTACTTGCAAAAAAATTTCTATACTACCCCAAACCAGGCTCAGAAGTTCAAATAACAAGGCGAAATTTTAGGACATTGTACAACTTGTTGTAAATGGGAAAAAAAGAATTACTTTGTTAGGTTAACCTTAATACGAATGCAAGCACACAGTTTTATACGTAGGTGTTTTATTATTGATTTTCAAAAGGTATGTTCCGCACTGTTTCTGACCAAAGTTTTGATGAAATAATAAACTTCGAATACATTTAGGAGGCTGTGATTTTTTTCATCCCTGTGGGTTAACATAAACGCTGGCAATAAATCGGCAAACTTTACCTCGGCGGAAAAAATGTCAGATTTGCAAATTAAATATCGTAGTGTGATTTAATTTTTAATGCTGGATGGGTAATACGTGTCGCAGATTTATGATCGAATGCTTAAAATTTACGATGAAAACTGCCCAACACAAAACACAAATTCAATTGTGCCAATAATTTTAAATGATGGCGAAAAGAGATCTCGGACAAAAAGTCGCCAGGACGCTCAAAATCCGTTTCTTCCACAGAAAGGCTCCGGAAACTAGAGGAACCAATAATGAGAAATCCGTGATTGAAACTGTCCTATTTAGCAGATGAGATGGGTGTTCCAAAAACAACAATTTGTTCCATGTTAACTGAAGACTTCGGTATAAAAATGGTTTCCGTCCTTTGGGTACCAAAATTGCTTTCGGCATCTCACAAACAGGACCGAGTCGACGTTTGCAATGCCAATTTTAGCCTATTAAATAAAGACTTGAATCTGCTCAATATTTTATTAGCTGGATATGGTACTTGGGTATACTATTATGACCCGGTGACCAAATAATAACTCATTCAGTGGTAGCACGAGGGGTTGCCACCGCCCGTGAATTGAAAAGTGCAAAAATCTGACAAAAAATTGATGATGACCATTTTCAAGGATACCAAAGGTCTCCTCCTTATAAAATTTATTGCTGGAAATACTACAATGCTGTGTGTGCAGGAACCCCGATGGTGCTGCGTCCTGCGGTTGAAAAGAAACGTGGGGTCAAAATAAAGAGTTGGCCTTTTTTTAGACGATAACGCACCACCAAATACCTGGCTGTTTTAGAGGGCTGCTGCAGACGAAAATCTCTTTACCTGCACAAACCACACCCCGTTCAGTCCAGACTTGACCCTTAGTGATTATTATTCGTATCGAAACTTAAAGAAAGACATCAGGGATAAACGGTATTCGGATGATAATGAAATCAAGTCGTAAATTTTGGCATATTTTCGAGGTAAATTTTGATGAGTTGTTGCTAGCGTTAATGATAACTTACAGAACTGAAAAAAATCACAGCATCCTAAATGTATTTGAAGTTTGTTATTTCATCAAAAGTTTGGCCAGAAACAGTGCGGAACATACATTTTGAAAATCAATAATAAAACACCCACGTATATCGTGACAGACAGATGCAAAGAAAAACAGGGAAAATTGAGCTATCAAGTGTACCTCTTTCTCCCCAGGAGCGTCCCCATGTACATCTGATGATCTGAATTTGCGTCGTTGTTGGACATGTTTTTTCTTTGTAAAAATTGTCAATTGAGTCGTTTAAAAATTTTTCGTATGTATCCTTGCAAATTGATTGTGTCACAAACTTTGGTACTGTCCATTAAGAGTCAACTGAATAAGTACAGTCTCTGATTCAATAGGACGCGGTAGCAGTGATATGATTATACAGCTTTATCTTTGTCACTCAACAAATCGTAAAAAGCAATCCTATTTCATCCACAAACTCGATGCAGTGGTTAAGAATCAAAGAATTTTCTGAGAAACCTTTGAAGTTATTTTCTTCCCTGCTCTGAACGTCTTCTTGTTCACAAAACGGTACGTGGTGATAGGGGAAGGTTGATGGTATAGCTATAGTTTTGAATAAAATCCACTCAACACCCAGCCACAAGTTTATTGTTCGATCGTTGCTTTCCTTGAGAAGGTGGTAACTAAACTTGAGACAGATTGGACTCTTTTATTATATCCAGATGTGGATAAATCGGTTTTTGTGCTTTAACAATTCAGTGCGTAGCCCTGAACCTTAATAAATTTATTTTCACCCCTCAACTACTTGCTCCACCATCACAAGCTATGTTGGGACGCGATATTTCCTGGGATGTGAAGATAGTGTCACTTTTATTGATTTAATGTGGCTTGCTTACATCACACTCGAGTACAAATTCCAATCTCAAATTCACAGGAGACTCAGCGACGTTTCCTCGAAATAGGGCGACAAAGTCCTTGTTTAGTATTGTTCCTCCGCAAGCCGAATTATGCATTCAGCAAATCCACCACCAACTATAAAGCTTCAATGCTCCCCGTATATCTTCTTTGCTGCTGCTGCTTCCTGCTTCTGTGTGCACGAGCGAATAAATTGGAGTTGAGTTTACAGATTAAACCATCTCGTTCGCAAATAGCTTTATCCGCAGTGTAAAATTGATTCTTTGTGTATCAGTCACTCGAATGAATGCAAATATATTCTGTCGCAACCACCACAATCCCTGTTGAAATATGACATGTGTAGTGTGGAGTGTTCAATCTCCTACTGAAAGGAAAACACGAATCCAGCCACAGGAAAAGGGAGAAAGTGAGAGAAAGCGAGGCTATGAAATCGTAGAGCTTGTGGTGTTGCTCCTCCAAGCTCTTGGCTGTTACGTTCGTAGGGGCAGCGGATAAAAGAGTGGAGAAAGTTGGGATGATGGGACGGACGGGGCTCAGGGCAAACCAGCAGCAATCCAATTCTCATCAAATGATGAAGGAATCTAATACTCGCCGTCCGCAGCAGTCTTGCAATAATTGAAGGACTCCCACTCGTTCACTCATTTTTATACAGTCCTCACCTCCATATTGATGTCACAAATTCATTTTCGGGTAGCGCCATACCTTGAGCTTCAAACCTGTAGAAACTTCTAAATCAACACACACTACACGGCTATGCATATTTATATATATAGTACTTACAGTCTATACACTCTTCTAGAATTCACTAGGTACACACACTTGTATTATACAAGATGTATGATCATATCATTTAATTAAGTAATTTAACACCAATGACGTTATCTCGCAGTCGAAACGTTCGCATGCTTCAAAACGGACTTGTAATACGTCAAAGCGACGCCCATTATAACTCTTCATCTTCCACAATGTCAAGGGCAGTCTGCCATTTTTTATTTAAAGTATACATGTACAACATACCCGACTTTGCGAAATTTAATAATATGCATCACATCCTTGGTCTGTTAAACACCTTTTGAATCAAACTGGAGACTTGTTTCTCTTTATCCCGTCTCACGTCAGTGTCAGCCATCTCAATAATGCTTTCCTTCCTTATGACGTCAAGAAATACCAAAGTTTATTATTTGTCGAGTCAATCCGTCATACTTAGGGAAGCAAGTAGAAAGGTTGTATGCTTACAGGAGAGAAACGTGCCTTGTTGCTTGCTGGTGGTAAACGAACCATATTTAATCAACATTCTGTTTGGTTTTCTCAATTTGAAACAAAGGTAAAAATTGCTGTTGACTCTAAAGTCATGCAAAGCGTATAATGCGTGTGTACATAAGTAATACCAGTAATAATACGAGTTTGCTTTGTACTTATCGGATTTCCGCAGTAAAACATGAAATGAAAAACGAGTGGGGGTACACCCACGGTTCCGTACATAAACTTCAATCTGTTTGAGTGATACATAGTATAGAGAGCATAATAACATAATAATAATAACTTTATTTCAGCCGCATACAATTTCATTACTGAAATATTTGCACTCCGTCCGCCGTTTCCCGTTTTCTCTTGGGCATCAATCAAACAAATCATTCAACATGTTCATGATTACGGAGAAATCCACACGTACCGCAGAGAACCGCAGGCACCGTAAAGTTATTTTATTATTGCCTTTATTAACAAAATATCGACCGACACGACTTAAATTACAATATTGCCTGATAATAATAAGTGACAAAATGGGCCATTTATTAAGCTGAACGTGAAATTATGTTAATTTTAATGACGCGATATGTAGAATCCATTCCAATCTTTCGCCGTTAGCATTTATTACTTTATTCGGAATACTTAAAAGCCTATTTAGGCGATAATTTTATCTTCATAAAGTCCTCAATGACCTACACGAACCAACGACCGCATGACTTCTCCATTCACCAACAAAATTGTGCAAATATGTACTACATAGAGAACCAGGGCACCTTTATTCAGCATAAAATTGACACTTTAAAATTGCAACACGCTCGACTTTATTCTCCATAAACGATTACGATAAGACGTACGTGTGAGTGGGGTGAATTTAAATGTTCCACTCAAGTGAGAAGCGGTGGCGTTCGTTTGGTGGATAAATTGTGATTCCTTGAAACAATGTTCGAAATTAAGATAACCTGAAATATGTAGGTACACACGTTCCTCTCGTTTGGATTGCAGAGTTGGCCACGACAAATTTACTCTCGTTTTCGTACGGCCTTTAAGACGAAAAATAGACTCCCATTTAAAATGCACTTTTTCATATTATAACATATTCTAGGGGGGTCAGAATTTGAATTTCTATTCTAAGGAATCAGATAGACTTTTGCACGTAGCTGGTGTTCTTTGCACTGAATTTATAATTCAAATTAATGCATTCTGGACATAGCTATTTTTCCCAGTCTGTTCACCCCGTCATATACAATTCAGTTCGAGATTGGTTCAAGATTCTTGGCGAAATGTGTCCCCATTCTGAGTTTTGTGATGCAGAGCATGTACCAAGTACCACTCCCGTCTCCTCTAAACCAGTGTCTTCAACGATTATTCAGAAAAGTGAGGCTGCGACCAATGTGATGATTGCAGTCTTTGTATAAATAGTAGAAACTAGATATATGTATAATTTTTTATATGACACTTTCCATGATTCTACGCAATCTTTTCAAACTCTGACAATAAGCAGGGGATGAGAGTATACATGTATTCGCATAGCTAGAGAATGGGGTACGTAGAATGAATTTTAAATATAATTCACCCTACGGTCGAATTATTAGAGGTGCAGAACGAGCTAAATTCAAGGTTTTGAAAGTAAAGGTCAAACATGACTCCAAAATTGAATACCGTCCATGCACTACAAGAACGCAAACACGTGTATTACATTTATTTACAGAAAATCTTAAAAGATTCACATCGGAATTTATTTACTTGCTCGTTGGACAATAGTAAGATAGCGTGGGGTGAAAAGATAAGGAAGAAATAAGTAGAACATCGAAACTCTGAAACCGAAAGATTTTGACTCAACTGCGTTCACGTCAAGACATTTGTTAAAACAAACGACGCAATTTGCCACACCACAGTTACATTTTGACTCAAATAAACCCTTGACTTGGTAGGATTTTACCAAGTTCCTCCTAACCCTCGCTTTATTGAGAGAGCCGTGAGAAAGTTGTGCTCAATTCCGCAACGCCAAGTGCTTTCATTCTTTGCTGTTTGTCTCACGAGAAAGTGTCAAGTCGAGATTAAGTCAGCGTAGTCTGTCTCGCATTATATTAATTTATCCAACACAAACTTATAATAATTGACTGTAATATAAAGTCGAAGCAATAAAGAAGGAAATACAGCCACAATTGGATGGAGGGTGAACCATATAAATTACAAATGTACCGCAGAGTTCATTCCTATTCGAGTCATTTCACAAAATCAGACCATCCGATCAGCTTTTTTCATCCTTGATCTGAGTTCACCAAGGAACCCAGAAAAGTTGCAATTTGCAGAAGGTTCGCATTGTGAAAGTTTTATCTGTGTGGTTGTGACATCAAGAATGACCCAAACATTCAATGGGGCATTGTACTCTGATACCATTCGTTACAAATTCCTTCCGTCTTTGTTGTTGGATTTAAAGCTTTTGTTTGTCTTTTCTCATGATTTCATTTGTTGCTGAAATGTCTTGGCTTACAATACAAGTTGAAATGCTACTATTGAAAAAGTTTGCGATACATTGGTAACACATACCAAGATGCTGTTGCAATTGGCGAAACGAGCAAAACAGTGGACATCATCGTCATCAACCGGACGTTGGTAAACTTTGTGTAAATAACGTGTGCATATACAGACGGCGTGCACGTTGTTGCGTACTCGTTTTCAACTTTCTCACCGGATTCGAAGTTTGAGAGGAAGTCCACGATTTGAGTTTGGTCCTGTGTTGTAATTTGATATGATTAAATCCACTTCTCAATTCGCATCACGAACTTAACCCGTTCAACTTTTTCCTGCAGTTGTTTTGGCACAGAGAGAGAAATCTGGCTGCTGGATCGGTTTGTAGAAAGTGGTGTTGTGTAAAAGAGATATATAGAAAATACAACTTGAAACTTTCACTCCCAATGTATTTCCTTGTTTTATGAGATTTTGTAAAGTTTCAGATTACAGGGAATTTATGGCAAAAGATATAACTCTGGAAAGGTGCAGCTGCTACTACCCAAGGCGCTACCTTCATAAATAGATACATAATGCACAACGTGTGAACAGGGTCGTGTTGAATCGTAAACACATTACAAATAAGATTATGCATGTATGCACATGTCTTAAATCTATCAAATTGATCCCTTAACGGGTCGTTGTTAATATAACAAACGGTTATGAACAGAAATTAAAATCTGCTCAATGAGGAAGTCAAGGCTGGTTTATGGGAATATTAAAAATAGATTTGTCCATACATGACTTGAAGGTATTTCCATACTTCCGTAATATTTCCCACCCTGCATTGTTATGCTCACACCCATTGTGAAGTGTGAAAATGTGTACAAGTCGTAAGTAGTTGTATGACTTGACCCAATAACACATTTTATCTTTTTGCCAGTTTGTTCCTTTTGAAATCAGATTGACAAGAAGACTGAGTGGTACAATTCTCAGAGGACCATGAAAATACTCTCAAAAGTTAAGTGAATTATACATTTCTCCGCTTACTGGCTCCCTCAGAAAACTATAAATGTGGTGGATGGCTCCCTCAGCTCCTTGCTCAACCGACTTTCTCTCTCAACACGGCAGCTTAAAGTAAAAGCGTTGGTTGCTTCGTGGACTAGTTTTCTCAAGAAAATAGGATTTGGTCCAGTTGTAGTAAAGAGTTTTAGGGGAAGAGCTGGGAAAGCCATTACAATTTTGTATGATTAAAGACACTCAAAAATTCGGATCACGGACGCCGGGTGTCTGTGTCCTGCCTGCCTGTTCTCCTCTTCAGAATTTTCCCCCGGATCACACAGCAGGGAAAGGCTTTCCATTCCTCTTCAGCGTGCGAAAAAGTACTCAAATAAGCTTATAAACCAAACCAACACCTTCGCACTACAAGAATGTCTCGACGCCATAATAACCCTGTCACAAGAGTCTTCAAGACGTAAAGAAATTATTAGTTTGCATTCAAATACGATCTATCACACCAGACCAACTTGGGAAAATGTCTCAATTTTGAAAATCTTAACTCATTCTGGTTCAGTTTTTATTTTTACCAGTTTAAAATTGTATTCATTTGCCGATAAAATGTCCATTTTATGGACCAGATATAAAACGGTATCCCCTACATAATTTGTATTTTATAAAATGTCAAATTCAAATAAATATTTCTATTTAAGACTGAACCGTTAACGAATCCTCTTACATTAAAAAAAAACCTGTTTAAAGAAGAGACCAACAACAGATATACAATTTCAACATTATTCTGAAACTTTTCAGGTGGAGAAAGTTCGAAACTTTGCACACTTCAGTGTGCAACTAAGGTTGTGCCTGGCTGCTGCTGGTCGAATCCTACTTTTACATACGTATGTACATTCAACAACATGAATGTGAAACTAGAAAAGTTTGTTCGAGAACACGTTTCATTTAAATCTCAA